CAGTTCCCCTAGGGCTTGGGAACTTGAACTTTGGTTCACCCTACAAGTAAAATGGAGTCTGAAGTCAAAATGGCAGCACTTTGGACAAGGTGCTTTTTTGCCTGCTCCCTTCAGAGATCAGAGGGCAGCATTTAGGATTTGGTTTTTTCCTTCTGCCTCAGGTTCTCAGGCTTGACAGCAAGCCCCTTTACCCACTGAGCCATCTCACTGGCCCACTGAATTATGATTTATATCAGAAATCTTTTTTCTTTAAGTTTTTAATACTTGAAGCCAAAAACATGTGTGTTAATCATTTATAGAAAAGGTTATCTTATTCATCTTTGCTTTTAACACACCCTTTTCTTGCCAGGCATGGAGATGCACATCTTTAATCTCAGCACACAGGAGGGTAACGCACGACCTATGAGTTCAAGGCCAGCCTGGGTTACACAGTGTGTACCAGGCCCAGGCAGACCCTGTCTCAAAACTCCAAAGAAATGGCTGGACACGGTGGTGCACCCCTTTGACCCTAGCACTGGGATGGCACAGGCCAGCCAGGGCTACATAGTGAGACCCTGTCTCAAGGAACAACAGCCACAAAAACCAAACAAACAAATCCCATAACATACCTACTTCTCGAGCAAGAATACTGCTGCTGAGGCGGATTGGTTGGGTGGATTCAGCAACAAGAACAGCTCTTTGGGAACAAGAGGTGCCCTTTTCATATAAAGGCTCAATGGTAACTGCATCGTGATGAGTGGAATGCCTGCCGAAACAGAATGGTTAAGAGCATGAAATGCGTGGGTCAAGGGGACATATGAAAGGAGTGTCTGCACTTCTCCCATGTTACATACATTAGGTATGCCTAATGACACTCTAAGGGAGAAGCACTGTCAGAGGACACAAGAATAAAATCGGGAGAGCGATCAGAACCTTTTCTCTTGTGCAAAGATCTCAAGTGTTATATTCCTCCCAGGATGTTTAAAAAAGACTCACACTGGCCTTGGTGGCGCACGCCTTTAATTCCAGGGCTTGTGAGGGAGAGGCAGGTGGATCTCTGTGAGTTCGAGGCCAGCCTGGTCTACAGAGTGAGTTCCTGGCCGCCCAGGGCTACACAGGGAAACCCTGTCTCAAAGTAAAACGAAAGACTCACACTGTGGGAGAATAACCTTGAGGCTGTGTTTGCGACAGGATGGGGCTTCCTCTTACGTCTTGAGAAATAATTTCCTGTGGGTCTAGAAACTGAGCTGCTGTCTAAGATGGAAAAGTTGCCTACTTTCTGAGACCAAACAAAAATACAAAATAAACCTTAGCATCTTAGATGAATGGAAAGCTCTCCATACTGGGACGATTCCTGAATGACGGCCATCACATGGGGTCCTCTACAAGCCTAAGTTCCTTATATTTCCTCATGAAATGAGTTGAAATTCTTGTACTCAGGGATAAAAGCCTCACTGCTTCTCATGTAAGGCGGGGAAGGGTCTAGGGATGTAGTTCCTCAGTAGAGGGCTTGCCTAGCATGTGCAAAGCCGAAGTCCAACCCTCCGATCTGCAGATACAGGAAGAGGAAATCCCTTCCATTTAGGATAAATGTTCTGGTACCTAGAGGCTTACTTTAGTTAAGATCCCTTACAATTCAGGAAAGCACGTGACCTGCCATTGGGTTCTCTTACAGTCAGGAAGGTCGTTAGCCCAGAACTGACTACCCCGAATCGTCCCACTTCAATTGCCCAGGGGGAGGGGCGCTCTCATATCACACAGGCAGATCTCATCTCCAGGCGTGATGAACCGTGTCTTGTTACTCCAGTTCTGTCGTCCTTGTCGGTCTTCAAATGTGGTTCTCACTGCACCTGTTTCTGTTTCCATGCAAACCCCACAAATTGGGGGAAATGAATGCCGGCTGTGTCTGACATAGGGCTTTGCCGGTGCCGACAACTAACTAGCTGTCTCAACAGGGAGGCATCCTAGTTAACAGACTCCCATCCGGTTAACTTCTTTTTTTTTTTTTTTTTTTTGGTTTTTTCGAGACAGGGTTTCTCTGTGTAGCTTTGCGGCTTTCCTGGAACTCACTTGGTAGCCCAGGCTGGCCTCGAACTCACAGAGATCCGCCTGGCTCTGCCTCCCGAGTGCTGGGATTAAAGGCGTGCGCCACCACCGCCCGGCCCTAGTTAACTTCTTAAAGAGCCTCACAATTTAGGGTATATCCCACCCAAGGATGCAACGTTAAGGCCCCTCCACACTGCGGGACCACACCACATTCCTGTAATCCCTTCCCTCTCCGCTGTGGGGACGAGATCGCGTGGCTCTGGCGCCCCTCACCAGGTGTAGCAGCCCCGCTGCGCCTCCAGCAAGAAGGGCACCCGGCCGGGCTCCCGGCTGAACGGCAGTAACACTTGGGGCACATTGAGTTTGTTGGCCAGAGTCCCAACTAAAAACAGGAAGAGGTGGTGTGGAGTCAAGGAGAAAAGGAGCCTGAAGCTTGGGGGTCCAGGAGCCCTCGAGCCAATCATGGCTACCGCCTCGGTCTCGGTCCCACTCATCTACCGGAGGCCAGCACCCCCACCAACCAATCCGCAGCCACGACGTCAACGGGTACCTTTCTTGCTAGGAATTGTGGGTACTCCTCCCCACCCCCGCCCCCAGACAGGGTTTCTCTGTGTCTCCCTGGCTGTCCTGGAACTCGCTCTGTAGGCGAGGTTGGTTGGCCTCGAACTCATAGAGGTCAGCCTGCCTCTGCCTCCTGAGTGCTGGGATTAAGGGCTGCGCCACCACGGTCTGGCGAATTGTGGGTACTATTTCCAAGTGTGTCAAAAAGCTAACATTGGGTAAATTCCAGGCACAGACCCAAAGGGCCACTTAGTTACTAAGTATTTGATGGTAAACTTTACTAGCAAGGAACCAGACAGAAAGTTCCAAAAATCCAAGCAGTGCCTCCCGTCTCAACTCTTCATGTATTGTTTTTTTTTTGTTGTTGTTGTTTTTGTTTTTGTTTTTCGAGACAGGGTTTCTCTGTGTAGCTTTGCGCCTTTCCTGGATCTCACTCTGTAGACCAGGCTGGCCTCGAACTCACAGAGATCCGCCTGGCTCTGCCTCCCGAGTGCTGGGATTAAAGGCGTGCGCCACCACCGCCCGCTGTCTTCATGTATTGTTAGGGCCGAAAGACTGAGGTGAAACTCAGGGCTCGCATGTACAAGGGCCTGGGCTCACCCACCAGTACTAAATACAAGAAACAAGTTAAAAATTCAAGTAATTTCCAGTCAGCGTTAGTCTAGGGCTATAGAAAAACTTCCAGTCTCTAGCATAAACAGCTGGCCTTAGACAAGGTTTACGCTATTTTTACTAGGGATCGGATTTAAGTCCTGCTTCAAGACCTCGATGCAGGAAATAACAGACACTGGCCTCAGAAGTAACCGGGACAGCCATTGTCTGACACAGCCTGACTCAGCAAAACACTCCTTGGGTGCACTTCCTTTCACTGGGGTGGGGTGGCACACATCCATGATCTCAGTAATCATAGGCTGAGGAAGGAGGATCAAGAAGCCTGGTCTACACACAAAACCCTCTCAACGGAGCTGGCAAGGTGGTGTGCATTACAGATGGTTGTGAGCCACCATGTGGTTGCTGGGAATTGAACTCAGGACCTCTGGAAGAGCTGTCAGTGCTCTTAACCCCTGAGCCACCTCTCCAGCCGTTTTTTTTCTCATAATTAAAAAAAAAAAAAAATAAAGAAAAAGAAAAGAGCTGGGCATGGTAGCTCGTACCTTTAATCCCAGCACTTGGGAGGCAGACACTGGTGGATTTCTGAGTTGGAGGCCAGCCTGGTTTACATATTGAGTACCAGACCAGCCAAGGCTAGATAGTGAGACCATCTCACAAAACAAAGGCTAAAATATTGTGTGCAAATGTGTCAAGTCAAAGGTCAACCTTAGAGGTATTCCTGAAATACTACCTTAATTTTAAATTTAAAAAATTTTATTTTTTTGACCAGTGGAAAAAACTTGTAATCCACTTCTAATCTCAGCACCAGGGGATCAGCAGAGGCAGGTGGACCTTTAAGTTTTCGGCCAGAGTGAGTTTCAGGATAACCAGGCCTATGTATAAACTCTGTTTCATGAAACAGAAGGAAAAAAAAATTTTTTTTTTTAAACAGGGTTTCTCTGTGTAGCTTTGGCTGTCCTGAAACTTGCTCTGTAGACCAGGCTGGCCTCGAACTCAAGACATTCGCCTGCCTCTGCCTCCCGAGTGCTGGGATTAAAGGTGTGCACCACCGTTGCCCAGCTTGTTTTAATTTTTTTTTTTTTAAATGTGTCTGTGTGTGAGCTTTCGAGAGTTTAAGTGGAACCCATGTGCAGAAGCCCTCAGATACCCTGGAACTGGAGTTACAGATGGCTGAGTCACCACTTGTGCTAGGAAACACCTCCCCACCCCACCTCCGCTTCAGCCCTCCTCCTCTACAGAAGCCAGCCACCTCTCCACCACATTGTATTTTTGGAGACAAGTCTTTTTGTTTTGTTTTTCAAGACAGGGTTTCTCTGTATAGTGCTGGCTGTCCAGGATCTCACTCTGTAGACCAGGCTGGCCTCGAACCTGGAGATCTGCCTGCCTCTGCCTCCCAAGTGCTGGGGTTAAAGACACATGACACCATGCCCGACCATTTGAGACAGCGTCTAAACTGAACTTGCAGTTAGTGATCTGGCTAACTAGCTGGCCAGTAAGCCCCAGGGATGTTCCTATCTCTGCCTGGCTGGTGGGCCAGGACTCCAGATGATGTGCTGTGCTCAGCTTCTTATATGGGTGCTGGAGACGGAACTCAAGTCACCGTGCTGGGTAAGCACTCTACCATGAGTGACATCTCCCAACCCCCCAGTCACATTCGGAACGCATCTTTATTTTATGTCTGCTTCCAATGTGTGTGCCCTATGTTAAATCCTGCAGCTTTCAACCACAAAGACCTGATTTTTAACCCAGTCTGTATAGCCCTGTGGAGAAAGCACATTTGATTTAATAAAGTCAAGTCGGTCTGAGGGTGGAGGGACTGGTTCTTTATTTCAAAATGTCACTTGTTGATATTCAGTATCAAAACAGTTGCACTATGGGGTTCTTTCTCCCGAGAGAGGAGAGTACAAATAAGCCAGTAAGCTGCAGCGTGTCCACCTGAGAGGCCTTGAAGAGACCGCCTGGACATGGCAATTGGGTGGGGACACTAGAAAGATCGGCACACCACCAGCCCACGGACTGCAACAATTCTCACAGCCAATGGGTTGATCAAGATAACCCAACCCCCCAAAAGCAAAATTTCAAAATAATATAAAATTTTAAAAAGTTTTTTTACATGAGCTATTCAAGATTTCTCCAGCACTGACTGACACAGAGCACAATGAGATGGCACTTTTAGAGACAGCAGCTTCAGGAAAGGACAATGAGATGACTTTCGCGTAGCTACTTCAGTGGCACGGACAGCATTTTCCTTTGCTTTCTCCCTCGGGGCAGATGAACACTAGGTAGTCACCTGACACTAAGGGGCAACATGATCCATTTTGTGAGCAGTCAGGAAAGGGGGGGGCACGGTGAGACAAGCTTGGTCTCAGGGCGGGGGCTTCACAAGAGCACGCTTGCCTAACATGCACAAGGCCCTGGGAGGGGGGGTGCCTCAGACGTCTCACCGTCTTATTTGGTCACATCTGATGGAAAAAGTAAAGAATAAAAACAAGATTAAAGTTGTTCAAAGACATCAAAGCTGAAAACCTTCACAGCCCGGAAGAAGTTTTTGTTTTTTGGCTAACTTCCTAGAATCAATCCCCTGTCATTTGGCTAGAACTTGGTACAGAGAACTGAGGTTTTCCACAGTGGAGCCTGCCTGGGCTCTGCTGGCCATCAGCAAGGCAGGCCCAGTCCTGTGTTCCTCCTCTATGAAGACAGCAGTATCCATTAGGCCGAAATGTCACCTTCCAACAGTGAAAAGGAACTGGCTTGCTGCTCCAAGCTGTGGAAGCGCTTGGAATGTTACAAATGGTTGCTAAGACAAAGAGTAATCACAATGTGCATATCACAAGTGCCCTGAAGACACTTTGCATTGTGCTCACATTCCCTTAAATATTGTTTCCAAAGGTGCTCAGCCCCTCCAGCTGGAACTCTGGGAAGAGGCTGACACAGTTTTATGAAAAAGACATGGGGTGGGGGTTGGTGGCAGGAAAGCAGCCTTCAGTTAAAAAGATCAGCCCTCAGTTTCAAGGTCAGCTTCAGGCAGGCTGGCCTCAGGCGGAGTCAGGGTCAGAGGGAGGAGCGGCCGCAGGGCAGGGACTGGGGGTGTTCTACATCTCATTCAGGTCCAGCAGGGTCTGGTCCAGCATCCTTTGTGTACAGAGGTGCTCCTCTTTGGTGCACTTCAGCTTATCTAGTGGGAACAGAGAGGAAGTACAGAAAGTCAGTTCCAAGTTCTCCCCATTCTGAGACTTGCACCAGTCGCAAGGAAGCTATAGAAGCCAGCTATTTATTGCATCCCTGGGTTCTGTGGGACTCTGGCATGCCTACTGAAGCAGAGGCATTCCTCTACTGCCTGGGGGAGGGAACTGGGGCCGATCAGCCATTTCCTCTCCCTCCCACAGGCAACTGAGAGGCATTAAGCTTTCAGTCCTAAAAGGATCATCAGGTGGAAAGCACTAGGCACCCACTCTTACCTCTACCCACAGGTCAGTATCTACTTGAAATGTCACACTAGAGTGTGACCATGGCAGATAAGGACAAACATCAATACCTCAAGTAAAGAGCACAGGAAGATCCTCCTGTAGTAGGTACATTCTCCAGAGTGTGTGTATGAGAGTGTGTGGGGGTGGGGGTGGGGTGTGGTGGAGGCAGGAGTCCTCAGGTCAAGAAGGATACTACCCAGACACATTCTTGGAAGCAAAGCCCCAGTGAGATTTCAGCAGAGGTACCAACAGAGCTGGCCAGACAGTGACTTACAACTAAATACAAAAGAAGCAAGAAGGAAAAGCATCAGGAAGAAAGCCAGTGGTAGGACCCCAAGCACTTAGTCTGCCTAGCCAGTAGCCGTGGAGCTTCAGGGACGGGAGGAAAATTCTACACCAGTGATGGCAAACCAGACCTGTTTTCATACCGCACCCTTCTTTCCCATCCCTGGTTACCCAGTCAAAAGACCATCTCTGGGCCTGAAGACGAAGCAGCTACAACATCTTATCAAGTCAGTCTTTTTATTGTTCGAAAATATCCATGCAAAAGTGCAAACCCTACGGTCGGTGCCCAGGTGAGAAGGCTGCAGCTAGCGTTCCCCAAGTTCCCCCATTCAATCTCCCAGACCCTTTCTTCATTACCCACAATCTCTCCTACAACAGAAATAGCCACTGCAACTTCATGGGGGCTGCCAGGAAACCAACAGCCCTCTAACTGCCCTCATTGAAAAGCAACTTGCTTAGGGCAAAACAGTAACTTCTGAAAAGCCAATCAGCTTTTTGCTGGGGTCCAGGTCAGTGGTGTGGGTTACTGGGCTCAGGGAGCCCTGCCCATCAGTCACACAGATCATGCAGCGTTAGCTTCAGCTCATTAGAAAGCAGGCGGTTTCGCTCAAGTTGGCTGTAGAGACGCTCTGCAGCAGCAACAGAGAAGAGGGGAAGAGGAAAGGAGAAACAGGAGGAGAGAGAGAAAAGGGAAGGTTAGTGGAAGGCAGAGGCACACGTGTCTTTCAACTAGCTGGCCTATGTAACATGCACGGTGCTGCAGGAGAGTACCGGGACTCAGGGCAGGAAGTCAGCCGGTTGGCGGAAAGACCAACAGAGGGACGGACGCAGTGAGCGTATCAGCTGCAGGACTGTTCTGAATGTGAAAACACACTTCCTTCACAGCAGTTGTACCCTGGGCTAAGACAGTCACAAGGCAGGATCAGTGGGCTTAAATAGAGCCATTCAGCCATGAGGAAAATCCAAAGAGAGCAGCTCAACTTTCCCCCACAAAAGGACTCAATAGGGCGCCATGCGTAACTGTTTCACCCACTCAATCGCTCACTTGCAAATGTTTCTTTCTGTGGTGTTGTCTAAGAGACACATCCTAAAGTCCTCCCCGACTCACATTCAGGTTCCCCTTTTATAGAAGAAAATCCACCTGTTAGGGTCAGCAGTATATCCAGCAGTCAAAAGGATGTAAGCCAATTATAGCTATTATGGGGGGTAGAAAGACGGCTCAGTGGTTAAGAGCACTGGCTGCTCTTCCAAAGGACCTGGGTTCAATTCCCAGCACCCACATGGCAGCTCATAACCACCTGGGACTCCAGTTCCAGGGGATCCAATGCCCTCTTCTGGCCTCTGCAGGGACCAGGCATGCGTGCGGTGCACACACATACAGACAGGCAAAATACCCACACAAAATAATCAAACACAATAAATTTAAAGAATAATTATGTTATTTCCTTGCCAAGAGGGGTCACAGACTCTAATTCAGGCCAGTGAGAAGAAGGGGGAGTGTAGGCTCAGAAGAAAATCTCAGCTTTCTCTCTGGCTTTGAATAGAAATGGGATGTCCAGTGCTAGACATTTCAATCTTAAGAGAATCAAAGAAACTCTAGTTTTCATAGGCTACACTACTCATCAGTGCTAAGACTCCTGAGGCATAAAAAGAATCTCATGCTGATTTTTTTATCTTATGACCTAAAACATTACTTAGGTGAGCACTTAACTGATGCTCAGGCCCACTGCCGTTAGCCAAGGACACAGGAGTTTGCTCTGTTGCTCTGACTCGCTGGCTTATTTCAAACTTGACCTTGCAGCTGTGGCCGCCCAAATGACCGGGAATAGGTGTGTACGACCTCACCTAGCTGGAGATCCACCTCAAACACAGAGGTAACAAAAGTCTGGGGATAGAAAAGCTAAATTATTCTTGGTCTACCCCTACTATCAGCCTCTGAAGTTCAGGTTACTTTTTTATTTTTCTGAGACAGTCTCACTATGTAGTCCTGGCTGTCCTGGAACTCACCATGTAGACCAGGCTGGCCTCGAGTTTACAAAGATCTGCCTGCCTCTGCCTCCCCAGTGTTGGGACTAAAGGTGTGCGCCACCATGCCTGGCTCAGAAGTTCAAGTTTTAAGTTCAAGTGCAACTTCCTGTTTCAATATGAGAGAAGGTCTTACTTTAGATGTAGGCCTTGCCCTCTCGCTGGGACTGATTAGAGGGACAAACTACCCAGCTAAGGCAGTGATTCTTGGAAAGGGGCACCGTCCCTCCCCTCTCCCAGGAAACGTGGGAGTCTGTACAGGTGTTTCAGGGGGTCTGTTTTTCTAAGACTACACATCTCAGGCTGGCTTCAAACTGGTGCAGTCCTCCTCCCTCGGCCTTCCAAGTGCTTTAATAACAGACACGTGCCTCTACGCCGAGCTACAGATAGATAGGTTTTGACCGTCAGTGATCAGAAGGTTCTACGATAAGTACTGGCCCGAGAGCAGCAATATGCTAACGTGCAGAAACTTTTTGTGTACAATTACCCTTACACGACAGAACAGAAGTGGTCAATAAGTTCCAAGAGGCTTGGTACTGGACCTGTCTTATTCAGGAGACATGCCCGAAAAATAGGAGCTCACACTTTTCAAGCTGTTTTACTAGGGATATTCCCCATCCATATCCACCTTAATTTGATTCCCACACCGGTCTTGGGAAAGAAAGGTAGTCCCTACAAGTCATCCTCTGACCTCCATATCTCCATGTGCATATAAGTCATGTCAGGCATGCGGCGCCCACACTCACACAACACATCATTCAAAAACAATCCCAAGGAGCTGTAGTGTTATTCATATGAAAGCAGCCCCGCTGCTGGGTGACAGGGCTCCAAGCACATTTGTTTCTCACCTCAACGGCAGCAAGGGAAGAATAAACTCACTCATCACCGCCTAAGGGGGCAAGTTCTTGCTTGGCCCTGTACAGTGAGTACACACAAGAACCAGGCTGGCTGCCATGAAGACACGGGAATTCAATAGAAAGCAACCGACCCAGCACTACAGTGTTTCACACTGCACGAAGACACCCGCACTTTTCTTGTAGAAAGAGACCAACAATGGGGGAAAGTAGAAACCACCAGAAAGACGAAAAAGAGAAGTTCTTTTTCTCAGTCTCCCACTATTCTTAGCTCATTCTGTTTTCTTTTTTTTTTTTTTTTTTTTTTTTTTTTTGGTTTTTCGAGACAGGGTTTCTCTGTGTAGCTTTGCGCCTGTCCTGGAACTCACTTGGTAGCCCAGGCTGGCCTCGAACTCACAGAGATCCGCCTGACTCTGCCTCCCGAGTGCTGGTATTAAAGGCGTGCGCCACCACCGCCCGGCCCTCATTCTGTTTTCTAAATGATGCTAGGGGTTGATTCTGGGACCCTGCACATACACTAGGCAAACAATACACCATTCAGCTACATACAGCCCCAGCCTGCTTTTAACTTATTTTGAGGCAGGGTCTCACTAAATTCTCAGCCTGGTCTTCCAACTCCTGCCCAATACTAAATGTCTATAACTGTCCCGAGCAACAGTCTTGTGGGATTACTTAAATTTAAATGAATTTTATTCTCTTAAAAATAAATAAAAACCACCGGATGGCACTGGTGCACGCCTTTAATCCCAGCACCGGGGAGGCAGAGCCAGGCAGATCTCTGTGAGTTCGAGGCCCTCCTGGTCTACAGAGTGAGTTTCAGGACAGACACCAAAGCTACACTGAGAAACTATGTCTTGAAAAACAAACAAACAAAACTGGAATTCTAGCCTCACCACAAGACATGTTTAACAGCCACAGAAGCAAGTGACTATTATCCTGGAGATCAGTGCCCAAATTCTACTGGGTACAACCACTTTAAAGTGTATTTATTACTTTTCTTTACTGATGTGCTCTCCTGTCTTAAAAGTTATCTCCCTCCCCTTGACCGCAATGCTCAAAACACACCCTCCAATTACTAAAGCGGTGAATGCCCATCACAGTTACTGTACCTCTTAGTCTATCTGCCGAAGCTGAGAGCCATCAGCCCTAGGCCATAACTCTCCTTCCGTCTACCCCTCCAAAGAGGTCCATCTGGCTTCCTGCCCAACTAAGTCTCAGTCTCTCTCTGTCTCTGTCTGTGTGTGTGTGTGGGGGGGGGGGGGGGTTGTTGAGACAGGGTTTCTCTCTGTAGCCCTGGCTGTCCTGGAACTTGCTCTATAGACTGGCCAAGCCTTTTCCTTTATTTAACCCTTTTCACATATGGAATGGAGTTGTTGATTTTGTTGTTTTCTGTTTTTGTTTTGTTTTTGTGAGACAGGGTCTCTCCATGTAGCCCTGGCTGACCTTGAACTCACGGAGATTGGCCTGCCTCTGCACCAGCGCTGGGAATGAAGGTGTGCGTGCACCACCATGACTGGTACCTGTAGATGTTCTTTATGGTTCTAAGGTGTTTGTGTTCAACTGCTTGCAATCCCTCTGGATCCCAGAATCTCTTCTATCAACTCCTCCCTTTCCAGCCTCAGGATCTTGCTCTTACCTGCACACCTGTCTCTCACACGCTTCTCTCGCTCCCCAAATCCCGCTCTACAGCTTTAACACTATCACTTTTTTGGTGTCAAACCCAGTAACTGAACTTGACTTCCACACACTTAGTTGTCTGTCAGGCTCTTGTGTCTGTCTTACCGGGCACAGCTGTACGTGCCTGTAACCCAGCACTCTGGAGGCTGAGGTGAGAGGACTGTAGACTCTTGGGTTAGCCTGGGCTACAAAGTGAGACTCTAGCTCAGAAAACTAAACAGTTGAATCAAAGGTCCACTTTCAGTGCCGCCTTCCCACTATACTAGCCTAGCACAAGCCCCAGTCACTCTCCGGAAATCTGCATCCTAACCTACCTAGTATTTCCCAAAGCATGGCCTAGTCATGGCTGGTGGTGTGTGTACTCAGAGTACACCTTTGTGAACTTGAAAGCATTTTGAAAGTGAGTGAATTTGGAGAACAAAGGTAATAACAGGACAACATGACAGCTAGCATAGAAAATGGTATACATATGTCTGCAACTTGGGGTCAGCACATTCTGCTAATGTGTTCTCATTCCAATATACACACACACATAATATACACACACAAATATACTTTTTTTTTGGTTTTTCGAGACAGGGTTTCTCTGTGTAGCTTTGCGCCTTTCCTGGAACTCACTCTGTAGTCCAGACTGGCCTCGAACTCACAGAGATCCGCCTGACTCTGCCTCCCAAGTGCTGGGATTAAAGGCGTGCGCCACCACCGCCCAGCTCAAATATACTATTTTTTTTTAAAAGATTTATTTATTATGTATACAGAAGAGGGTGCCAGATCTCATTACAGATGGCTGTGAGCCACCATGTGGGTGCTGGGAATTGAACTCAGGACCTCTGGAAGGGCAGTCGGTGCTCTTAACCTCTGAGCCATCTCTCCAGCCCCAAAATATACTATTTTTTTTTTTTTTTTGGTTTTTCGAGACAGGGTTTCTCTGTGTAGCTTTGCGCCTGTCCTGGAACTCACTTGGTAGCCCAGGCTGGCCTCGAACTCACAGAGATCCGCCTGGCTCTGCCTCCCGAGTGCTGGGATTAAAGGCGTGCACCACCACCGCCCGGCAAAATATACTATTTTTTAATGAGAAAAAAGTTATTGTTTTTTGTTTTTAAAGACAGAATCTCATTATACTGGCTGACCCAGAACTCGATATGTAGACTGGCCTGGCCTTAAGAGATCCATCTGCTGGGATTAAAGGTATATACCACCTCACCCCACCTTGTTTACTTTTTATTGGGGTCTTGTTATACAGAATTTGGTGTGGTCTTGAAATTTTTTTTTAAATTAAACTTATTTTACTTTATGTGCACTGGTGTTTTGCCTGTATCCATGACTGTGTGAAGGTGTCAGATCTTGGAGTTGCGGACAGTTGTGAGCGGCCATGCAGGTCCTCTGGAAGAGCAGTCAAATGACTCAGCCATCTCTCCAGCCCCTCTAATAGATTTGGTCTTTTTGTTTTTGCTTTTCAGAGACAGGGTTTCTAGGGTTTCTCTGTGTAGCCTTGGTTGTCCTGGAACTCATTCTGTAGACCAGGTTGGCCTTGAACTCACAGTGACCTGCCTCCCAGGTGTTGGGATTACAGGCTTGCCCACCATGCCCAGATGCAACAATCTTTTCTTAGCTATCAGATGAACTCGTCTTAGGAGGGAGGTGTTCACATCATGGCACATACTTCTATACTACAGTGGCATTTCCATCACTTATCAAACACCAATGAAGCTTCCCAGCAGAACTCTTAAGAACTGTCCTGTCTCCTAAATTTACTTTTGCAGCTTTTATCTTTCCCTAGCTGTGGGGTTTTTTAACCTTGTTTTTGCTCATCAGAAGCCAATCCTGACTGAGGCTGGTGATGAATTTCAGTGGTAAAGGCTCTGTGTTCAGAATTCTCCATCACCAAAACAAAATGAGCAAATCCATTCTAAACCTGGTATAGTGTGGTACATGTCTTGGGAGGCCAGAGGCAGGACTGCCATGATCTCAAGAACAGCTTGGGTACACACTGAGTTCTAGGACAGCCCGGGCTAGTGCAAAACTGTCTCAAAACAACAGAGCTCAAAAATTCCAATTTGAGAGCCATCATGGAATCAGTGCCGTCCCACTTAGCTCCCCAAAGTTTACTATCTGCAGCTTACCCAGTAGCTTTTGACTTTGGGCTTGTCCTTTCTTCTTAGAAGATTCAGAGCAACCTGAGCATGCAGGCAGTTCCTCACCTCTATCTATCTATCTATCTATCTATCTATCTATCTATCTATCTATCTATCTATCTATCTATCGGAACAGGGTATCTATCTAGCCGTCAGCACCTGCTAAATAAGCCCACCTCTACCTCGGTCTCAAAGGCTGTGTGGCAGGAAGAGACAGTCCAGGTAAAGGAGTCTGACGGAGATTAGGGAACACTTCTCTACTTAGCTATAGCCTTTCTCTCTCTTCCTTCCTTTCTTTCTCTCTCTGTGGTTCTGGGGTTTAAACTCAGAGCCTTGTGCACAGTAGCTGAGTGTTCTCCAACTGTGCTACATCCACAGTCTTGGACACCGAGAAGAAAAAGCAAGTTTCAAATACATACTCTGAGAAGAAACTGAAATACTATGCAGCATTTAGCTGTAATATCGAATTTATCTGCTGTATAAACTGGAACACTTCTGAAATGCTGATATTCAATTCTACAATAGATACCCAGAAGAATTTCACTAGTAGAAATTTAATAGTAAGTCATTACCCGCATGTGTACATGACAGGTTGTTTTCATTTTCTCCAATCATCTACCGTGTGTCTCAATGATATCCCATTAGAAAACAAAGTTGAACAAATGGTAGCAGCCTCAAATAAGTGAGAAAGGTTTAAAGACGAAAGCACATCTACTGAGAATTCAAGCCATTATGTTACATGTTGTTCTGTGACTTAGGATGACAGAATTATTTAACTGTAAGGATGGATCACACAGGCCCAGTGTGCTGAGGATGTAACATCTGACTCTCTGGCAAAAGGGTAGCATATTAGGAAATGATTCAATGGTCTGTTGACCTTACTATATGGGAAAGGGCCAAAGGGAAGGAAAATGCTCCAGGTAGACTATTGAAGAACTTAGAAGTAACACTAGACTTCCTACCATGAGGAGCCTTTACCTGTTCACCACTCCGACAAGACTCCAATCAGCAAGTTCAAATGTCAAGAAAACACACACACACACACAAAAGTAGCTTTGATTATACATGAATCAGAAGGGGACAGCCTAACACGGCCGTCCCCACATCACACCGGCAAGGCTCCGTCTTAACAGCTTTGTCAATAACAAAGGCAGGAGGACATGAGGCTTCTGGCAGCTTAACATTTTAATCTGGGATGGGGGTGAAAGCAAATATGTAAATTGCTTTGTTTCCCCCAAGCCCCAGCCCTAAGGCTTTGGGAACCAGCCAGGCTGACCCAAATGGAATCCAGAGCGAGTGGGGTGTTGGGTTCCCCAAGGAAAGGGGGTAGATCCAGAACAGAGCAGAAACGGTGACAGTTTATCTGTATGGAAAAGGACACTCCAGGTGAGAAGGGATGGCTCAACTGAGGCAGCAGCTTGGGAGAAGGGAAAGGGGAAAGAGCGGGAGAGCCGGACACTTCAGGTACAATACTCAGCCACTTCCGGGTTAGTGGGCAGAAGACGCAGATTAGCATTAGGAATCAAATAAGTCCCCCAAAACTTTTGGTGCTGTTCACTGGTTGGCTTGCTTAGGGACTCCACTCAATTCTTAAACTGGCTGCTTCTCAGCATGGAAATCTCCCATTAGCTTTCATTTCAGGGCACAAATAAGGATTTGTGTTCACGTGTTCTTGTTTTTTGAGATAGGGTCTCTCTATGTAACTTTGGCTGTCTTGGAACTCACTATGTAGACCAGGCTGTCCTGGAACTCAAGAGATCACCTAGGCCAGGATTAAAGGTACGCACCACCACGTCCGTTTTGTGTTTTGCTTTTGAGACCCTGTCTTGCCATGCAGCGCTAGCTGGCCTTGAATCTGCATCAATCCTTCTGCCTTAGCATCTAGACTGCAAGGATTACAGCTGTGTGCCACCACACCCAGCACTGAGTAACCAGAGTGAAAACCCAGTGCAAAGGAGAGCTGGGCACCTGGCACATGGCTGTAATCTTAGTGGCTGACGGTAAGTCAGAAGGATCTAGAGTTTGGGGTCAACATAGCTTACAGAATTAGACCCTGATAGAACTAGATGGGAGAGTAAGACAGAACACAAATTATATCCAAGATTAAACATCTCCCCAGGTTCTGCCAAACAAATAACCAGCACCAACGTTGGGTGAAGGCTGTGAGTCAAGGACAAAACCCAAGCGCACTCCACGCAGCCTGCACCCTCACCCACAAGCCAGGAACCCAACCCCACACTGCTGCCTGATAGTTACATAGAGGTCATGTCATTGAGGGCGTGGTCCAGCTCGTCGCTAATGGCCTTGTACTTCAGTTTCTGGGCATAGAGCTCGTCTGGACAGGCACAGGAACCACGGGGATGATGGGGGGGGGATAAAGTGAAAGGTATCAGAAGCAGATGAAGAGAGGGAATCATTAGAAAATAGGACAAATGTGGTTGTGGGTCTAAGACCAGGAAGGAAAAAGACAAAAACAAAACTACTCTGGCAGCGGTGACTGGACGTTTTCAATCAACTTTCCCCCATGGCCCACAGACCTCCCTGATGTCTCTAAGCCAATGCAGCAAGAACTGAGAACCTGAGCACCTGCCAGCCACCTCAGGCACCCAGGGACACTACTCCCACCCAATACCGAACCAGTGGTAACACTTAAGGAAGACAGAAAAGGGAGAAAGCTCATATGCACTGGGGACACTTCTCTGCTTTCTCAATGGGGATCATTGCTCATGGGCCCTTTGCTCTACAGGCTGCCTCCCCAAGGCCTTCCAAAGAACAGCCAGTTACCAAGAACATATCCAGGGAGCTCTCAAAGACTTGTTTCCTTGTTAAGGTGGATGGACACAGCTGCCGAACCTCAAGAAGAAGCAGTCCTGACACTCTGCAGCTCTGAGACTGCTTATTATCTCCTGGAGAAGTGTCATACAACTTGAGTGATAAAAAGAACTACCTAGAGTGGCCACAGGGTCACACACAAGACTTCATTCACTATCCTAAAAAAATCATGGCTTCCATTTCAACTCAGACTCAAGATTTAAGATTACGAAATTGGAGATAAATACAGTCCTTACATCTTTTCAAAGGAAAGACGGCAGATTTCAGAAGTAAGTAGAGTCTTATTAGAGGAAAAGATTAAAAATCCAACTCTAGGGTATGACATACCTACAGCCAAGGCCTAGCTACTATAGCATAGGACAGGACACATCACATATTCCAAGTCATTACCAAATCCCTCTGATGAACAGGGAAAAGGCTCAAGATTAAGGGGCCAGGCCTTCCTCTCTCAATGCCTCCCATGCTCCATACCTTCCAAGTCATCGATGGTCTTCTCCAGTTTGGCTACCGATCTTTCAGCAAACTCAGCACGGGTCTCTGCCTGAGGAAAACAGAAATCCAATCAGAATGAAAGATGGTCATTTCTTCCCCTCATACTTGTAGGCCATTGAGAACCAAGGCCGGCAAGGCTAATCATTATTAAAATGTTAATGCCTTCTATCTTTCCTCAGCTCACCTCCTTAAGTTTATCAGTAAGAATCTTTATTTCCTCTTCATACTTGTCTTCTTTTTGAGAGTACTGTGAAGAGAAGTAGATACAATTGTCCGAGTAGAAAGGGTCTCACAGAAAACAGCCACGTTAAGTCTTACACGGTTCATAGACATTCTCCTAGATTTGATGTACTGAAAGGTCCAGGACGAACATCAAGGACCAGTTTTTGACAATGGGTCTCAAGACCCAACCGTTTCCAGGACCTTTTTTGTTTTTGTTAACAGACCTAAACTTTGATCTTATTCCTATCTACCTTCCCAAAGTGTTTTGCCTTTCTCCAACTTAACCAGCAGGAATCCACAGGGAAAGCTTTCCCTCTTGGTGGTAAATGGCGATCATCTGTCTTGACCGCTACTAGGTAGGTCTCGAGAGCTGGTGCGCTGCTGACCCCATCTGACTGCTTGCAAGTCCACACAGTACTATCTAGGTAACTGCCCTTCTAGCACAGCACTATCAGCTGGAGGAGCACATGACCCCAGGCACTGGAGAGCACCCAGATATCCGAACCTAAGCCCTGGAGGTAGATAGGAATTAGCACTAACCCTACAATCTGGATGGACGGAGGCGGGGAGAAGAGGACACTGCACTGGGTTATGAGGAGTGGGTGTGTCTAGTCTTTTATTAAGGGCAGGGCTGGGCCCAGGCCCCAGAGCCTGCCATCTTTACAAACCAGCCCCTACCTTCTCCGCCTGAGCCTCAAGAGACTTGAGGTTGTTGGTGACATTCTTCAGCTCCTCCTCCAGCTCAGAACACTTACTGTGAATATGTTAAATACCGCAGAAAGGAAAGGGGAAGAGGAAGAAATATAAAAAAAAAGGAGAGAGAGAGAGACACACACAGATGTGAATTGAACCTATGTGTAGAGAGAGCTGGACTGCACATCAGGGAAGAAAAGTTTCTGGGTAACCTGAGCAAGCATCAACCCTCCTCCCTCTACCGTGGAACACGGATGCCAGGAGCTGGACCTCCTGTGCTCAGGATGTTTGGCTCTAATAAAGAAAGAACACTTGAGAGAAATCACTCACTACCCGGAACAAGTTACAACTGCTACTTGGGTGTGGCGTTGGGGACGGATGCCCAACCCAAACGACCCCCCAAATCACCCAAGGGAGGCAGAGACCCTTCGGGGGATGCAGTGAAGCAACTAGGAAAGAAGAGATGAGAGGTGCCAAGTGGAAAGGAATGGAGCATTCCATGGAGAGATGAGAGAGCACTCAACACGTCAACTGGTGGAGGGAGGCAGCTGCAAAACAAAACCAAACTCAAAACCAGAGCACACACACGGAACCTCGCCGTGGGTTTAATGGTTAGTACCTTTTCTTCAGCAGCACTCAGACACTTCAGATTCTGGTCCATCAGTCTGATCTGCTCATCCATCTCTCGGCAACGGCTGTTAGTGGCAGTCACGGGAACGGCACAAGCCAGGTTGTGGGGAAAAGGTTAAAAAAGGGACAGCGAGAAAACAAGCCGCAAAATGGGGTGGGGGTGGGGAGGCAAAAATAAACAAACAAATGGGAAGAAAACATCACCATGGTCATGATATGGCATGTCTGGAGCGGGGGGGGGATGCAAGGCAAGCACGAACATAGACTCATCCATGCTGACTTTGTTACACAAGGCCAAGCCAGTACCAATGGGCAGCAGGTGATTTCTCTAAAGCCTTTGCTCTCAAGTTCCCAGGCAGATTGGCAACGTGGTAATAACAGAGACCAGGTCTGAAGTCAGTACGGCCCAAGGAGGAAGAGATTCCAGGCGGAAGGACCCAACAGGATCTTCCCACCAGCTGTATGCCATATTAGTCTCGCCCTTCCCTTAATTTGAGAATCTTTCCAAGAATAAGCAAGCCTTGTTACCTGTTACTAGTCAAGAGAAAGCCCAAAGCCATTCTTAGAGGCTAAAAGCACTAGCTGACTACCACCTCCCAGGCCTGTTTAACAAGGTCGAGGAATGCTAGTTTACTCGAATTAGTGCCCAAGCAGGCAGGACGGTCTGGCAAGATCTGGAGACAAAATACTCACGACTCTGCCAGCTCCGCTCGTTCCTCGGTGCGTTCCAAGTCTCCTTCAATAATCACCAACTTACGAGCCACCTATAAGACAAGACCCTGGTACAGCTCAAGCAAGCAAGGGCGATCCGATCTCAGGACTGTCTCTGCGGAGCCTGCAGGTCACTGCAGAGGTGACCCACCTCTTCATACTTCCTGTCTGCCTCTTCTGCAATGTGCTTCGCTTCCTTTAGCTGGATTTCCTGGAGTTCCATCTTTTCTTCATCTTTTAGAGCTCGGTTTTCAATCACTTTCATACCTCTGCCAGAAACAAGATTAGCACAGCAATCACTCTGAGGTGTGCAGCCAGCCCCACTTCAAGGACTCGGAATCACGCCCTTTACAGCCCATCCTGTCTGCCCACCCAAACGGAAATTCAATAGCACTTGAGCGCCTGTGCCATTTAATTGAAAACTTTTTCTTTTTCGGTTTCTCTGGGTAGCCCTGGCTAGACAGGCCTCAAGTATGCTAGACAGGTCTCCTCGAACTCAGAGACCCGCCTGCCTCTGCCTCTTGAGTGCTGAGATCAAAGGCGTGCGTCACCACCACCCGGCTAAAACTTTTTCTTTTCTTTTCTTTTTTTTTTTTTTTAAAGATTTATTTATTTATTATGTATACAGTGTTCTGTCTGAATATACATCTGCAGGCCAGAAGAGGGCACCAGATCTCATTATGGATGGTTGTGAGCCACCATGTGGTTGCTGGGAATTGAACTCAGGACCTCTGGAAGAACAGCCAGTGCTCTTAACCGCTGAGCCATCTCTCCAGCCCTAAAACTTTTTCTTATAGAACGAACACTTTGGGGACCATTTAAAAAGTCGATCTGGGGGCTGGGAATGTAACTTGGTGGTAGAGGATGTGCACAGCATATAATGTGGATGCTGGGTTCATCCGCAAAAACAAAAAGTCTAGAACAGGATGTGGTAGCACAGGTCTGCAATCCCAGCACTTGGGAAGAGGAGTTGAGAGGACTGAGGTTCAAAGCCAGCATGGGCTACCTGAGACCATGCCTCAAACAAAAAACCCAAACAAAACACAAAAACAGGTCTAGAGGGAAACCTAGGTCACAGCCACCATCAACTACTTTGTTTGCAGTGCTGGGGCTGGGACCCAGGACACCTGAGGCACAGCAGGTGGGTGCTCCAGCACCCATCTACCCCACTGGCAGGTGCTTGTGGAATCCACACTCCCTCCCGTTCCCCCACATACCTCTCACTCTCATCAGCAGCTTTTTCTGCTTCCTCTAGCTTCTGCAGGGCAGTAGCAAGACGCTCTTGAGCACGGTCCAGCTCCTCTTCAACCAGCTGGATCCTACGGTTCAAGGAGGCCACCTCAGCTTCGGCCTTAAGTCAATGGGAAATGGAAGCAGGGTTGGTGAAAAGAACCAACACGACAGAAGGCTAGAATTCACCACTGTGAAGACGCCAGAGTCAAGGGAGATAGAGCGATTTGGGCTCACGAGCTTAGATCTCACATATAGGAGTAGAAATCAATTTCTTCCTTTCCCATCTGAGAACTCCCATTTGTTCTACGTAAAATGTTGTTTGTGTGATCCAATCTCACGTGTCCAAAGCTGGCCTTGAACGTGCCATATAGTATCTCCCAAGAGTTGGGATTATAGGTATGTACCGCAATGTCCAGTTTATGTTTTGCTAGGGATGGAAGCCAGGCCTCATGTATGCTAGACAGGTACTCTAACAACTGAGACATACCCTCAACCCTGAAGAGTGTTTTAAAATTCAGTTCCTTGTCCAGACAGTTATTATCTTCTCTCTTCTGGACTCAATTCAAATTCCAGAACCTCTAAGAGTCAACAAAGCCAGGTATGATGACAGGCCTTCAAGCCCAGCACGCGGGAGGCAGAGGCAGGTGGGTCTCTGTGAGTCTGAGGCCAGCCTGGTCTACACGTAAGATCCTGTCTCTAGAAAGCAGCCAGAAGACACTTCTGCCTCATGCTCAATAAACGGATACCTGCTTCTAGATTTCAACTCCTGATCATCCTGTCTTTACTTCCTAAATGCTGGGATTACAGGCATACACCAGGGATGCCAAACAGCAATATTTCTAGTTAGAACTTATATTATTTTACAACATTTATATATATTAACTTAGTTTGCAAACCCTCTGATCACCTTACCCTAACACATCAGGAGGATAACCAACTAATGCTTTCTTGAACAGCTTTTCTGATAGGAAAGCACAGACTACAAGATTGGGGTATTTGGGGCCAGAAAGATGGTTCAACAGATGAAGGCACCAGATGCCAAGCCTGAGACCTGAGTTCAATCCCCAGGACCCAATGGGTAGAGAGAACCAGTTTCCATAAATTGTCCTCTGACCTAAGTGTTCTCTCTCTCTCTCTCTCTCTCTCTCTCTCATATGCACATGCAATATTTGCTCACTTAAAAAAAAAGGACTGGGGTACCTTTCCCCCACCTTACCCCTTCAATATGCTCCCTTATTACCTTAAGAAAGAATAGTATAATCTGATAACATTATAAAAACAAAGAAACAAGCTAGCTAGCTTCCACCTACTGCTACTCCTCTGGATGTCTGAAATGCCTTTTATTACTCTAACAACCTCCTAAGCTTCACCAGACTTCAGTACAATTCATAACAGTAATTTCCCTGGGTTTCACACACAGTAAGTAAGTCACGAACTGGCTACAAACGAGAAACAAACAAAGGAAAAGATGCAGCTGTACATAGTCCATAGAAAGTGGTCTCATAGGTGAGATAGTACATGGCCCTAATCCTAACACTTTGGAGACTGACACATAAAGACCATGAGTTCAAGGCCAACTTGGGCTACACAGGGAGACCCTGTTTCAATAAGCAAACCACCCAAACCACCCAAACGGAAGCTCTTTGCTGCACATGAGAAAGTTCAGATGCTTATATGCTGGTGAACTCTAGCTCTCCTCTCCAGCCCAGATTGTGCCCGAATTCTATTACCCTGGTTTCCTCTTAACAGGCAAGGGTGGTGGCAGCTGAGGAATCTGGGCCATTAGCCCTATGGGGAGGGATATAACCAGACAAAACTCCTGCTAACAATCAGGATCGGAACAAAAATTTCCACATACAAACACAGGAGATTCAAGAGACTGGGAAAGGAGGCAGGAGGCCGGGCTACAGGAACAGAAGCCCGAGAAGTAAGTCTACATAAATTGAAATTCTAAGAAGCCATTTGTATTCCTAACTGTACCATTCAGAACACTACAAAGACGAGCATTCTCTAGTTCCTTCTCTTCTAGGAAAACAGATGTCCTGCAGGACAGCAGTTTTCTCCTCACAAACCCAACAAGGCCAACCAGTCAAGGGCAAGCCGGGCTATCGGGACCGGGTTCTGAAATACTCAGTACTAGACAGTACTTACCCCTTTCGGATGCCCAAAACGAAAACACAAAACAATGCAGCTGAAGGGCTGGAGAGGCGGTTCAGCAGTTAAGAGCACCCATCTCTGTTGCAGAGAATCCGGGTTCGATTCCCAGCACCCACATGGTGGTTCACAACATTCATTAATTACAGTGCCTGTGACTCCAACTCTCTTGACTTCCATGAGTACCAGGCACACTCATGGTACACACACATACACGTAGGTGCAACATTCACATACACAAAACACATCTAAAAAAAAAATTAAAGAAAAATGCAGCTGGATCCGTAGGAAGCACATGAAATGTAAGTCACCATCCATCTTCTGGTTACTTAAACTGGAAAAAGACAACAGGCTATGGGGGCAGGGTATAGTTTCCATGGCAACAAGCTGGCTCTGGCACTTCTCCTACAAAACAGCATTTACAATTGAATTCTTCACAAGGGTGAAAAAGGAGGAAGAGAAAATACATCTTGGTGCTCCTGTAAGTGCGAGCCTGTGTTAAAACCAGAAAGACCGAGGAGTCCCTGCAAGCTTCAGACAGACCAGTGGGTGGTGGGTCCAGGACAGGGTGTGCTTCTTCCCCTACAGCACATCAGTTCTCTTTACAAGGAAACAAAAGCCTGAAAACTCAAGATCTGATACTCCACTTAAAGGAATAAGGAAGATCACTTGACTTTTCCTTTAAGCCAGAGCTTACACATATCACTCAGGTCAACATCACGTCTCTGGGCAGACTAGCCTGATCCTGAGAAACACTACACTTAATGTTTTTTCAATTAACCCTAGGTTTTACCTGAATGCCCAGCAGAGACTGCCTACCTCCCGGCACCTTGGAGGATACAGTGTGAGGTCTTCCATTCAACAGTAATAGGATTCTCCATTGCTCAGGAGGAAAAACCCTGGTGGTGGAAAGTGCAGCCATTTGGTCATATTAAAAAGACGGCTGATGCCGGGCAGTGGTGGCGCACGCCTTTAATCCCAGCACTCTCGGGAGGCAGAAACAGGCGGATCTCTGTGAGTTCAAGGCCAGCCTGATGTACATAGTGAGTTCCAAGACAGCCAGGACTACACAGAGAAACCAAACCAAACTAAAACCAACAAATAAATAAATAAAATGGCGGACGGCTTTGGCTATGACATAAGCGTAGTTTAAATGCTACACTGGGCTGTCCATATGGCTCAGTGGGTAAAGGTGATTGCTTCCCATCTCTACAAGTCTGACAATCTGGTTGATCCCCTGAACCCACGTGATGGTGAGAGAATAGACTCCACACAGTTGCACTCTGAGCTCCACACACATTATGGAATGCATGCTGACACACACAGATTATATGCATGCTCAGTAATAATAAGGTAATTTTTTTAAAATGTAGGAAGACGCCCAAAGCATATTACATCCCTTAAAGTAAGAAGCGGATGGGGAGCTGGTAGTCAGAGGCAGAGCAGGGCCAAGGACAGAGGGGATAAGTCTAAATCTGGCACTCTGCCACACTGGGGTTTCTCTTTTTAGATAAAAGTCACAGGTGTAATTCAAAGTAGAAACAGCACTAGAAGAGTCAGGGCCTCAGCTGAAGAAAGGACTGCTGGACACACTGTCCACAGACGCCTCTACCAGGGAGCTCTAGACCCTGTTCTCCAGAAATTTCAATTTTACCAAGGGAGAGGAAAGCTAGGAATTAGAGTTATCTGCCCGCCCCAGAGTCAACAAAGGTGGAGTCTAAGCAGAGGCACTTAGAGCAAAGGCCTGTTTGCCTCTCCTGTAGGAGTGTGCTCTGAAATGGAGCGGGGGTGGGCAGAGAAAAGCAAGCGACAGCCAAACCAATCCAAACCTCCAAGCCAGAGAGGTCATAATGCTTGTTATGGGTCCACCAAACACACGGATATACTGAACATACTGCCAAACGCCCTAACCCCCTTCAGAGACCAAGAATCTGGGCTTAAGGCCAGAACCACTGTTCAAAGCCCACTCTCCTTCCCTTAACAGTACTTCCAATGTAACAAAATGAAAACTACCTCAAGACATTGGGAGAAAAACATTTTTTAAAGAGTAAATGAACCATACACTCAAAAATGGTTACAGTGAGGCCCGAGAGCCAGCTCAGCAGGTAGAGCACTGGCTGCTCTTGCAGACTTTGGTCCCCAGTCCCTACACGGTGGGTTGGGGAAGCGGGTTCACAATCGCCTGGAATTCCAAGTCCAGGGCTCAGACATGCATACACGCACATAAATAAAAACAGTAATAATAAAAGAAAGGTTAAAAATGGAGATCCTGGCATGGCAGTGAACACCAGAGAATATCCCAGAGGCTGAAGCAGAAGGATCACTTGGGTCCAGCAATTCAAGGCCAGCCTGGACAGGCAAAATTTTATGTTATATATGCATTTTTATCACTTACATAAACACACTTAAGTTTTATGCTGTCACCTGTTTTAGATAGGACAGACAAGGGTGTAGATCAGTGGTAGAAAGTCTGTCTAGCATAAGGCCCTAGATCTGACCCCTGCACCACTTAAAGACCGGGTAGCCTACTAGTGTAACAGCATAGGATAGCACCAGGCAGTGTTAGCAGGAGCCTGCAGACCCCACATTCCACAGCAGCCCTAAGAACAGGCAACCCAAGCACCCCTCTTCACACTACGGACTCCTTAGTAGGGGCTCAAAGTTCAAAGGTGCAGAAAGTCAAAAGCTCACAAAGAAGATACTGGTCTCATCAATATTTAACTACCACCCTACTTCCTCATTCGGAGGACTTCCTCAGGAGACTTCCGTGAAAGAGGCACATTTGGTAAGCTCTGAAACACGCGAAAACACACTCTGCTGCTTATCACCCCACAGTCATCACGCATACGGAAGGGAAGCCAAATTTTCCTACAAGGAAAATGACCAAATTCTGAGACAGACACACCCTACCTACCCTAAAACCACTCCCAGGATACCCATACTTCAACAATCAGCCTAAGACTGCAGCACATGGTCAATTCCTTGTACTGGACTCTCCCTTTTCCCTTTTTAAGACTTTCTCATCTCTAGAACAATCTCATTAGAACTGATAAGAAGCTGTAGGCATGCTAGGCGTGGCCAAGCAAGCCTGTAATTCCAGCACTTGGGAGGTTTAGGCAGGAGGATTGCTGGGAATACAAAGGGACAGCTAGTCTCAAGACCATCACACTGGACGTCTAGGAAAAGGTGATGGTTAAGGCAAGCTCTGGCATCTCCATGCCCATTAATAAAAGTATTTTAATGATGCTTAAACATCAACTTGGAAGGGAGCTATGCTCTACTTTTCCACACTCACCCCTTTTGGCCCTCAAAAATATTCTGCTACTCTCCACACGCGCAGCAAAGGGGAAGAAAGACACTAACAAGAAGAGCAATAAAGAACACCAATAAGTCACAGTTATTTTCATTAGGTCTTTCGCAAGAATCCATTCATCCCACCAACAGTTGAACAAAAACCACCGTACAGAAAAACAGAAAGCAGCGCCCCCACCCCAATCACCATCGCCACTCATTAATCTGTTTTCCATCCTCCACAGTGCTCAGATCAATCAGGAACTTTGAGACTGGCCTGGCATCTGACTCTCTGCTATACACTCCCTTATCAGCCCTGCTTAGGAGAAATGTTCTCTGTAAGACTAACTTGCGCTGCTCACACTTCAGGCCTGAATCTGGCAGAAGCTCCTCCTGCCTTGCAGGTCATGATGGGTAGGGTAGGTAAGTTTCCTGGCTCCGACATTTGCTAACGTCGGGAAGGAGTATCACCTCTCCCACTTCACAACGACTGAGGGGCGGGAGTACCAGTTAGTTACAAAAGGTCCCCAAGCTCGGGGACGGGAGGTGGTGCGGTGGCCTTAAGCTCCGCCAGTGAGGGAGGGAACCGCGCTTCCTCTCAGCCAACTGCTGGCTCATTTCCTGAGCAGGAGGAGGGAGCGGAAAAGCTGCCAGCAGGCCGAGTCGGGGGCTTTCCGGCGGTTCCCACCTCCTACCCCCCCTCTTTCACAGGTTATGCTCGGCCCCTCCCGGACCAGAGGAGCACACACTTACTTCTACCCCTCTGGCCGGAAACCTCAAGCGAGAGCAAAGGGTCCCCACCCTTCGCGGAGAAGTGGGGGGAGGGAAAGGCCGCCGAGCCCCTCCCCTGGCCGCGCCCGGCTCCGGGGGACCGAATGAATGAGCCGGGGAAGAAAAGAAGGGAAAGGGCAGCCCGCGCCGCGCGGGGCTCGAGTCCGTCCAGGGTGCAGCCTGCTCGCGCGAGCACCTAGTTCCCTCCAGTGCTCGCTCACCTGGCCAGCATAATCGCGTCCCACCCAACCTCGGGGATGAGCGTCTAGTCCGAGCCTCCAGGACGCCGTGGAGCTGAGCTCCCCAGCAGAGGGGCGCCGGTCCCTTCCCTGCTGCGCCTCGCCCTCCGCGCGCGTACCTGCTCCCGGGCCCGCCTTTCTCCCTCCACTTCCCGCTGGAGGCGCTCGGCCCTCTCCTCCGCATCATCCGCCTGCTGCTGCAGAACCTGGATCTTGCGCTTCACCGCCTCGATGGTGGTGATCCCGGCCATGGTGCCCACCCAGCTGCTTCTGGAATCCGGGTTCCTACCTCCTCCGCTCGGCGTTGTAGCCGCTTCTCACCCTACTTCCGCCTGCTCCGCCCTGAAATACCGGAACTCACCCACCCGCCCGGATGTGACGCCGCTGCCACCGCGCGTTCCCCACCTCCCCTGCCAAGCAGGCGGGAACGCAGTCCACTCGAGGGGCGGTGGGCAGAAAGTGAGGGGTGGGGCCTCCCAGTCGCCCTAGGTGACCGCTCAGGGCGGTCTTTCCTCAGACCAGTAAAGGGGGGTGGGGTTGGGTCAGGCTACCATAGTAACTGAGAGGCGCTTCGTGGTCTAGCCTCACCCACCAGGTTGCCTCCCAACAATGGTTGGCCCATTTACCAGTATGGTGCTGCATTAACACTTGGCGGTTGACCCCTCTCTGATCCAGTGCCTCCCTACCCCTGTGTCCTCTCCACTCTGCAATATAAAATATCCCACAAGCTTTCACTTCTACTCAGTCTACGGCAGACTCCAAAACCAGGTTCTGAGAAAAGCCTAAAAGACTCTCGACTTCATCTTGCAAAGAGTCCCAGTGAACTCCCTTGAAAAATCTATTCAGAGGGGCTGTGGATATTGGTTAGTTTGTAGAGCACTAGCCTAGCATGCATGAAGCCCTGGACTCGATCTCCAGAAGCATGTAAACTGGCATAGTGGCAAGTATCTGTAATCTCAGTACTGGGGTGGGGGGTGGGGGGGAGGCGCGGGGAGAAAGGATAAAAGATTCAAGGTCACCTTGGCTACATGGTGAATTCAAGGCTAGTCTGAGCTACATAAAACCTAGTTTCAAAAAACAAAAAACAAAAACAAAACAAAACAAAAAACTGTTCAGATAGATTCTCACCCATCTCCTGGAAGTCAACAAAGGGATTCCAGGGGTGGAAGAGATGGGCAAGTTGGCATTCTATAAGGTGGTGGAAAGGATGGGCAAGCCGGCACTCTATAAGGTCAGGTGTGAATTTAGCCTTCTGTTTAGAATGCAGTCATGTCTCCTGTTGCTTTTGAGAGTCAGTATGCACTATCAGTTAACCTGCCAGCCCTTTTGGCCCTTGGAATGATTTAGGACTTAGTAATTTAATCTTCATGTACAACCCCTTTTGTAGACAAATACTTGATGTCTCTATCATAAAAATTCCTTATTAAGGTTCCCCTATTATCATATCCTTAGTGCAACAGCAAGATATCTGGAAAACTATTGTGGAATTTAACCTCTAAGCTGTGATAGCTTTCATCAGTTTTACTGCCTTCAATTACTCCAAGGACTTTTTTTCCCCCCCGAGACAGATTTCTCTGTGTAGTTTTGGTGCCTGTCCTGGATCTCGCTCTGTAGACCAGGCTGGCCTCAAACTCACAGAGATCCGCCTGGCTCTGCCTCCCTAGTGCTGGGATTAAAGACGTGCGCCACGACCGCCTGGCTCCAAGGAACTATTATATGAGCTAAAACTTCGTCTCTGGGCCCGACCTACAGGATTTCCAGAAGCACAACTGTAAAGAGGTTTGTTTTCTCTTTGCTTCTCTAGTTTGTGTTTGCTTGCTTTGTTTTTGTTTTTTGAGATGGTGTCTCGGGTAGTCCCGGTTGGCGTCAACTCGCTTTTGTAGCCCTGTTCGTCTTAAGCTCTGGACACTTCTTTAATCAGATTCCTAAGTACTGAAATTTCAGGTGTGAACCGTCACATCCTACCTTCGCTTCTCTGTATTTCTCCCGCCTTCTCGGAAAGTAATAACAATCGATTCCTCCTTTGATACAGCTCTTCTCTTCCCTTGAGAAATGGGCTATGGAGTAGGACTTAGAACTAAACATATTAACCCGGGGTTGGGGATTTAGCTCTGTGGAGGCTCTGGGTTCAGCCAGACACTTACTGGTTTCCATGACTGGTTCTGGTTCTCAGGAAGCTCCCTTCTTTTTGAGGAAAAAAAAAAAAAAAAAAGACTGCAACAGTTAAGCTATTCAGAAGAAACAGCTTGGACAAACAATAATTTTCTCAGTAGAGTATCTTGTACACCTTGATTCCCACCCACCTCCCCAAAATCTAAGGCAAGGTTCTGACACTCAGTAACACCTGGCTTGACGGCCTAAGTGTTTCTCAACACTCTTCAGAGGAGTTGCTGGTGAAAATGTGGTCATCTGAGTGCTGACCAGCAGGTGGCGCTGTTCTACCTCCTTGTACCCTTAGACCTCATCCTAGGCAAACCAAAGTTGAGCCAACACTGCCCGCATTCCTGAGGCTGGTGCCTTTGTACAGATAATCTCTTGATCCAGGGAAGCAGATGGGCAGACTCCTGATAGCTTTTAGAGGCATGATGGATCGGCAGCAGGGAGACCAGCCAGTGTATTGTTTTCCTAGTGACAAACAATGCATGACACCAACAGGTGTCTCTGTCCATCCTCCTTCTGTCCTCATCCCTCCCAACACACGTCCCTAAAAAGAGTGTTGTGACTCCCATGCCCTGAGTCCTACCCACCGCATTCCTCTTTCCTCCCGTTCCTCCCTGAACAGCTTCTGATTTCATCTTGGATTAAGAGGATCTTACGGGTTGGCTATGCTGTTCAAGCACGAGGAACTGAATTCAGTTCCCCAACACCCACATAAAAGGCAGGTGTGGCTCTGTGCATCTGCAGTCCCAGTGCTGGGGGAAGGGGGGTAGAAACAGGTAGATCCCAGGGCTTGCTGGCCAGCTAGTCTAGCTAATCAGTGAGCTCCGGGTTCAGTGAGAGACCCCGTTTCAAAAACAACCTCTGCCTCCACACTCTCACAGGCAAGCACGTACACATCCACACACACACAAAAGAACATTACACATGGTTACACAAAAAATGTAAATATATACTTGCAGCCACCAAACGGTAGCCTCAAGATGGTTAAAACTGTATATTTTGTGTAAGTAGACACACACACACACACACACACACACACACACACACACACAGAGAGAGTTTTTTGAGACAGGGTTTCTCTGTGTAGCCCTGGCTGTCCTAGAACTCGATCTGTAGACCAGGCTGGCTTCAAACTCAGAGATCCACCTGCCTCTGCCTCCCAAGTGCTGGGATTAAAGGCTTGTGCCACCACCGCCTGGCATTGTGTCTGTATATTTTGCTACAATTATGAACTATAATAGTAACTAAACGTTGGGAAGAAAAAAAACCCACAAGATAGGGCTGACCTTTCCACATCCTTGCCTTTTCTTTGTTGAAGCAGCTCTAGAAGATGCTCCACATTCAGAAAGGTTTCTCTGGTGTAAACACATAGTTACTGGCTCTCTCCTCCCTCTCTTCCCTATACAGTTCCATCAAGACGATATGCTGCTTACTTACTTATTAGTCTTTAGGTCAGGAGCTGAGCTGTGAGCCTTTTCTGTTAGACAAAGATGCACACATTGTGATCTTCGCTCACTGTTGAAATCCCATTGCCGTTCTCCTTCAGCGTTCTTCCCAGTTCCTACAGACACCCTCCTCTCTGGCTTGTACGTGGAGTGGAGGGTCAGCAAGTTTTCAGGAAAGGGCCAGAGAGAATTTCTGGCTTTACAGACTCTGCAGCAGTTATTTTATTGGAGGGAGAGAACCACTAGACAATATGGAAATGAAAGAGCATGAGTGTGCTCTCATAAAAGTTTACTTACAGAACCAGGCTGTGGCAGGGCTTAACCCACAGATGGTACTTGGGGAAAAGATACCTTTCTTCCTCCTTCTGCCTCAACAAATCCACCACCCACACCCGCTTATGTTTTGTTTTGTTTGAAATAGGGTTTCTCTACATAGTCCTGGTTGTCCCAGAACTTACCGTGTAGACGAGGCTGGCCTCAAACGCATAGAGATCTACCTGCCTCTGTCTTTCAAGTACTGAGATTAAAGGCATATGCCACCATGCCCAGCCTGTTTCTTGTTCTTGTACATATCTATGAGAGATACTCACTGACTCTGTCAGAAAGGTAACAAAGGGGACAGACAGGGTTAAATTGAGGATTTAAAATTTTAAGACAACATTTTACATATTTAAATTTTTTAGCCAGGCAGTGGTGGTACAGGACTTTAATCCCAATACTCAGGAGGCAGAGGCAGGTAGATCTCTGAGTTTGAGGGTACTCTGGTCTACAGAGTGAGTTCCAGAACATCCAGAGCTACACAGAGAAAACCTCTCTCAACAAACAAATATTTTGTGAATTTCTATATGAATATGAAGATGCTTCTTTCAAACATAGTAGTAAGACAGTGTTTGTATAGTGTGTGTTCATGTGTGTATGTACTGTACTCCTGTGTGTAAAAGATGTTAAAACTGGCAACAAAATTCACCCCTAGGGAATTCCACTATCCTTCTGAAATATATTGGCTTGCTGTCTAGGACTCCTTCCCTTTCCTTCTCCCAAGATTTGCTTCACACCTAATTCTTGTCCTGGTTCTTAGCTGTTTCTGGCTAAGGACCTTCCCAGGGAGGTGTTACTTAACATCTCACAACATTGTTGCTAACCTGACATAGTGCTGGTTTGTGAAAACATCTGTCCTCCTGCCTCCAGATTTAGGACCAGGGCGATCTATCCATCTGTGCCTGTGAGCTAGGTTAAGCAACTCAAGCAGGCCTTCGAGTACTTGCTCAATCCTGGAGACAACATATTGTTGTTTTTTCAGGTTTCCAAAAACAGAGACATAGCGGTGTAACGAACAAGACTTCCGGAAACTGTGAGTGTGTATAGTGCACGCTGCCGTGTTTACATCATGAAGCTCTGGTGTCCTGAACTCTAACCCTCCTTATGTTTGAGCCTTTGAAAGTGAAGAACCAAGAGAAGAGCACTTGCCTCATGACAGGGACTGCATGTGAGGATCTAAACGCATTTGTAAGTGATCCACTCTGCCCTTTAAGCTGTTTTCCAAAGCCAAATGTGATTTAAAATAACATCGGCTTCTACTTTTCTCCTCACACAGATGCCGAGAAATGCCTGTGTAACTGACATATCCTTTTGTTACTGTTAAGATCCCTGTGAGCTAAGTCAATGTAGGGGGGTCTGGACCTAATCCCCAGCACCCCAAATAAAAAATAATAAATAACAATCCTCTGATACTTTTCTTCAAAACAGATGTCCTGTACAGTCTCTTCCTTCTCTTTGCAGAAAACATCAAGGTTGATGATGAAGGAAAGGCCAAAGTATAATAGGTAGTGAGTAAAGGTCATTATTTTCAATTTTAATCTCTTCAGGGCCATAGAGTAAGGTCTGGGGCAATACCTTTGCCTGCTTCCCAGTTTCTGTTACAGTCCACCCTTGATACCTCACTGCTCTGCTATGATCAGGGTTCCCTGTAGCATCTCTGTGGCATAAGGGCAGATGCCCACTTTGACCAGGACAAATAAACCCCGATGGGGTCAGGGTCAATGTGACCTCCATTTCCTATTGTGAAATCTAAGCTGGCTTTGTTGGGTAATTGAGAGATGAGAGGTTCCCTATTAATACACACATGCACATGCCAAGCCTTGTACACAAAAGCTAAGAATGTGGCATGGGGGAAGAAATGGATACCGGATAGCGTACATCTGGACTTGGAAGCCCCTCCCTTTGTCCAGGTCCTAAGAAAGAAAGGTCATTAGATTACTGGGAAGGAGGCTGAGTAGTATAGAGATGAGACTTCCATGTGTCTCTCTTTTTCAGTGCTTGGTGTAGAACCCAGGGATCTATGCACATCTGGGAAGCAATACTACCCCAGAACTGTGCTCTCAGCTTCAACACGTCTTTGAGTAAGAAAGTATTTTCCGGTGTAAGAACGTGTCAGCATGTATTACATGCAAAAGCATTATGTTGCCTATGTACCCATAGCCTGTGAACCCACAAGTAAGCCGTCTCCCTAATACTTACATCAGCTGCCTTCTTCTCTGCCAGCTCCAGCTTCTCCTGGGCATCTTTTAAAGCTTCAGAATACTTGTCCAGCTCATCTTCTGTTCCTTTCAGCTTCTTCTGCATGGTTGCTAATTCATCCTCTAGCTGTAGGAGCCCAAAGAGTAACCAGAGACATAAACACAACCATGCATGCTCGGACTCTAAAGACCTCTGAGCTCTGCCTCCACGTTATCATCCCCCCCGGAGAGACACACTTTCTCCAGCCACTGTTCCATGTGTTATCCTATGCATTGACATCAGACTCTATAATTTCTGGCCCTAAGATGACCAAGTCTGGAGTTTTCATCCAAGACTATTGGATGGTAGACACCTAGTGGGTCTGTGATGCCTTTGAAGAGAGGGGAAAAAATGGACCACGTTCTTACCTTTTGTGCCAGAAGTGAAACATTCTTCAAAAACTTGTTCTACTTCTACCTAAGTCCAACAGGCACACTGTGGCACACAAGAGGCTACCGGCTTTCTCAAGGTCATATGGACAGTCTAAGGTGGATACCCCAGAGCAGTGCTTCTCAACCTTCCTGATGCTGTGACCCTTTCATGCAGTTCTTCATATCACGGTGACCTCCAACCATAAAATTATTTTATTGCTGCTTCATAACTATAAATTTGCTGCTACTGTTATGAATGGTAATGTGTTTTCTGATGGTCTTAGGCAACCCCTGTAATTCCCAGCAGGGTCCTGGCCCCCAAGTTGAGAACCACTGTTCTGGATGTTCTCTGCTTCTTCATTTTCCCATGAAAACCAACCACTTTTCCTCTCTCTCTCTCTCTCTCTCTCTCTCTCTCTCTCTCTCTCTCTCACTCTCTTTTCTAAGACAGGGTTTCTCTGTGTATCTCTGGCTGTCCTGGAACCCGCTATGTAGACCAGGCTAGCCTCTGCCTCCCGAGCGCTGGGATTAAAGGCCCACCTCTGTTTTGTAACCAGCAAGAAGAGAAAGGCCAATGCCAGTGCCTACCTGTTTGCTTCTTTCTTCTGCCTGCTTCTGCTCAGCTTCAGCTTGCTCAGCCCGGTCCAGAACATTCTCCTTGTCTAACTTCAGCATCTGCATCTTTTTCTTGATGGCCTCCATCATGAGCTGGGACTGTTGGTGGGCTTACCTGAGAACACTGGCGAACGGGAGGCTAGGACAAGAAAGGAAGGGCTGCCACCTGAGTGACTAGAGGTTCCCCAAGTTTGAGCCTTTATCTCTGGTCACGGCTCCACCTCTTATTCCTAACATGGTCCTTCTAGCTCCCTCCCGCCCATCACTGTTCCCCTGGGGGAACACAGGGTCACACGCATTGATAGACTGACATCACCAGCAAGAAAAAAAATATTGAGGGACAGCTGAGGCTGATTTTAGACAATGGAAAGTGGGGGTGGTGGGAGGCTGACCTTGAAACTTTCCACTCATTCTTGGCAGCTCTGTGGATCTTTCAAAAGTGGAGGGACAGAGAGAACACTGGAATAGGGAATTCTTTGGCAGTTCTAGCCACCAGAGGGTCCCAGTTGCCTTTAGCGCTCTCATTTTCCCCTGGACTGTATTGGATATGGACCAAACTCTACTAGTTGAGTTAGATCTTTTGATTCCTGGTATTTAGGGAGCGTGAGCAACAGTGAAGAGGGGAGGTCACTCATGATCCTTGACAATTCCCCCAGATTGCCAGTTGGAATTGCTGTGCTATTTTGGGATTCTCTAATTGGCAGGGAGACATCGGCCTGTAAGAGCCATAGGATAGCGCAGGAGGGTTAGGATCGGAATGGCTGTCCTAGGGTTTCAAGTGGGTGAGAAATAAGGAGGGTCACATACAAGATCATAACTTCTGTTTTCTCATAGTGTTCTTAAAATAGAACTTTCACACCCATATGTATCAAAGTCTGTGTTGCTCTCTACTCCACTGCTCCCTCTGTGAACCCCTGCCCAGCCTACTGCCCACCATGCCATGCCATTATAGTCATCACTGCCATCTCTGTGTTCCCCAGGGTAGAGCCAGCCTCGTTTCTAATTCCATCTGGAATCTCGTTATGGACAGGTGGCAATTGAGCCCATACACAGTTGCCATATACCCAAGTATGCCAGAGAAGTGGACACTGTTCAAGGTGACCAGAGCTATGGGGGTGGGGGGAGTGAGGTGGGATGGGGGGCGGGGGGAGAACAGAAATGGTTCTAATTAATTCTTAATGTCAAGTTAGTGTCAAGGCTAAACCGCAGCAGTGTGGTGACTGAGTCAAGCGCAGGGTGGGGGCAGGGCGGAGCTGCCTCACTCCTGAGAGCCTCCACAAAGTCAGGAGCGAAGGAGCAGACCACTGGATGGACCACCTGCATACACACACACACACATACACACACACACACACACACACACACACACACACACACACACACACACACACAAGACAGCAGGCACAGGGCATGGTGGCACACGCCTTTAACCTGGAGGCAGAGGCAGTAGGATCTCTGTGAGTTCAAGGCCATCCTGGTCTACATAGTAAGTTCCAGGACCACCAGGGCTACATAGAGAGACCCTGTCTCAAAAACCAGAAAAGACGGGGAAGAGTCTCAGAGCCCCAGGGACTGAAGTAGCGGAGGGGTGATGCCAAGTCTCCTCACTGCTGTGAGAATATGTCTGACATTTAGTTGGTTCCTAATTTAACAACCCAATATCAAACATATCACACAGAAGCCGGCAGGCGAGCTTTGGTAGCGATCTGCCTTTCTCCCCGCTGTGAAGAAAGGTCAGGGAAGACAGGCCAGAGCCTAGGCATGGACAGATGGAAACCCATCTTCTTCAAGGGCACTGACCCTTGCTCTTCCCCTCCCAAAACATGTTCTTGCTCATCTGTCCTTCATGCCATCCCTGCCACATCCCTCTTCCCCTGTGTCGGGTGGCTGCTGGATCATGTTTGCCGAAAGCAAGAACACTGGGCAGGACTCCACATCCGGGACATTTCCCAAAGCTCCCATATGAAGCTTCACCCTGTTGTGTGACAGTACCGGCTTCCAGAGGCTCACCAGTGTCAACAGCTCCTCTACAGCTTTGCCACCTGCCTTTTCGATGCCATCTGAGCTGCCCAGGGCTTTCCAGGGGGTAGGGTTAGGGGTTTGCATATCATCTGCTTTCCATTTCCAAGCAAACTCCTAACCTTCCCAGATTTCTCCCATGAGACTGCTCAGTCTTCTCCGTGCACTCCAACTTCACAGCTTCTAGTACTGGAAACAGTAGTCATGGGGAACTTCTGAAATGCTGGGCTGCTGCTTCTGGACATCTCGTGCCTTGTCTCCTCCCCATGTCCTTTAGACAACCTCCTTCAAGTTATCATTGGATGTCCAGAACAGAAAAGCGGTTTCCCTCACAGGCTTCAGTCTGGGCTCCAGACAAGAAGACTCACAGCTTCTCTTGCCTGCTTAATTTGAAGTGAAGGCTTTTAGATTGAGAGCAAGAGAGTGCTGCTTCTGCCAGAAAGTGGCCGCAGACCTCAGGACTTCTTTTCTGCAGCTTTTTATCACCAGAGCTCCTGGGCTGGCTTCTCTAAGGCTCTAACTTCACAAGGATTCAACCTGGTTCTCTCTCTCTCTCTCTCTCTCTCTCTCTCTCTCTCTCTCTCTCTCTCCCCTTTTGGAGAGAATTGGGTATGTGGAGCATCATTTGGCAGGCAAATGTTTCATTCACTGTGGCAGAAAGGAGCCCAAGTTATAGCTGCATGGAGGGTGGGAGGGCACTTTCTATCAGTCCCCAGGCATGTTCCATGTGTCCTTGCCCCCATCAATCCTGATGTCTCCTTCCCGCATACACCCACTCCACAGTGACTTTGATCTCGATCAATAGCTTGTCCCAACACCCAGTCAATTCCTATTGTATGTCACTGGCCTTCCAGGGAAAGACTAACAAATGGACCTAGGTCCCAAGACAGGCATTTGTGGCAGTGTCTTTTCTCTTTTGTAGTTCCCAGAGTTTGTGGGTATATATGGAATATTTACATGCTTGCCCTCCATTTACTCTTGAGAAGTATGACCTGATGATTCTCTGCATCTCCATTTACTCTCAACTCTCATCTTTCAAGTTCTATTTTTTTTTTTCTGAAGCCTTGACTATGGTGGGAAAACAGAGGAGGACGAAAAGAGGCAGGACAGGGACTAGCAAGACTGGAGGACTTGCCTGGAAGTGGTGTCGCACGCCTTTAATCCCAGCACTCAGGAGGCAGATGCAGGTGGATCTTTGAGGCCAGCCTGGTCTACATAGTGAGCTCCAGGACAGCAGGACTACATAGAGACCCTGTTCTCAAAAACAAACAAACAAACAAACAAACAAACAGAACTGAAAACATTAGTGTTTAGGGTACTAGAGGAACAAAGGAAGACTGGGAATATTGGTGTGTGGAGGTGTAGCTCTCTAGGGAAACTTTGGATGCACAATTAGAAACATCAAGCCTGATAATAACACTTTAGCGTTCCCCCTTTTTTTTCTTCCTACACTTTTATATTTTTGTGTGTGGTTGTGTCCTTGTTCCTCTGTGAAGATCAGAGGAACAACTTCTAGGAGTCTGTTGTCTCTAACTATGTGGGCGGGTTCTTCAAACTCAGGTCACCAGGCATGGCAGCAAGTCCCTCTACCCACTGAGGCAGCTCACTGAGATAGATGGTTTGTGTTTTTCAGCTGTTTCAGATAGGTCTAAGTCCCTCTAAGCCACAAGACCAGGGTATAACATCAGCTAGAGCAACAACAGGGGCTGGAGGGGTGCAATTGATGATGTGATGAGAGCACACAGAATTGGCAGGGAGGGTCAGGGAAGATGGGTGTTATAGTGGGCCAACCTGCCAATAATGGAGCCAGCCTGGCACTGACAAGCCCTGAGGGAATAGGCCAAGGTCGGAGATCCAGGCAGAGGGGATGGGGCATCCAGCGAGTCCAAATGAGCAGAGAAATCAGAGGTTGTTTAGTATAGTGGGAGTGAAGGTAGAGGGAGAAAGAACCATGGAGTAGCAAGACAGCATTACCGTTTCCTGTTTATATGATGTATTAAGTGTGACTTCTTCTAAGTGCCTTATTTAATTCCCACAGCAACCCAATAAGGTAGAAATTGTTTCCATTTCATAAATAAGCAACAAAAACTCAGACTTAGAACTATTCCTCAAAAGACATTTTATGTGCATGGGCATTTTATCTGCATGTTTGTCTGTGTACCACTTGCATGCCTAGTATCTGCAGAGGCCAGAAAAGGGCACTGGATCCTTGTCTATAACTCCAGCTCCAGACAATTGTGAGCTGCCATATGGATGCTAGGACTCCAATCTGGGTTCTCCGTAAGAGCAGCCAGTGTTCTTAACCACTGAGCCATCTCTCCAGCAAACCGCCCCACCTTAGCCCCCAATATTAAAATGTGCACCAGGCCAAACACCCACTAAGTGGCAGAATAAAGACTGAGAACCAGATCTGTCCACTATTCTCTTGACTCTAGGCCACACTACCTGTGAAGAAGCAGGTGGCCTGGGAGACAGTACGAAGCTGAAAGAGAGGTAAGGATGGTATCGACCAGACTAACAGGCCAGGAACAGACAGAAGGACTGGAAATTCAGTCCTGTTTGGTGTCAAATCCAGTGAGGTGTTTGTGGCTTCATCTCCTACAAAGCTCACACTACACCTGTAATTACTGTGCACAGCCTGCTTTCTCCACCAGCCTGGGAGCGCCATTTCATTTGATGTGAGTATTCATAGCTGGTTACTAATGGTGGGGGATTAGGAAGCAGTGGTGACGAGGGCAGAGTATGTGATAAACAGTGACATTGAACTGGAGGTGGCTTAGCCACAGGACCAAGGCAGGGCCTGGGTTCCAGGGAAATGGGAGGCTATTGGAGGCCAGTCTCTGGGTTTGTGCTCTCTGCCTGCTCACCTGCTTCACCCTGAAGACAATCCCAGCTGGGTCTGTCCTCTGTAGAAGAGGGTCCGATATCGTGTCCCTCGACCTGACCCTGAAACCTGTGCTGTTCTTTGTACCTGTTGCCTCTCCATGGTCTGCACGGGTGGAAGTGGAGGGGCGGGAGGTAGTAGCTCCCGACAGCTAAATGAAAACTGCAGGCTTTGATGAGAGCTAAGGATAGAGACGGACTGGAAAGGTTAAGAACGAGAGAGTTGTGCAGTGGATACAGCCACACTGAAGCTGAGGGTAAGAAAAGATCCTATGGCACAGAGGAGTGACCAGTGACAGTACTGATGACAGGGGCAAGTATCAGAAATTACATCAGAGGACATATTCTCACAGCAGCTCCTGACTGTGAAATTGGGGGGTCCTCTGGATGTCACTTGTTTTCCCGTGGCTACAGGTGCATGTGTTACTACTTTCCAGGATTTTCAGTGTCAAATACCTTGAGAATGGACACGCTTTTTCCAGCCCAAGCCCACCACGAGATACTTAACACCCGCTACACTGCACACCCAATGCCTGGAGGGGTCAGAGTTTGGAATCCTCTCAGTTTTGTAGAGTAGGAATTCAGGCCTAGAAGGGGCTAACACATGTTTTCACAATAATGAGATACCCTCCAAACCTAAAATTCAGCGCCCCCCGCCCCAACACTCAGGTACCACATATACCTCTAGATTAACAGCCATGTTTAAAGCTATTTGTCCACAAATTCAGAAAAGATCAGTGAAACCAAGGTCTGAGACTTAGCGTTTCTAACTAATGACCACCATGACCAAAAAGCAAGTTGGAGAGGAGAGGGTTTTATTCAGCTTACACTTCCACATTGCTGTTCATCAACAAAGGAAGTCAGCACAGGAACTCAAACAGGGCAGGAACCTAGAGGCAGGAGTTGATGCCGAGGCCATGAGGGGTGCTGCTTACTGGCTTGTTCCATATGGCTTTCTCATAGAGCCCAGGACCACCAACCCAGGGATGGCATTGCCCACCATGGACTGGGCCCTCCCCCACTGATCACTAATTGAGAAAATCCTTACAGATGGATCTCATGGAGGCATTTCCTCAACTGAGGTTCCTTCCTCTCTGATGACTCTAGCTTGTTGTGAGTTGACACACAAAACCAGCCAGTATAGAAGCAGTAATCAGAATCTAGGAAGTAAAACTATGGCAGCCAAGAATAAACCAAGACTCAGGGCTGATAATAAACCCCATGACCTAAATCTAAATTTTTAAGAGTTCGCTTTATTTGTTAAACCAAATCACAACTTTTTTAAACCAGACACTGTACATCCTCTCCCCTTAGGATACTGCATATCCCACGCTAACCACAAGGCGTCACTCTTGTTTTCCGAGGCGACATTTGGGTTGACTTGACAGTGAGAAAGAGGTGGTCTTAAGTCCCAGGTCCAGGTTTGTTTTGGGAAGCTCCAGGGAGAGACTAGAGGCTGGGTTGGCAGGCATGAGGGAAGAGCAGTGTTTGGGCAGCCTCAGAGTCTCTCCTCATAAAAAGCTTTGCCCATCCGACTGAGTTCCTGCTGGTACTGTTGATGTTCCTTTTCAAACAGCTCGTGTAAGGCAGCTTGACGGACCTGGTAGGGAAGGCAGTGAAGTGTGGTGCTGGCTCTTTAATGCTGCTCCTCGGTCTCTGGATGCCTCCCCATCCCTGTGTTCCCTTGGACCTGGCCTTAGCAGGGATGTAAGAAGAGGTGGTAGAAGAGAGTAAATCAGTGGAGGAAAGCCTATTTAATTTCCCCACCCTTGGGTGAAGACTCATTATTCAACAAATATTTTGCTGAGAATGTACCATGAACTACGAAATCTGCCAGGTACTCAAGATACTAAGAGGTGACATGGCATTTGGCACCTCAAGTGGAGAAGAGCGGCTTAGGGTCTCACCTGGATGAAAAGAGCAAAGTCATGCATTGAGAATTGGAAATGTGTCACCTGCAGCTGGGTGATGGGACATGCTTATAATTTCAGCATATGGGAGGCTAAGACAGGATGTCTGCAAGTTCCAGGCCATCCTGGGATGCAGAGGAAGACCTTGTCTCAAAAATAAATACGTAAAATAAATCCCCTGACTGGGTGTGGTGGTGCACTTTAACCTAGCATGCAGGGGTGCAGAGGCAGGAGGCCAGCCTGGTCTACATAGCAAGTTCCAGGTCAGCTAGGGGTACATAGTGAGACTGTTCCAAACAAAATCCAACCCATCCCAACCCAAAGAACCCAAGAAAACAAAGCTTCACTAAGCCCAAAACTAAACAAGGAGTGCCACCTGCAAACAATGAAAAAAATTGAAAAAACCTCACTGACTGAAAAAGAGCTTTGACATTTGATGTTAATGTTCTGATAACAATCATGAAAAATCTCAGAGGCAAACAATATAGTTAAGTCATGACAGAGAGTTTGATATGCCAGCTGGCAGGGACACAGCAGGGAAGGAGGAAGACTTCAGGAAGCCCTCCTAGAACTCACCACCAGCAGCTGTCTGTTGGACTGTGCTAACTCCTGCTCCATAGCACCCTGCATCCTTAGGGTAGCATACAGGTTTCTCCGTTGGCTCAATGTCATCTGCCACATACAGTGAGTATGTGAATCCCGCCATCTGTTCCAGGGTTAGGGTGGGGATTAAGTGGGGGAGAGGAGTAGAGACACATCCTTACTCATGTGGTTCCTTTGTGACCAGAACCTCTGCCACTGTCAGAAGACTGCAAAGTTCTTGAAAGGTTAGCCAGAACTGACGTGGAATCTAGTGTGTAAGTGCTGTTCCTGAATCATACCATCAAGAGGCAGAGCTGACAGCTGTTACAGTGCACACAAAAGGAAACAGCAAGTTGTCTCACCTACATCATTTAGAACTGGGTCCCAGTTCATTGTTCCTAACCAGTACCTTTTTGGTTTTGTGTTTTCAAGACAGGGTTTCTGTGTAGTTCTGCCTGCCTCTGCCTTCTGAGTGCTGGGATTAAAGGTGTGCGGCACCACCCAGCTATTTTTTTTTTTTAATTTTATTTATTATGTATACAGTGTTTTACCCTCATGTATACCTGTATGCCAGAAGAGGGCACCAGATCTCATTACAGATGGTTGAGAGCCACCATGTGGTTGCTGGGAATTGAACTCAGGATCCCTGGAAGAGCTGTCCTCTTAACTTCTGATCTTAACCTCTGAGCCATCTCTCCAGCCCCGTCCCCAGCTATTTTTTTAAAAAGACAGTTTCATGTAGTTGGCTGGCCTCCAACTCACTATGTAGCTAACCCTGAACTTCTGATGCTCCTGTATCTCCTGAATGCTGAGGAATAAACCTAAGGCTCTGTGCATACTAGGCAGGCAGTCTACCAGTGAGCTATCTGTACCAACTCCCTTGCCCTGCAATGTCTCACCATATAACCTAATTCCCTGGAATTATGTAGACTAGTCTGGGCTAAAACTCTGAGACCCACCTGTCTCTGCTCTCTCTATTGTTGAGATTAAAAGCATATAGCACCATATTGGGCCCCACTTTGGTTTTATTTTATTTTTTTATTTTTTCAGACAGGGTTTCTTGGTAGCTATGAAGCCTGTCCTGGAACTCAGTCTGTAGCCTAGGCTGGCCTCAAACTCAGAGATCCACCTATCTCTGCCTTCCAAGTGCTGGGATTAAAGGTGTGTGCCACCACTGCACAGCCCGTTTTGGGGTTTTTGAGAGTGTATCAATCACACTGTAACCTCGGCTGGCCTTAGACTTATGCTCATCCAAGTACTGAGATTATAGGTGTGAGCCCCCATGCCCTGCTTCTGCCAGCATTTCTTTAAAAAACTCAGGACTGGAGGTACAGCTGGTGGTAGAGCACTTCCATGCACAAAAATCAAAACCTCAGCAGGTGGAATACGCAATTCCGTCTTCTGGGTATTGTGTCACTCGTTCAACAACTGTTGAAGTATCTGCTATATCATTAGTACAAAGCCAGGGAAGAAACACGTGAGATTGAAAAACAAAGCAAAAAAACAAAAGAAGAAAAAAGAATGGCAAACACTTGTGCCTTTCCCGCAGAGATTGGGAAGCAGGCACAGAAAAAAACCAGACTTATCTACTAGGCGTTAACATGCCCATCTCCGACTGCTCCCTGTCTGCTCCACGTTTTCTTTCTGGAGGAGTCCCCAAGGAGAGCTGATGTAGGCGATGGCTCAGGGAGAGGAGAGTGGAAAAGAAAGTGAGGGGAGGAGATGGAAACACAGACTACCTGTTGACCAGCTTCTTAAGTGCCACGGCTCTTTGCAAATTCTGAAAGAGAAGGGAGTTCTGTTGATCTGCCTTGATTACTAGAATCTGACCGCCAGTCCCCTTTTGAGGAACGAAGTAGTCAGTATCCTAGGGGGAAGTGGGAAAGCTCTGCATTTCTCAGAATGGACTGAAGAGAAAATACAGGGGCCAGAGTGGGACATATGTGAACAGCTCCTGTTTCAGAAGCAGCTTCCCATTTTTGCTAACTGTCCTGCAACTCTTCCAAGGGCCTTTCTTTCTCAGGAATGCTGAACTGGGCACACCCACCCGGAAACTACACCAAGGGACTCCTCCAACGTCCGCCCCTCCAGCTCTGCCTACCTCTTCTACTTTTGTCATTTTTTCCGCAGACATGTCTACAGACATGGTTGGTGTTTCTGAGGCCACTGGGAAGGCTCTCCTTTCTGTTTAGTTTGGTCACTAAGGTTTCAGTAGTCATAGCAACAGTTAGGCGTCCAACAATGACCCTGGTCCTGGGAGTTGACTGGTTACTTGGCCTGTTGCCCTAGTGACCTAAAGAGAATCTTGGTTCTCTAGCTTTCTATTAGTGACAAGGCCAGGCTATCATGAGCAAGAGCCACAGAGTCCCTATTTCAGGATTTCAGACTACCTGCAAAGTCTAGATCCAGACACACACACAGTCCATCCAGTTTCTGGCAGCAAAGCTTCACACCCTATGTCCTGGAAGGGAAATGCAGACACACATCAAATGACCATTGTTCTAAAACCCACTTTAAATGATTCATGGCCGGGAAGTGGTAGTGCACCTTTAATCCCAGCACTGGAGGCAGAGGCAGGTGGATCTCCATGAGATCAAGGCCAGCCTGGTCTACAGAGAGAGTTCTAAGACGGACAGGGCTACATAGAGAAATCCTGTCTCCAAAAGAAAAAAAAAAAATCATGGCTTTTCAGTAGTTAATTTTATTAAATAATTTGTAAACTGAGACTAATACACTGACATTAGAGGAAATCACTTCACGTTGTCTCATCATCTTGGCATAGGTGATGCCAAGTGCCAGAACATTCTTTTTACTTGTCATACATAACAGTATTGGGTGAAAGTGGGACAAATGTTTCCACTTCAGGAAAGTCATGTTCATACACCTGGTTTAAAGGGAGCACCAAATTCCCAGAGGACATTCTACCCACTTCCTCACTCCCTTTTCCTCATGAGGCTCTGCTAAACTTTTCCACCAAACAATCTGAGATGCTCTAAACCCAAATATTTCTATTCAACTGAGTGCAACAGGGTAGACATAGCAGACATCTCACCTCAATTAACACCTTTGGGACTGAACAGCATTGAACAAGGTTAAGTGAATTACAGCCCAAAACAAGTGAAGATATTCAAGGAAGCTTTGACAGAAACATTAATGACATTTGAATTCAAATCCAGAAAAAGTGCTAATGGGAGATAATGAGGTCTTGGCCAATACTTAAAATGCCTCTTAAGAAAGGGCTGGGGAAGCCGGGCGGTGGTGGCGCACGCCTTTAATCCCAGCACTCGGGAGGCAGAGGCAGGCGGATCTCTGTGAGTTCGAGGCCAGCCTGGGCTACCAAGTGAGTTCCAGGAGAGGCTCAAAGCTACACAGAGAAACCCTGTCTCGAAAAACCAAAAAACAAAAAACAAAACAAAAAAAAAAAACAAAACAAAACAAAAAAAAAAAAAAAGAAAGGGCTGGGGAATGTCCTTCAGACCCAGCTCTGTAAGAACTCTGGGAAGTCTGGGCCTGCTGACCAGATCCTGAAGCCGCACAGGTGGCATCTGCAGCTCCATCACAGAGTACTCTCCAGGGTGTTATAGTTGTCCTTAAAACTCTTCAGTTCCAGGAAGTGCTTAGGACGTTTGCTCTTCTGACTGGAGGGGAGGTATGTGACCTGGATGGTTGTTGGCGACATTTCAGGTGACTGAGTTAGGTCTTTGGCTGCTGATTGGTGTTGTCTCTGAGAGCTCCCAATTCGTGCTTTGACCCTGAAGAATACACAGAAGACATGGACAGAATGAGAACTAGCAGAAAAGGGGCTGGAGAGATGGCTCAGTGGTTAAGGGCATATCGTGCTCCACCAGAGGATCAGAGTTCAATGCCTGGTGTCTGTAATTCTAGCTCCAGGCCAGAACCTCTGCCTATACTTACACAGAACTAAAACCAATAAAAAAAAAAAAAATCTTAAAAACAAAAAACAGAATACAATTCAGAAATTATTCCACTCCATAAATGCAGCTAAAATGGTCTCTGATATATTTTACCAGTGACTAAGCAAGGCACAGTGGCCCACACCTGTAATTCCTGGAGGCAGAAGCAGCATCACAAATTCAATGCCAGTCTGTCTATATAACAAGTCTGTCTGACTGACACACACACACACTGAACCCTCTCCTGCCCCCCAGAAACAAACAAAAAACCCAAACTACTCATTACTAGAACCATTTGATAATTTAGGTATGACAGGAAAAACAAATTTTATTAAGTCCTCATTTCCATCATAATCCTTTTTGGGGTGTGGAGAGGGAGAGGGGACAGAAAGGGTCCTACTATGCAGGCTAGGCTGGCCTTACAGGAAGTGGGCCATCACATCTGGCTCCAGCAACAAAGTATTCAATGAAATACACAGGAAACCTGTTTCCTAGAGAGGGTTTCTCTGTGTAGCTCTGGCTGACTTGGAACTTACTCTGTAGACCAGGCTGGCCTTGAACTCACAGATCTGCCTGCCTCTGCCTCCCGAGTGCTGGGAAAGTATATGCTTCGATATTGCTAAGTACAATCACAATGTTGTATAGCCAACCTTCAAAATACTTTCCACTTTACAAAACTATGTTTATGTTGACTAAATAATGCTGTCTTATCTTCCTAAGTCTTAGCAACTACCATTCTATATCCTGTCTGAGTCTGACTTCTTAGATCATGTAAGTAAATCAGCATTTATCTTTCAAATGATTTTTCTTTTCTTTTTTTTTGGCTTTGGTTATTTTAGACAGGGTTTCTCTGTGTAGTTTTGGTGCCTGTCCTGGATCTTGCTCTGAAGACAAGGCTGGCCTCAGACTCAGAGATCCATTTGCCTCTGCCTCCCGAGTGCTGGGATTAAAGTCGCGAACCACCGACACCCGGCTCCTTTTTGGTTTTTCTGAGATGGGGTTTCTCTGTGTAGCCTTGGCTGTCCCAGAATTTACTCTGTAGACCAGGCTGGCCTTGAACTCAGAGATCCACCTGCCTCTGCCTCCTGAGTGCTGGGATTAAAGGTATGCACCACCACGCCCAGCTCAAGAGAATTTTTAACAGGTTTCCTGCCTAACTTCAAGATTTTTTGTGTATATGTGCCTACAAGTTTATGTTCACTGCACATGTAAAGGAGCCCAAAGATGTCAGAAGTTGGTGTCACATCCCCTGGACTGGTCACTGTGAGCCACCCAATGTAAGTGGTAAGAAAAAAACCCAGATACTCCAAAAGAGAAGTACTTTTCACAGCTAAGCATCTATCCAAGTGCTAAAAGTTTATTTTAAATTTTTGCTTTTTATGTATATGTCTGTGTGAATGTAGGCTACCTATGTGTGGGTACCCTTGGAGGCCAGGAGAGGTGATAGATCCCCTGGAGCTTAAGTTACAGGCAGTTATGATCTGTCTGACACAGTTGCTGGGAACTAATCTCTGGGCCTCTAGAAGAGTAACAAGCACTCTTATAAATGCTGAGCCATATCTCCAGACTCCTTGTCTAACCCGTAAACTAAATTTTCTTTTTTAGCTTTGTATGTTATTTTGGTCTGAATGAGAATGGCCCCCATGGGCTCCTATGTTTAAATACTTGGGTCCCCCGTTGATGGAACTGTTTTTGGGGGATTAGAAAGTGTGGCCTTGTTAAATGTGGTATGACACGGCCGGGCGGTGGTGGCGCACGCCTTTAATCCCAGCACTTGGGAGGCAGAGCCAGGCGGATCTCTGTGAGTTCAAGGCCAGCCTGGTCTCCAAAGCGAGTTCCAGGAAAGGCGCAAAGCTACACAGAGAAACCCTGTCTCGAAAAACCAAAAAAAAAAAAAAAAAAAAAAAAAAAAAAAATGTGGTATGACACATTTCAAATGATTTACGATTTACAGCATTCCCAGTCTCTCTCTGCCTTGTACTTGTGCATCAGGATGTGAGGTCTAATGTGCTCCAGTGCCCTGCTGGCCTGTCTGCTGCCATGCTAACCCCCATGATGGTCATGGACTCCGAACCTTTGGCCATAGTGAATTATCACAGCAACAGAAAGATATCTAAGTAATATGTGGTTGTTTTCATTACTGCTCTACACAAAAGAACACAGTAGAAACCATGTATTATTTTTATGGCTGTTAGCTTAAATTAAAAAAAAAATTGTTTTATGTGTATGAATGTTTTGCTTGAATGTATGTGTACCATGTGCATGCCCAGTGCACAAGGAGGTCAGAAGGCATCAGATCCCTGGAACTGGAGTTATGGATGGCTGTGAGCCATCCTGTGGGTGCTGGCATTTCAATAGCAACAAGTATTCTTAACACAGAGCCACTTTCCAGTCCTGGTATTATTATGGTTATTTGAGGTTGAAACAAAGTCTCTCTTCACCAGCGTGGCCTTGAGCTCCGTATGTAACTGAGGATTACTATGAACACTCTCCACATCTCCACCTTCAGTGCTATGTTTTCAAGAGTGCATCACTGGCCAGCTTTCTGCAACACTGGGGACTGAACCCAGGGACTGTGCCTGTTTGGCACGCACTCTACCAATTGAATTCTATCTCCAGCCCTTGGTAACTAACTCTAGATCGACTTTCCTTTTTCAATATGCATGCTCATCCACAACTTGCCTAAGTGGCATAATGAAGCTATTTTAAAACATTCACCAGTCAGATTCTTCTAAAAACACCTGCTCAAAAGCAGACTCTTTATTGATGTTCTTTCTTTAAAGACAGGGTTACACTGCTTTATATGGTTAAAAAAAAGTTGGGTGGAATTTAATTCTTACTTTTATTGGACCAAGGCACAAAAAGAGGACCCTAGAACAGAAGGAATCCTTATGTGCTAAAACTTTATTCCTTTGCTAGCTATAGCATTTTTGACATAAAAAAAAAAAAAAAAAAGATTTGTTATTTACTGTGTATGGGTTTTTTTGACTGAATGTATGTCTGTGCACTACATACATGCCAGGTTTCTGTGGAGGCCAGAAGAGGGCATCAGATCCCGCTGTAACAGGAGTTACAAATGGTTGTGAGGTACCATGTGGATGGTGGGTATCGAACCCTGGTCATCTGTAGGGGCAGCTAGTATTCTTAACCTCTGAGCCATCTCTCCAGACCTTTTGATTTTCCTGGCTTTCCCTACTAAGTGCTGGTATTAAAGGCCCGCACCACTACATTCAGACCCCTTGACATTTTAGTGGGTCAGACAAAAGCAGAAACAAAAAAACCCACAAAATAAAAATAGCAACCAAAATATGCATACAAAGTAGAAGTTTTTCTTACTAGCCTGTAGCACAAAATATCTGCTTGTTAATTCTGATGAGTTTTGTGTGAACAGTCTAGCACTTCTGTATTCTTTTATACTTACTTTGTTTAGAGACAGGGTCTTGTTATATAGCCTGGGCTGGCCTAGACCTAGAGATCCTTCTCCTTACTGTACTTCTATGTCTAAGTAGCCCTCTATGACATGCCCTACCGTACTTACACAGTGGCCAGCTCACTTAAGGCCTCCTGATACCGCAAATATTCACTCTGGCCGAAAACCTTAGGGAAGAGAAAGGAAGAATCAGTCTCTTTGTCTGGAGCTTCCATCCCTTTAGTTCTTTGAGGGAAAAACTGTCCAACTTACCCCTGTCCCATAGCGGGCTGTCTCATATCCATCCAGGAGGGTATCAATAAGGGCCTTACGTACACCCTTGAATGGAGTGCTAGTGCTTCGCAGATCTAGCAAGTAGGAGCGGAAATTCTTACCCATTAGAGAACAGGGATGCCGGCCTTCAGCATGAAATGGGATCTCTGAGAATACAACAACATAATGATACCTCTTTTCCTTGTCTTTTTTCCTAGTTAATTTCCAAACTTAGAAATAGCTCTGCCGGGGGTGGGTGGGGTGGGGTGGGGGGGGTGGGGGGTGGTGGGGGGTGTGTGGTGGTGGTGGTGGTGGTGGCGGCGGCGGTGCACGCACTCAGGAGGCAGAGCCAGGCAGATCGCTGTGAGTTCAAGGACAGTCTGGTTTACAGAGTGAGAGCTAAGACAGGTACTAAAACTACACAGAGAAACCCTGTCTCAAAAAAGAAAAAAAAAAAGAAATAGCTCTAATTAAGCTGGGCGGTGGTGGCGCACACCTTTAATCCCAGCACTCTGGAGGCAGAGGCAGACAGATCTCTGTAAGTTCCAGGACAGTCAGGGCTATCAGAAACCCTGTTTTGAAAAACAAAAAACAAACAAAAATATCTTCAATTATCATCACGAAAACCTCTATTTTCTAAAGTTAATATACACTAATAAAAATACTACACCTAACAACATGAGCTCAAAATAGTTTCTAATAGAATTAAGATCTGAGGAACACAGCTATGCCCAAGTGGTCATTTGGGTGGTGGTTACACAATTCTAAGCTCTATGCATTAACATCCTTTTTATACTGTTCTACTTGGCCATCTTGGCTTTAAGATGTAAGATATAAGGCCGGGCGGTGGTGGCGCACGCCTTTAATCCCAGCACTCGGGAGGCAGAGCCAGGCGGATCTCTGTGAGTTCGAGGCCAGCCTGGTCTCCAAAGCGAGTTCCAGGAAAGGCGCAAAGCTACACAGAGAAACCCTGTCTCAAAAAACCAAAAAACAAAAAACAAAACAAAACAAAAAACAAAACAAAACAAAACAAAAAAACCATAATCAAGTGCTAGGTGTAGTGTATTGCCACAAACCTATAATCCCAGCATTTAGGAGGCTAGGGCAGGAGGATGCTGAGTTTAAGGCCAATGTGAGCTACAACCTGTCTCAAAGAAAACAAAACAACAAAACTCCAAACCCACCACAAGCTGGGGGCTGGAGAGCTAGCCCAGCAGTCGGCAGTATGTACTGTGCTTGTGGTAGAGCTGGGTTTAGAGGCTCACAACTGTAGCTGGAGTTTTCCTGCCTGGCCCACAGTCAGGACAAATCTCTCTCACCTGCCAGTCCCACAGCCGCTCAGACCCGACCAAGTAAACACAGAGACTTATACTGGTTACAAACTGTATGGCCGTGGCAGGCTTCTTGCTAACTGTTCTTACAGCTTAAATTAATCCATTTCCATTAATCTATACCTTGCCACATGGCTCGTGGCTTACCGGCATCTTCACATGCTGTTTGTCATCGTGGCGGCTGGCAGTGTCTCTCTGACTCAGCCTTCCACTTCCCAGCTTTATTCTCCTCCTTGTCCCGCCTACACTTCCTGCCTAGCCAATGGCCAATCAGTGTTTTATTTATTGACTAATTAGCAACACATTTGCCATACAGAACATCCCACAGCATCACAACCACCCAGAATTCCAGTTCCAGGGAGCTGATACCCTCTTTTGTCCTCCTGTACACACACACACAGTACATACAAACTCATGCAGGCACACAATACATACAACATAAAAACAGTAATTAAGGACAGAGTGTGGTGATGTATGCCTTTAATGTCAGTACTGGGGAGGCAGTGGAGTTGTGAGTTGTAGGCCTGCCAGGGCTAATATCGGGCTCCTGTCTTCAAAATCAAAACAAACTAACAGTTTCCCCAAACAAACAAAAACTAAAACAAAAGAAAGAAACCATAAACTGGGCTGGGAATGTAGTTCAATTGTTTGTTTGCTTATTTAGCATACCAGAAGCTCTGGGTTTGGTAACTAGCACCAAATAAACTGGGTGTGGTGGCAAAATGCCCACAACTCAGCACTGGGAGGTAGAAGCATGAGGCTTCCTCCTCAAGTTACAGTTCAAGGTCATCCTCGGAAACATAGTGAGTTTAAAACTATCTCCAAATTAAAAAATTAACCAAAAACCCAGACCAAAGTAAGTCAGACTCTTGGGAGAAGAAATAATTTACCATTGGGCTGTGGTGGCACACCACTTTCATCCCAGCGTCTGAGAGACAGAGGCAGGTGGATCTCTGAGTTTGAGGCCAGCCTGATCTATAGAATGAGTTCCAGGACAGCCAGGACTACTAAGAGAGAAACCCTGTCTCAAAAAACCAATAATTAGTTAATTAATTATCCAAGGTGACTTATCTCTTTTTTTGAGATAGCATCTCATCTATCCCTGGATGTCCTGGGACTCCATATGGTAGCTCAGGCTAGCCTTTAACTCAGAGATCTGCTTGCCTCTTGTCGCCTCAGTTGTGTGATTAAAGGTGTGCACCACCACACCTGGATACCCAAACTGATTTCTTTTAATCTAGTACTCTCAAAACTCTAGTAAATTCCTTCTAGCCATGATGTTCAAAAGGATAAATCTTCATAAGGCGCTCATCATTCTGTTCCCTAAGTTTAGATTCTAGAGTAGACCTTTATCAGCTAACTTACCCGAGGCACGGATGGCATCTAGAGCTTTCATCCTGTACAAATAGTTGTAGCAACCTGCTGGAAAAAAGACCAGTCTCAGGTATTAGTCTCAAAACTCCCCAAGATTACAGTAAATTAACAAACTGCCTCCTTGTATCTGCCATATACTCAATAACTGAGGACCATGGGTGGTTGTTACAGGTTTTGAAAATTCTAAGAGTAGAGGAGTTCTAAAGCTGTGGGACTCCTCACTGTCACTGAAACAACCACCAAGAGCTTGTCACTTACTTTGAGTCCCCTGGGTTTCCAGCTGCAGTAGTCTTGTATCATCATCTGCAAGAAGCTGGGGTTCATACTTGATATCCTGAACCCTGGAGAGTCGAATATCGATCTCCTCTTTTAAGTCCTGTACATTCAGAGGAAACAAGATAGCATCATTACTTTGTATTCTGCTCCCTAATAATCTGTAACGGGTCCAGAGCATGTAAACTAGATGAAACAGAGAAATCTAAGAATGGGTTTGGGATTCTCAACATACACCGCCAAGCTAAATCTCAATCTCTCTCTCTTTCTGAAACACAGTCTGTGTAGCTTGGATGTCCTGAAACCCACTACGTAGACCAGGTTGACCTCAAATTCATAGAGAACTACTTGTCTCCAGAGTGCGGGGATTAAAGGAGTATGCCACCTCACCTAGCTTTTCTCTTTTGAGAACTTACGTGTGTGTTTGTATATGTGTCTGAGTTGTACATGCACCTGAATGGTTGTGCATGCACTGTGTCCTCCTCTCTCTCTCTCCCCAACCCAAGGGCTTGGGTTTTCCCATGGAGGCTGGAAGCCAGCAAGCCCCAGCAATCCTTTAGTCTCTGCCACCTTCAGAGCTGAGGTTACAAGGGTACAGGGGACCCTTGGTTTGTATTATGGCTGGATCAGAACTCCAGTTCTAATGATTGGACAGTAAGAGCTCTTAACCATTGAGCCATCTCATCAGCTCCTAAGCTATTTTTTTTGGTTTTTTGAGACAGGGTTTCTCTGTGTAGTTTTGCGCCTTTCCTGGAACTCACTTTGTAGCCCAGGCTGGCCTCGAACTCACAGAGATCCTCCTGCCTTTGCCTCCTGAGTGCTGGGGGATTAAAGGCGTGCGCCACCACCACCACCCAGCCTCTTTAGTCTTAATACCAACATTATTTCTGGTTTTAAGACTAAGAAGAATCTTGGTAGGATGTTCTAAAGAACTTCCTGAGTTGAGAAAAAAATGAACCATGAGAAGTTATAATCCACTCTAAAAGTGCATAAAGAAACTTGTATGTATATGATCTATAATAGTTCGAGTTTGGAGACTATTCCACATGGTGTGCCACAAAGACTCTGAAAGCTAAAGCAGGAGCATTGCTCCAAGTTCAAGGTCAGGGTGGGCTAAATCGAGTTCCAATCCAGCCAGGGCTGCAAAGTAAGCCCTTGTCATGAAAAGGAAAAAAGTACTAAAAATCACTTTATGTGTCAGTCCTCACACATTCAGAATCAACCACCATTACCAGTTTTGAATCTGTCTAACCTCAGGGGATACCAGAGCCCAAGGAAATAAATTTGCTCTATTCTAGGACAGAATCTTGGGCCAAGGATTAGACAGCTATATGTACATTCTTACTACATAATGTTCAACCATTTCCCCAAGGGGTTTTATTAATTTACACTTTCAATACCAATGGATAAGGATTTAGATTTTTCTCTCTATATGTATGTATGTACATACACATATGTATGTTTAAATTAAAGGAACTTCGGCATCATGTAGTCTAGAGGCCACTAAACAGCTAAGCTTTAATTTGTTGTCATGTGCTGGAAACAACCCCTGTGTCCTTTCATACGGCCAAGTGGAAAGAGCATTGCTGACACTCCAGTCCACTACGCCACAACAAGCACACGGGAGCCAATACTGCTTAAGGAAGAACACACACGTCAGCATCAGCTCTACCGTTACCTGCTTCTCATGAACAGCAATTTATTGGCTACCTCCTATGTTTAGGACTAGTGTGAGTGATCACTGAGATACACCTCCAAAGTGTCAGAAATCTTGAGATGTAGAGTCTATCAACAAAGGAATCACGTTTTAACCAACATAAAAGACAAATTGTGGTAGTGGTATGAGAAATTCAAGGTATGATAAGAATACAAAGAAGCTTGCATTAAAATATGTAATGTGTGTTGGTTGTGGTGTTTCAGGCCTTTAAAACCCAGCACTTTTGGGAGGCAGAGGCAGGTGGATCTCTTCAAGTTCATGGCCGGCCTGGTCTATAAAGTGAGTTCCAGGATTGCCAGGGCTGTTACACAGACAATCCCCATCTTGGAAAAACAAAAAACAAAATAAAAAAAATAAGTAATATGCATTCTTCTCTTGAGGAAATAACTTTTAAACTAAGATCTAAACTAAGAGGCTAGGTATTTCTATGCCTGCTTGTAATTCTCAGGAATTCAAGGCCAACTTGGACTACACAGTGAGTTCTAGAGGTTAGTCTGGGCTACAAGAGACCCTGGTCTCAAAAAAATCACGAAGGAATGAATGAGGCAGCCAAGTGAAGACCATTTCAGGTCAGTGACAGTGTGTACAAAGTTATGAAATTCAGTAAGTAGAGCTTGATGCTGGTAATGGGAAGTTGGTAAAGTCAGTTGTCTTTTACTAAAAAGTGAAAGACTGAGAAAGTAAAAGTATGATGAGGATGGCAATGGGATATCAGGGATTCTGGTTTAGAACTGGGGATATGTTATCTCAGTTGGTAGAGGGAGCTTGTCTAGCATGCACCAGGTCCTGGGTTTAATCTCCAGCACTACATAAACCAGGAGTGGTGGTGCACACCTATAACATCTGTACTTGGGAGCTGGAAGCCGAAGGGTCAGGAGTTCAATGTCATGTTTACCTAGATATCCAACTCTAGACCAAGATACAGGAGATCCACCAACCACCAACAAAAAGACTTCAAAGGAAATGGGGAGAGGCCAGCCAGTCTATCTAAATTGGCAATCTCCAAGCTTAGTGAGAGACCTGTCTCCAAAATTAAGGTGGAGAACAATTGAAGAAGACAGAGGATACCACACTTAGGCCTCCACACAAACACACAAAAGACTTATGATTTACCTTATATTAGGTTTGAGATGTCTATTTGAAACCTAAGGTTTTTTTTTTTTTTTTTTTGGTTTTTCGAGACAGGGTTTCTCTCCGTGTAGCTTTGCGCCTGTTCCTGGAACTCACTTGGTAGCCCAGGCTGGCCTTGAACTCACAGAGATCCGCCTGGCTCTGCCTCCCGAGTGCTGGGATTAAAGGCGTGCGCCACCACCGCCCGGCCGAAACCTAAGTTTTAATGTCAGGTGACAGGTATATATCCTAACAAGTTTCTCAGAGAGACCAAGTTTCATTAGAAGACTTTCCTTGGAAGGAAGAGGCAGGCAGATCTCAGTGAGTTTGAGGCCAGCCTGGACTACAAAGAGAGTTCCAGGACACCTAGGACTGTTACACAGAGAAACCTCGTCTTGAAAAAAACCAAAAAACCCAAAAAAGACACTTTCCTTAAAGTCACAAAAAGAAGGAAAGTCCTTAAGGAGAAAGTTAAGATACTACTAGATTACTTTTTATTTTGTTTTTCAAGACAGGGTTTATCTGTGTAGCCCCAGCTGTCCTGGAACTTGCTCTGTAGACCAGGCTGGCCTCCAACTCAGAGATCTACTTGCCTCTGCCTTCCAAGTGCTGGGTTTTAAAGGCCTGAAACACCACAGCCTGTTGATTATTTACTTTTTCTTTTCTTTTTTTTTTTTTTGAGACAGGTTTTCTCCGTGTAGTCGTGGCTGTCCTGGATCTTGCTCTGTAGACCAGGCTGGCCTTGAATTCACAGAGATCCACCTGCCTCTCTCTGCCTCTGGAGTGCTGGGATTAAAGGTATGGACCACCATGCCCAGCATGATTATTTACTTTTTCTTTTCTTTTTTTTTGGTTTTCCGAGACAGGGTTTCTCTGTGTAGCTTTGCGCCTTTCCTGGAACTCACTCGGTAGCCCAGGCTGGCCTTGAACTCACAGAGATCCACCTGCCTCTCTCTGCCTCCGGAGTGCTGGGATTAAAGGCGTGCACTACCACCGCCGGGCTGATTATTTACTTTTTAACTAGCCCAACGTGGCACATTATTTTAGTAATCTCAGCACTTGACAGATCAGGCAGGAGGAACGCTTTGCCTGGGTCACCCAGTGAGTTAATTCAAGGCCAGCCTTCATACATGTATGTCTCAACATACAAAACAAAGAACAAAATTAAAAAGTCAGTAATTCGCTTCCTTCCTTAAGCTTGACGAGAAAGGTGGAATTAGGTGATTAATGTTTTCCCCTCTTCCTTCTTGTAGTGTCGGGGATAAAACCCAGAGTCTTTATGCATTCAAGGCAAGCACAACGGGCATCTTTAAAATTCTGCAAAGGCAACTATTCTTACAGCTCTAGAGTGAATTGTAACCATTCCCAACATCATGCTAAAATGAAGCAACATGAAACACTTGGTAATTTAAAATGAACATGAGAAACATTTTACAGTTGAACTGGTTTAGTTCTGCAGCAGCAGCAGCGATCAAATGAGCCAAGTCCACAGGCAGTTACTGCTTAAGTTTGTGAAGGGGAAAATGAAAATAATTGGACATAAAAACATATGAACAGCCGGGCAGTGGTGGCGCACGCCTTTAATCCCAGCACTCGGGAGGCAGAGGCAGGCGGATCTCTGTGAGTTCGAGGCCAGCCTGGTCTCCAAAGCGAGTTCCAGGAAAGGCGCAAAGCTACACAGAGAAACCCTGTCTCGAAAAACCAAAAAACAAAAACAAAAAAAAAAAACAACATATGAACAAAGTCATCTTTTAAAGTCAGAGAAAATCTCCTTGTGCCTAAAGAATCAGGTTTACCTTGCACCCTAAGGACCTACCTTGGGAGCATTGTGTCCCACAGGGACATGAGGTCCTCTTCTAGATTTCATTGCAAAACGCATGATTTGTCTCTTCACAAAAATAAACAGCAGCACAAATACCTGCCCAAAAAGATTAGATCCACCTTTAATAATAATTAAATTAAATTAAAAAAAAAACATTCAAAGTCCCTGGGTTTAGGCTCTCAGGGCAAGATGCTGTGGGATAAAACTTGGGGCAAAGCCAGGTCGCTGAGGGTAGGGCTAGCTAGCAGTAGGGAGGCGTGATCCCTGGGCCCTGGAATTGAAGAGGGAGGGATCTCAGCCAGGGGCGGGCAGCTTTGACTTAAAAGTTCTCAGGCAGGCTACGGATACAAGTCAAAGGCCAGGAAATAGCAAGTGGCTGAAGAATGAAGTCACGGACAGCTCAGGAGGAGGGTCCCGACGGGGACAGACGCCACAGCAGGAATGGAGTGGGGAATCTCCTCACCAGGCTCCCGTATGCCATCACAAGCACAACATTCACTCCGGACAGCCAGTTACTGCTAGACGCCATCCCCTCTCTCCACGAAGACCTGCTAGGCTATTCCCACCGCGCTTGCGCGTTAGCCCAGGCTCAGCCGAGGCCAGGGCCCCTAGGTTCCTTGGAGCTCTCCGGCCGTTTCCATTTGGTCTTGAGGAGAAACCAAACTAGAATTGGTCAGAAAACATGGTGGATGGGGGGCGCTAGTTAAGCACAGCGCCTTTCCGCTCCACCCCCCCGGCCACCTGCCACGTGACTCACGTCCGCAAAGGACCCTGGGAGTGCCGGGTGTCGAGACGCGGAACTACGCCAGTGAGAGGAAGCTGGGGCCCGGTCCGGGAGTCACGTGACGGGGGCGGGGCCCTACGGGGCGGGGGCGGGGGCGGGGGCGGGGGGGGGCGGGACGCGCGCGCGGAACGCGAGCGCTGTGTTTCGTGGCGGGGAGGCGCGCGCACGCTGACGTGCGCGGCCCCTGCGCGTCACGTGCTGAGGGACGCAGGAAGGCAAGTGGGAGGGGGAAGGCGCGAGAGCGAGCGCGAGAGGGAAAAGGAGGGAGGGGGTGGGGAGGAGGGAATCTTATATCACGTGACAGGGGCGGCGCGGCCCGGGGTGTCAGTGTGGAGGAGACTGAGGTAAAGTTGGGAGCGCAGCGGCGTTGGCGGCGGCGGCGGCGGCGGCAGCGGCAACGCGGCGGGGCCGGGTATTGTCCGCGGCCCCTTTAAATCCGCGATCCCCTTTTTACCCTCCCTCCTTTCCCTCTGTCCCCGCTGTCCCCCCCTCCCGCGGTAGGCCCCCCCCCCCACGCTGTGTGTTTTCCCGCTGTACACCCTCCTAGTTTCGCGAACCCGGGCGTCCAACCTCCCCCCCACCCCCCCCCACCCCCCCACCCCCGTGTTGGCCGCCGGAGGTTTTGTTTATAGTTGGGTTCGCGGCCTAGTGGGCCGCGCCAGAGCCGGGGCCTCGATTTGGGAGCGTGGCCGGGGCGGGGCTTGGGGCAGCCGGAGGGAGGGGGGGGTCATGCGGCTAGAGCCTGGAGGGGGAGAGCGAGAAAGAGCGCGGGCGAGCGAGGCCCGGGCCCCGCCTGAGGTAGGGTTCTCTACTAGGGCCAGTGGGGCCAGTGTCTATGGAGAAGGCCTCCTCCCTTCCCAGCCCTCTGTGGGCCTCTGATCCGGATCCGGCCTGGTCTGGGGGCGAACGGGGCGCGGGGGGGGGGGCGATGGGGTGGGGCTGCCCTGAACTCCTCCATGTGGCCCTCAGTTTGGAGTGTGGAGGCTTAATTTGTTCCGGGTGGGAGGTGGAGAGGCGAACGGCCCCATGGGCTCTTGATGTGGCGCGGAGGGGGGTGAGTCTCCCATCCTCCGCGCGTGGGCTTCTGTCCTCTGTTCGTTTCCAGCCTCTTTGTCAGCTCCTCTTATTACCCTGCCTTCTTTCTTACCGACCCTGATCGTGGAATATATTTTTGCTGCTGTCTTTAGCTTCCTGTTGTCTCTACTGTAGTTTTGGGTACCCAAAACCATTATATTATTTGGGAAGCTGGATATGGAGGCCCCCATGGGCTGTATTACGCCTAAGGGACGTCACTATGTCACTGGGCATTTGTTCATTTTTCTCATAATGGGAATGGAATTCCAAATTTCTTGAGACCCTTCACCTGGTGGACAGCCCCTAAATTGCTGTGCAACGTGATGTCACAAACAAGAGACTGTTTTTCCACGATTCTTAAAATTTAGCCACCTCTGGTGTAGGTTGTTGTGGAAAGAAAAACACCACAGTAAAAGGCGATTTTGTTAACGTTTTTTTGCCTTTGACTCCACTGTGATTATTAAATGGAGAAATCCTTTTTTGTCTCCACCTCCCATATTCTGCGTTGGGGGATATCTGATGTGATTTGCTGGGAGGGGATTGGGATCATTTTGACAACCAACATCACTAGAGATTAAAACATTTTGGATGTGTATCTCTTGATAAAACCTGTGTTGTGGTCCTGCACCATTGTCTTTAATTATTAGATTACCCCAATGATTGTTTCTGTCGTGTAAAATAGTGATGAAGTGTTTCTGACTGGGAAAGCTCCAATTCAAGTGAAGGTGGTTGGGGCACGGGACACAGGTCTGCTGCTGAGCTTCTAGGGATTAGTTTCTCTGTTAGAGGTGATAAGCCTATCCCATCCCAGTCCAACTTTAGAATGTCTGAATTGTTTCTCAAATTAGATTGTAAGCTCCCTGAGAGCAGCAACTAAGTCACAATGCTTTTGTATTTCTTGAAGTATTGGACACGTAGTAGATACTCAATAAATACTTATTGTTTATTTTTTTCAGTAAAATTTCTCTGGCTATTTTTTTAAGTAGCTGGCTTTCAAAATGTAGTCAAGGGCACTTCTTTGTTGAAACCTGTGCTTGTTCCCATAGCGTTCTCTTGGTTTCCAATACTTCTTTCTCATCCTATTTCCCTTAAGTACTTATTTTTTTTTAAGAGTTAACAAACATGGTCACTCACTCCCACTGTATAACTCTGGGTATTTATCTTTGTTTGCTATTAAAAAGCTATTAATTCTGTGCCCTTAAGTGGTTTGCCCAGATTATTTACTTTTGACCTGTTGCTCATTATTACTGATTAGGAGGTAAAATATTCTTAGTTTCACATTTCAAAGTATTACCAAAGAGGGAAATGGAAATTAAAAGTAAGAATTGTCACCCCCCACCCCCGTTAGTTATGTATCTTTCAATATGACTTTGTAATATATTTACATCTCACTTGTAAGATAATGTGCAGTGATTTATACAGCTAGTCTTACAGCTTATATTTATGGTATAATTCTTAAAAATTGGTATTATACATGGAATAGAAACCATTCAGCATTTTTTTTATTATCTTAGCCAATTTTAAAACAGTAATTAAAAAGCCCTTTATTGGTGATAAGGAATGTAGTAAGTCTTTGTTCTTCATAACCACATCCCAAAAGAAAGACCTGTGTAACCTATTGACACTACTTGAAGGATTTATCTGCAGGAAAGTCTGCTTTCTCTGTGTTATCGAAGAAATAGGTGAAGTTCATGTTCCTAATAGTTAATTCTTGCATATTTCTTTAGAACTTTCATGACCTCAGAATCCATTGTCTTCTGGGCAGTATAGAATTAACCCTGTATAGTGTTTCGTTAGTGAAAGAAAAAAATATAGAGTAGAAGAGTATAAATTTGTCTTCTTTTGAAAGGTATAAAACAATGAAAAGTAACCTAATTTTGAGTACTCTATCATGATGATGAATGTTTTCTTTGTTTACTCAAAGCAGCAGCTGAGATTACATTATAAAACAATATGAAGAAAGGGCACTTGGATTTAGTAGAACACTTATTTGGTAGAAAGGACAGAAACTATGTTCTGGTTTTGGAAAGGTTCTTGTTCTATGTTTCTTAAAAGTGAAATCATCCTGCAAACAATGTCTCAAATTTAAAGTCATTTTCGAGAATCCTTTCCAAATAAAACTTGGTAATAGGTGCATTTGATTGGGGGCAGATTTGGGATTCCCCTTTTATTAAGGTGAGTGGTGGGAAGTAATTGCCATTCTGTTTACTGAAAGTGTGTTCGAGACCAATGAAGCAGCTGCAGAAGGCAGTGTGCTGGGATTAACTAGGAGATGGATTCTGGGTAGTCCCTAGGACTAACGCATGCCCTCTTAGAGTCATGAAGAGCTGAGACTGGAAGGAAAAGGCTAGTTATGAACTTGGCTTTTCCCAAGTAGTAGAAGTCACATACAACTTATGTCAAACAGTTGTAGGGCAGGTAAGGCTATGACTTTTAATGTATGCTGGGTATAATTTTTATTTCCTATCTCCTGTTATGGTTATAAACCTAGGTCCTTAACTGAGCCATGCCCAAAGCTCCTAAATATTTTAAATTGTAATTTCTTTGACTTACAGACTAACCTAGAAGGCTTGCTCCTTTCCTCCCTCTCTCCTTCCCTTCCTCCCTCTCTCTCTCCTTCCCTCCCTTCCCTTCCTTTCCTCTTTTCCTCCTTTCCTTCCCCCCTTCCTCCCTCTGTTCCTTCTTTCATGTCTGTCTGTCTTTTGTGACAGGATCTTACTGTGTTGCCCAGGCTGGCCTCAAATTTGCAATCCTCTCTGGTCAGCTTTCCAAGTGCTGGGATTACAGGTATGTGCTGTGCCCAACTCCTGGAAGGCATTTATTTTCTGGGGTTTGTTAATTATCTTTTTTGTCAAAGACACTTCAGATACTTTCACATGTATGGAAAGTTTTTTAATATTGATAATGTTTTTGTTTATTTGCAAGATAGCAGTAACTAAATTACTATGTTCTTAACATCTTTTAAAAATAGTCACAGAGGCCAGCACTTGGGAGGCAGATGCAGGAGGATTGCCTTGAGTTTCAGGCCAGCCAAGGCTACATAGTAAGACTGTCTTCAAACAAACACCACACATGCTTTATATACATTTTTGGATGGAGGGTTTGTTGATCTGGACATTATGTATGCAAAGGACCTTATGTATGCAAAGCATATGTTTTATCACTGAGGCACATGAACAAAAATGGGTTTACTGCCATATTTAAACAACATAAAATGTCTCAGTGGCACACACCTATAGTTACAACACTTGGGAAGTAGAGGAAAGATAAGATTTTCAAGGTCAGCTTTGCTACATTGTGTTTGAGGCCAGATCAAACTAAAACTCAAAAATATATCTCAAGAAGCTGAATCTTGAGTTGAAAATGTAGCTCAGTGGGAGACAGCTTGCCTAGCATATAAAAAAGGCCTGAGTTTGATCCCCAGTACCACTGGAGAGAAAAGAATTGGTTAAAAAAAAAAAGTTGAATTTCCTTAGTTTGTTCCTTTGAGAAAAGTAAAGTGATTGGTGGTAAAGTTTTGATAAAACAGAATTAAAAACATTTTACCTACGTTTAACCATCTCTTTTTTCCTCTTCAGTATTCTTCCTTGTAAATACTCTTATTTGTATATACTGTAAATGATGACGTCTGTGGGCACTAACCGAGCCCGGGGAAACTGGGAACAACCTCAAAACCAAAACCAGACACAGCACAAGCAGCGGCCACAGGTAATGAACTCAAGGATGTGAATCCATGCAATCCTGAAGCCAGCGGGCTGATAGTGGTTTTCATGCAGTGGGCCATCATTCTGGCTTTGACTCTTGGTTCCTTCTTCTTATCTATTCCTTGACTCTTCTGTTTCAGGCCTGATAACTGTCAGAGGCATACTGTGATATAACAAGTTTACTTTCTGTTGCTTAATATTGTAAGGCGTAGGGCTTCATTTTGAGTTCTGTGCTAGGTATGTCTAACAGTGTTTTCCTTCTGGTATCTGAGCTGATTGAGTAGTATATTACTTACATTGCGATTTCTTTAGCCAGTATTTGCCAAGATATCTTTTTTCTGAAAGATTTTGACTTCTGCTCTTACTTTCCCCTAAGGTCTTGAGGCCTTACCTGAGTTTTCCTTTCCCAAGAGAAGCTAGGGTTTTCACTAATAATAATCCTTTTAAATGAACAAATGAGCAGTGGTTCTGAACCTACCTAATGATGTGACCCTTTAATACAGTTCCTCGTGTTGTGGTGACCTCCAACCATAAAATTATTTTCATTGCTACTTCATAACTGTAATTTTGCTACTGTTATGAATTGTAATGTAGATATCTTATATGCAGGATATTTGGTATTCGACCACTGTGAAAGAGTCATCCCACCTCCAAAGGGTCATGACCCACTGGTTGAGAACCACTGCCTTAGAGCATAATTAAGTTTTAGAGAAATAAATTAACCTTGGGTATTAAGTTTAATTTAGGTGTGCTGTAATCACAGAATCCATAACTAGTGTTATGGGTGTTATACCAATGTGAATTAATTACTTAAATTGAGCTATTGTCCAAATATATTGAATACATAAGACTAAAGGTTTCCCCATATGTTCCTTGACTTTCTATTTCCCCTTTCCCTTATCTCTTTCCTGGCTTTCCTCCAGTCTTGCTATGTATCCCTGGCTGTCCTGGTTGGTACTCACTGTGTATTCTAGGCTGACCTTAAACTTGGAATCTCCTGTGTCTCAGCTTTTGTGTAGTGAGCTTAGACATGTGCTGTCATCATGATCTGCTCCCTTACAAATTTCCCTCTTGTCTCTAAATAAATAAATTCCTTTTCTTTCTTCTTTTTTTCTTTTTTGGAGACAGGGTTTCTCTGTCTTGCCTTGCCTGGCATTGAACTCAGAGATCCTCCTGCTTCTGCCTCAGTGCTGGGATTAAAGGTGTGCACCACCACAGCCAGGCTTCTTTTTGTTGAGACAAGATTTCACTAAATTGTTCAGACTGGCCTTGACTTAACGATATTCAAGCCTCAACCTCTGAGTTTGTGGGATTACAGGTCTGTACCACCAGGTCTGCTCTCCTTAACACACACACCCCGGTTTTTCAAGGCAGCGTTTCTCTGTGTAGCCCTGGCTGTCCTGGAACTTGCTCTGTAGACCAGGCTGGTCCTGAACTTACAGAGATCTCCCTGCTTCTGCTTCTAGAGCTACACACATGCTAGGCAAGTGCTTTACTTTTGAGCTTGATCTGCATCCTACTGGTTTGGCTTTTTTTGTTTTTTTTGGGGGGGTTGTCTGTTTGTTTGTTTTGGTTTTGGTTTTTTTTTTTTTTTTGGTTTTTTGAGACAGGGTTTCTCTGTGTAGCTTTGTGCCTTTTCCTGGAACTCACTTGGTAGCCCAGGCTGGCCTTGAACTCACAGAGATCCGCCTGGCTCTGCCTCCCGAGTGCTGGGATTAAAGGCGTGTGCCACCACCGCCCAGCGGGTTGTTTGTTTTTTGAGACAAGGTTTCTCTGTGTAACAGTCCTAGCTGTCCTAGAACTTGATCTGTAGACCAGGTTGGCTTCAAACTCAGAGATCCTATTGCCTCTGCCTCTGGAATTAAGAGCATATGCCACCACTGCCCAGGTCTTTTTTTTTTTTTTTTTTTTTTTTTAAATAGAGAAGAAACTGGTGTGGTAGAGTGTAAAGATTTACTATGTAGGTCCCTCTTCGTTAATTTCTTACCTCTTGATTAAGGTTTCTTGATCCTATTTCACCTCCTAGGCTACTGCAGAGCAGATTCGACTTGCACAGATGATTTCGGACCATAATGATGCTGACTTTGAGGAGAAGGTGAAACAAGTGAGTGTCCCACTAACTTTCTGTAAGCTAAGAAAATATCAGAATGATTAAATGTCATTGATGCTTACATTGATAATTGCATATACATTGAATATAATTATCCTGGGTAGGGAGATGACTCAGTGGGGAAAGTGCTTGAGAACCTGACTTTGAATCCCATAAAGCCCGGCAAACCATGCATAGGAGCACACATTTGTAATCTCAGTGCTCTTACTGTGAGATGGGAGGTAGAGACAAACTCTGAGCTTCTGTATACAGTGGTGAACAACCAATGAGAGACTGTCTCAAGGTGAAAATGTAGGACTGACACCAAGGTTGTCCTCTAACCTCCATTTCTTCTACACACATAGATATTGGAGTATACATCATACATACACAAGGAAGAATAATTAGATTCATTGATAGTTTAGACCATTAAGTAATTGTTTCCAATGCTTATATATTGCATTCCTTTGAATAGCTACCTTGTCCAAAAGTTCTATCTTAATTCTAACTCTGTGTGTGTTCTGATACCCCCAGAATCTTGTGAATACTAATTTCATACCTCACCACTGAACTGTATTCTTAGCCCCTTGGATCTAGGAAGTGTGGAAAATGATATGCAGAACAGAAGCTTGTGTCTTTCAACTTGATTTTCCATTTGATGCTTAATTCCTTTGTGAATATTTTTGACCTCATCCCTAAGCTACAGGTGTTAAAATTTTGCTTTTGTTAACATTTAGATGTATTTGTACGCATGTATACTATAGTACTATTGATGTGGAGGCAACATGACAATTTGTGGGAGTTGGTTTTCTCCTCCTATCTGTAGGTCGTAGGGATTGAACTCAAGTTGTCTGGCTTGGTGGCAAATGCCCTTAACCTGCCAAGTCATCTTTTCAACCTTAAAGTTTTGCTTTTTGAAAGTACAATTAAATTTTACATGTCTTGCTTTTTAAGCTTGTTTCTTTTAGTTGTAGCTGGTATCTCCTCCCTTCATCTAGTTTCTTTTTTGGAGTATAAACTTTGCTTATGGTTACTGATTTTCCTCTTTCAGTTGATTGATATCACAGGCAAAAACCAGGATGAATGTGTGATTGCTTTACATGACTGCAATGGAGATGTCAACAGAGCCATCAATGTTCTCCTGGAAGGAAATCCAGACACGGTAGAGTGCTAATAGTGTTTTAATAATTCTAAAAACAGTCTTAAAGCAACATTCTAAATAGAATAAGAAACATCCATGGAGATTCTGGCAGATTACAAATACTATCCGTTTATATACATATCCTCTTCATTAGAATCATAAGTGAAAGCAAGTGAAGTCAGTCTCTTCTGATTGGTCTGGAACAAAGTGTTCATTCCACATGACTGATTTTAAGGCTTAGAAGGCTTGTGTTGCTTTGAATTAGAGGTATTTAGTAATCATGGAAGATTTCTGTTCATTTTAGTTGCTGATAAGTAGTCACAAATTGCTAGATTCTAAATAGAGGACTTTCCTCTAATACTTGTTAGCTTTATATTAACATACTCTTTCATTACTTGAACTTAGTTTTGTTCTGCTAGTAAAAGAACAAGCTGTATAGTCTGTTGACATTCCTGGATCTGATAGAGAATATCTTGGAGGATTGCTTGCCTTGGAATTTAGACAAATTGTTCTCATTTCTCCTTCCCACCTAATGAGAATTCTTTTGTATTTGTCTTGTTTTTAACAACAACACTGCCTTCCTACATTTTTGATACTGCTATAGCACTTACTGGAGGACTTTAGTTTTATGTGAGAAGAGCATTTTGAAACATTTTCACAATACTGGTCTTACACTGAGGAGTTTTGGTTGGGATAGAGTTCATCCTTTAATATACCACTTCAGGCCGGGCGGTGGTGGCACACGCCTTTAATCCCAGCACTGGGAGGCAGAGGCAGGAGGATCTCTGAGTTCGAGGCTAGCCTGGGCTACAGAGTGAGTTCCAGGACAGGCTCCAAAGCTACACAGAGAAACCCTGTCTCAAAAAACCAAAAGAAAAAAAAATATACCACTTAAAGATGTTCATTTGTTTTTCTGAGATAGGGTTTCTCTGTGTAGCTCCAGCTGTCCTAGAACTCAATCTGTAGACCAAGCTGGCCTTGAATTCAGAGACCTGCCTTCCTCTGCTTCCAGAATACTGGACTAAAGGCATGTGCACCGCCACCCAACCCAACTGAAGATATTTAAAAATATCAACTGTCAGTAAACCACTAGAAGATTATCAGTTCCCTAGGATAGTAGCAAATAGTGGGAAATGGATTTATTTTTATTTTTAATTTTTACTTATTATTTCGTGATTTCATGCATGTATAATAAATATACTTTGATCATATTTCCCCCATTAGCTTTTTTTTTGTCCCCGTCTGCCTCCTACCAAACTCCTTTTCAACATGTATCACTCCTTCTTTACTGCCTATATGTGTACCTTTAATTAGGTTTGCATGCATGAAAATGGGTTGGGAGTTGATTACCTTAGCAGGGGTAATTTTTCAGTGGCTACACCACTGAGTAATATGATTCCCCCTCCTCCAGCAACCATTAACTGCCTGTATCTCCTTAGGCAGAGGTGGGGCCTTGTGAGCCCTTTCCCAATCCATGATGGAATGTTGATGGACCCAATCTTGTCACCACTGCTGATAGGAGTTCATGGTGTACTTGCCATGTCATAGCCAGCAGATGCTTCTCACAGCACTCCTTTCTGTCCTCTGGTGGCTCTCACATTCTTTTAGCCATGTTCTGTCATGTTCGCTCAGCCTTGGAAGGGATGCTGTAGATAGATAATCTACTTAGAGCTGAGTAGTCAGCAGTTAACTTATTCTCAACACTTCAATTAATGAGTCTGTCAACTTGTTGCTCACAACAAAAAGAAAAAGAAAAAAAAGGGGAAAGAAGTTTAGAGCTGTGTGGTGCATGCTTTAATCCCAGTACTCAGGAGACAGAGGCAGACAGATAGCTGTAGTTTCTAGGCCAGCTTGGTCTTCATAGTTCTAAGACCTCCAACTATATCAAAAAGGGAAAACAAGCTATAGAATATAGGCTTAGGCCACATTTAAATCAGCTACGATAGTAAAACCAATGGGGAGTCAATACTGGTGGCATTGAATATTTTTTTAGTGGATGAGGTCATTAAAAAAAAAAAAAAACTAATAGTGTCTAAAGATGATCATAGTAATAATTCTTTTTCCTTACATAACTCATCTGGTACTAGCAGTTAATATACACACAGATACCCCCACCCATACCCTACTCCCCGTACAGACAGGGTTTCTCTTTTATAGCCCTGGTTGTCCTGGAACTCAGATCTGCCTTTGTCTGCATCCTGAATGCTGGGATTAAAGGTGTGGGCCACTACTGCCCAGCTCAAAATTTCTTAAACTGTGGATCCTGAGAAGATAATTGTACCAGCTTTCACCTGTAGTGTACTAATTGTAGTCCAATTGATCAGTCATGAATGCTCTACCTTTCTTTAGCATTCCTGGGAGATGGTCGGAAAGAAGAAAGGAGTCTCAGGACAGAAAGATGGTGGACAAACTGAATCTAATGAAGAAGGAAAAGAAAATCGAGACCGAGACAGAGACTATAGTCGGCGACGTGGTGGGCCACCAAGACGGGGGAGAGGTGCCAGCCGTGGACGAGAGTGTATGCATGGGGCTTTATCAAAACCAGCTGTGGGTCAGTAATGTCTAGACTCCAGGGATGTGTCAGGCCCCTGCTAGACAGGACCTTGGAACTGTTATATCAACTATTTGCTTTTTTTTTGCCACCTATCTCTTAAGGTCTTGACATCTTTTGCATGTAGCCTTTCCTACCACAGTCACTAATATAGCATTAAACAACCATGTAATCATTTGTAAAGTTACTTGACTCAACTCAGTTGTGTCTCATCACTATTCCTTGAGTAACTTTCATGTTCCATCCTACCAGGTCATGTTCTTTTAGTTTTGTCTCCTTAATACTGTATTCAATATAATTTATATATCAATATAACACATGTATATTCATTGACCTTGTTCTGGTTGTGTATGTTTTATATTTCAGTTCGGGGCCAGGAAAATGGATTGGATAGCACCAAGAGTGGAGGGCCTTCTGGAAGAGGCACAGACAGAGGCAGAAGAGGCCGTGGCCGAGGCAGAGGTGACAGTTTGGTGGGGAAGGTGATAAATACCTTAGTAGAGTTGACAGGCAAATTTATGCTAGAGTATGTATTTGTGCTGGGTAGAATGGGAAAGAAAGTAGATGACAACTCTAGTCTTTATTGCTAATGTAGTACACTTGATCAAAGATCCAGCAGTGTGTGAGCCCATGTGTGTGCATGTTTGTGTGCTGGTTCTTGTGTGTGTGAGGGGATCTAAAGTCAACCTCAGATGGCAGTATTCCCTACTAGTTACTTTCTGGTTTTTCATTTTTAAACTTACATCTTTATTAAACCTTTTTTTAAAATTTTTCCCCCTAAGAAAGATTATATTTGTATGGTGATAGACAATGAGTTCAAGGATTCTAAGTTTCTTTGTTTTCCCTCCACTTCTCCCTCCTACCCATTTCCTTGACTGTTCAAAGTTTCGGAGAGATGACAAAAGTCTTTTTGTTTTTCTGTTTTTTCATTTTGCTTGTACATGCTGGGCAAGAATGCTGCCATATAGTATAACCCCATAAGCCAGTAGAGGGCATCAGATCTAGATTTAGAATTACAGCCTGCTGTTATGAACCACTCTGTAGTTTTTGGGAACCCAGATCTTCTATAAGAGCAGGAAGCACTCCTAAACATTGAACCATTTCCATTTAATGTTAAAAGTAAATTGTTTTTATCTTTATTTTATTTTATTTACTTATTTATTTTGTTTTTTTGAGGCAGGGTTTCTGTGTGTAGTCTTGGCTGTCTTGGAACTCACTTTGTAGACAAAGTTGGCCTCCAACTCACAGAGATCTGCCTGCTTTCCCCCCCCCCCCCCCCCCCCCCCCCCCCCAGTGCTGGGATTAAAGATGTGTGACACCATTGCCTGACCAAAGTACCATCATTGTAATAAACATCTTCATCCATAAATTTTATGAATGATTATTATGATAGTGTTGAAAATGATTTTAAGACCTGTTTTTCTTGTGGTGCCAGTAGCTGGGGGATGCTAGGTGAATGTTTGTCACTGTATTAACTCCCAGCTCAAGGTCCATCCCCCCCACTTTACCCCTCAAGTTAAGAAATATTGAACCGCTTAATTATATATTTTGTGTGCATATATGTGTGACACATAGGTGGATAGCAGAGGAACTCTCTTTCCACCATTGGGTCCTGAGGATTAAACTCAAGTCATTAGATTTGGCAACAAATATTTTTACCTCATTGAGCCATCTCACTAGCCCTGGTTTTAAGATTTGTATTTTCTAGTAAGTTTACTTTTCGTTTTGAGACTAGGTCTCACACTGTAGCCCTTGGCTATGTAGACCAGGCTGGCCTGAAACACACAGAGATTAACCTGCTTCTGCTTCCAGAGTGTTAGGATCAAAAATGTGTGCCACCATGCCTTGATATATTCAGGCTTTTAATGCACTTTACCAAGTAATTTCTGTAATAGCTTAAGCAAACTTACCAATTATTCCACCCCATTTATTTCAACAAAGTTGACTTTGTTGATAATGATGAAACAAATTATTATGAACCATGAATTATTAGATTCTTAACACATTTCAGAAATACCACATTAAAGAAATAAGGAGGCATACTACTGGTAAGGAAAGAAAAATTAAAATAAAAAAAAAATGCGCCGGGCGGTGGTGGCGCAAGCCTTTAATCCCAGCACTTGGGAGGCAGAGCCAGGCAGATCTCTGTGAGTGTGAGTTCAAGGCCATCCTGGGCTACCAAGTGAGTTCCAGGAAAGGCGCAAAGCTACACAGAGAAACCCTGTCTCGAAAAACCAAAAAAAGAAAAAAGAAAAGCCACCCAGCTTTTTATCAGAAAGACAACCATCAGAAATGTTTCCTATAATGAGTCAAAACAATGGGTTGGAGAGTGGTTCAGCCATTGAGAATGCGTACTGTTTTTGCAGAGGACTTGGCTTCTGTTCCCAGCATCAACATAGTGCCTCACAGCCATCTGTAACTCCAATTCCAGGAGATCTGATGCTTGCTTTGACTTCCTCAAGTTCTTCCTGCACACATGTGATACACTCAGGAGTGGTGGTGCACACTTTTAATCTGAGCACTTTGGAGGCTGAGGCAGGTGGATCTCTGAGTTAGAGGTTAGCCTGATGTACATAGCAAGTTCAGGCCAGCCAAGGCTACATAGTGAGACTCTGTTTCCAAAGACCAGTCAAATAAATAAAAATAAACATTTATTTGAGCAGTCAAAAATTTCACCAGGATGGTAGTACAGCTTAATGGCAAGGCTGGCCTAACATGCACAAGGCCCTGGGTTTGATAACCTGCACTGAGTGGGGGGGAAAAGTTTGCAGTATTTCTCCAAAACAAAAAGTTATAAGAGAAAAAGTATCAAATGTTCAAAAATTTTATTTGACTAAATTCACATTCATAGATAAGCATGGCAGTCTCCTTATTTTATCAGATTTTGGCCAAACAACAACAACAGCAAAACAAAACAAAAAAAAAAACCAATCCCAAATGCTTTGTACAGAACAGTGAGAATGGCGAGGACAAGAGTAGTCTGTACTGAGAGGCCTTTCTCTCTGGCCAGGTCAGATGGGGTTTCAGAAGTGCTTCTCTAAGGTCTTCAATGCTGTTGTCATCGCCTCTGGCCATTTTTTTCTGAATAACATCAATTATGTTATCTATTAATGAGACACTGCAGGAGAAATTTTGAACAAAAAATAAAACACGAAACAAAAACTTTGGGTTTAAGGTTAGTTTCAAAACTTGTAAAGATGATGTACTTTTGTCACATATTTCTTTGCTCTGAGTTTTGGCTCTAGTAGTCTTTGGTGGAATGGTCTTTTAATTGGTCTTTTCCTTCCTTTTCTGTTTTTCTTCACTTACTGTTACTTGATCTTAGACAGTTCTACTTTGTATTTTAGGTGAATTTTCTACTTTGAGTTTGCAAACTTACTTGGGAAATTGTTCTCTACTTACATTTAGCAACATCAGGCATATATTTATTCTCAGTATTTCATTGATAATGGACAGTCCACAACTGAGGACTTGAAGTCTAACTTGGCACTGTCCTTATCTCTCCTGTACATTCATCCCCATTGGTTTCAGAATTGTTAGTAGCAATTTAATAAACTCAGGTAAAAGAACATTTCCTTTGGGCTGGAGAGATGGCTCAGAGGTTAAGAGCACTGCTTGCTCTTCCAAAGGTCCTGAGTTCAATTCCCAGCAACCACATGGTGGCTCACAACCATCTGTAATGAGATCTGGCGCCCTCTTCTGACCTGCAGGGATACATGCAGACAGAACACTGTATACATAATAAATCTTTTTTTTTTAAAAAAAAAAAAAGAACATCTCCTTTAAGCCAAAGTGGCACATGGAATTTTCCTTGCTGGATCAGTCCAAGGCTCCATCTGGTGCCCTTTTTTTTTGAAACAGGGTCTCATTGTCTTGGGGTTACTTGTAGGCTGTTTGACTGGTCAGTGAGTCCCAGGGATTCATCAGGTTGAGGTTCTTAAGCTTGGATGTCAAACACTTTGCCTGAGCTATCTCCCTAGCCCAAGACTCAACAGTTTAAGCAGCAAATAAATAGCTGTTGACGATAATTGTCCTGTATTAGATCAACTGGTATGTTCCGTAGGACTGAATGAAAGGAAATTTGGTAGTAACCAGTTGCCTTCATAAGTTTGGGCTGGCAAGTTGTTCAATATCAACTTCTAAAATATGTCTATTTTTCTGCAGGTAGCTCTGGTAGGCGAGGGGGAAGGTTTTCTGCTCAAGGAATGGGGTAAGTTTCATTGATTTTTAATTTTTCACCCTGAGAATCAACAGAGACATCCTTAGCCAAAATGAGATTAGAATCATTTATAGACCTGCTTTTTAAAGTGAGCTCTGTTTTCTTCCTAACCTAAGCTGGCTTTAAGCTCACAGTTCTTTTGCCTCAGCCTTCCAAATGGTGGTTATAGATGCACTATGATACCTGGCTGATTTGTAGATGAATAAAAAGTGTGTAGATTTGTGCTCATTTCTCAGATACAGGCATTTACCATCTGGATCATTTGTGGATAGCTTATGCTGTGCCATTTTGCATTGGCTGATAAGAAAAGCAAGCATGTGAGATTATAGAATGGGGAGTGACTCATCTCTGTTAGGAAGGAAATAGTCAATATTCTGATTGTTTTATTTGAGTTAACATTTGCTGAATCTGCTAATGAAGTTAGAAATTCAAAAGCTTTCTTTTTTTCCCCCCAGAACCTTTAACCCAGCTGATTATGCAGAGCCAGCCAATACTGATGATAACTATGGCAATAGTAGTGGCAACACATGGAACAACACTGGCCACTTTGAACCAGATGATGGAACGAGTGAGTGACTTTCCTGTCTTTGGGATTCTGAGAATTTCTTTTTTTGGCATGGTGCTGTTAATTGAAAATCAGGGTCTGTGTATAATAGGTAAATGTTCTACTATTGTGATGTACTCAGTCCTAGAAATGACTTTGCTTGAAGCATTTCTGTTATCTTATTTTAAGGTTATATTTAGCCTTAAAAATTGGAAGAGTAGCCAGGCAGTGGTGGCACACACCTTTAATCCAAGCACTCTGGAGGCAGGGGTAGGTGGATCTCTGTGAGTTCCAGGATAACCAGGGCTGCACAGAGAACTATTGTTTAGAAAAAACCAAAATACAAAAATCAAAAACAACCTGGAAGAGTACCTTTTAAGACCTGAGATAGAGAAGATGATATAGGGATGAAGATTTAAATTAATCGGTATGTGTTTGGTTAGGCATGCCTTTGTGAGCATATTCTGTGAACCAGTTCACTTGATCACTTTTATGAAGTAGCCAGTGTGTTGTGTTTCCCCCACATTGTTACTGTTTTGTTATTAACATTCTTGCAAGCCGGTTTGGAACTCATAATCTTTTTGGCTTAGCTTCCCAAGTGCTGGAGTGATAGATGAGCGTCATTCCACCTAACCTGAAATCAATCCTCTTTTAAGGAAATTCTGTACATTTTGTTGTTGATGAGACTAGGTCTCATGTGCCTTAAACTAACTATGTAACTGAGGATGACTTTGAATGAACTCCTGGTCTTCCTGCCTTCACCTGTCCAGGAATTATATATGTAGGTGCATACACTGCACCTGGCTTTAAAATCTTTATCATCACCATCTTAATGGTAAAGCTTAAGATTGAAAAAGAGATTATGAATTTACTTGTATTTGAATTCAGAACTATTTGACCTAAACTTTATGCTCTTTGCATTATCCCATATTGCTCCTTTTAGCTCTGGGTGTATTTCCTTTAGAGTTCTATGTTAGGATAGTTTCATCTTTTGAGTAAATTACACTCAAAAGATGAAACTATCCTCTTAAACCGATTAAGGTACTCATTGTCAAGATCAGCAGAGCCCAGAGTCAGAGTCAACACTATTGCTTTGTTGCCCCTGCCTCCTGAGTGCTGGGATTGATAGCATACCACGGTGTCTGGCTTGGAATATCCTTTTTTTTTTTAAAATTTTCATTTTTTTGATGTATTTTATCAAGAAGAGACTCACTGCACTTCAAGTTTTTCATTAAGTAGTCTTATTAGTGTGTGTCATTTGGTAGAGTGTTCATAGGATTTGAAAAAAACCAACATTTTTTTGGCTGACTTTTGTACTTGAACCGAGGTATCATGTATGCTTATGGGATACACCAAGTTATGTTCAATGGTAAACTATAATTTGCTGTTTTAATGAGAGCAGCCCCAAAATCTCAAGAGTGTCTTGGTCCTGAGGATTGAACCAAGGCAGTGTGCATGCTAAGTAAGAGCTTAAAGTGCCTTCTTTTTTGTAATATCATCTAACTTCCTGTCTGAGCTGGCACATTAGAGCTTGTGGGTTTTCCTCTTTATGAAGAGATCTGGCCCTGTGATGGTGTTGCACGCCATTAGACCCAGCACTTGGGAGCAGAGGCAGGTGGATCTCTGTGAGTTCGAGGTCAACCTCATCGACAAAGGGAGTTCCAGGACAGGCAGGGCTACACAGAGAACCCTGTCTCAAAGAGAGAGAGAGAAAAAAAAAAGAGGTCTGGGTTTAACAGAGGATTGAAATTTTAGGCTTGTTGACATGTTACCATTCAGATTTTATCGTGTGTGTGTGTGTGTGTGTGTGTGTGTGTGTGTGTGTGTGTGTGTGTGTGTGTGTGGTCTGTCTGTCTCTGTGTTTGTGTGTCGGGGTCAGGGGGAGGTGATTCCCAATCTTTATCCATAGCTGTCTTAAAATAAGAATCTGGTTAGAAATCAAGGACTGTTGTAATGATTAGAAAATAGCAGATTTTAGAAGTCTGGAGTCACAAATCAATTATGCGTGGCTAGAATGAAATGATAGATAATGCCACTGTCATCTTGGTGTGAAAGGCTTGGTGGTAGCTTTGTAAGCTCCTGTTGTCAACTTCATGATATAACATACCTTTATGCATGATTTCTTTTATGTTTTCATAGAGCAAACTTGAAATTCCTTTTTTTAATTTAAGAAATAATTCAAACCTACCCTTAAAATATCCACAGGTACAATGGGGTTTGTGTATTGGGGCAGATGTTCTCATTCACAAGCAAAATTTCACTGGTTGTTTTTTCTTTTCTTTTCTTTTTTGTTTCAGGACTTGATTTCATTGGGGTTGAGGGGTCAAATTATCCCCGAAAATTTGAGACTGCTCCTGGTATGATACATCCAGGCGCCTAATTGCCCCGGATATTTTTAAGATTTTTATGAACTGAAATATCTGTGGATATGTCATTTTTCTGTCTTTCTATTTTTTTCTTCCTGCCTTTGCCTTTCATTTTCTGTGCCCACTTTTCCCTCTCCAAATTATATTCATTTAGTGAATACTTGGCATTTACATTGTCCAAGCTTTGTGCTGTGGGTATGCAAGCCCTAATCTTTGTAGAACATTTCCATCTTACTGTTCCTGGCTTCCTTATCCATGACCATCCTTCCAGGACAGGAAGCATCAAGCACAAGTATTTATATGCTTTCCTATCACAATTCAAGTCACCAGAGTGCAGAAAGAAAATTCTTGCACAAAGAGACCAGGTTAGGTAACTTTTTGGTCAGTTCTAACTCCAGGATTATATTAAGTGTTAACTCATTTGGGGTTCCATTTAGCCAGGATGACACAGATATCAATGAGGAGGAAGAAAAGAACCATAAGAGTGATGAGAGGGATATGATTTGTGATTTGTATTTTCTTGTAGAAGACAGTTTCCATTATTAAATGTTTTCAAATTTTTAGGTGTTTTTTTTTATTACTAGAATATTTCTTTTTGCCTTTTTTTTCCCCTTAATGAGGTAGGATTTTACTGTGTAGACCAGATTGGTCTCAAAACTCGTGTGTGTGTGTGTGTGTGTGTGTGTGTGTGTGTGTGTGTGTGTGTGTGTGTGTACACAAGATCCTGTTTTTCTGCATGTGTATATGCATGCACATGAAGCATGGAGGTCAGTGTTGCCGTCTTATTCTCTGACTGCACCTGAAGCTCCCCCATTCAGATAGACTAGACTGTCCAACAAGCTCTAGTGAGTCTCCTCTTCCTGCCTTCCTGGTGCTGGCGTTAGTCTCATGTCGTTGTGCTTGATTTTGTTTTTGTGCTGCTAAGCAACCATGCTCCCATTGAGCCAAATGCCAACCCTGTACCCAATTTCTTTCTTTCTTTCTTTCTTTTTTTTTTTTCCGAGACAGGGTTTCTCTGTGTAGCTCTTGAGCCTTTCCTGGAACTCACTCTGTAGACCAGATTGACCTCCAACTCACAAAGATCCGCCTGCCTCTGCCTCCCGAGTGCTGGGATTAAAGGCGTGCGCCACCACTGCCCAGCCCTGTACCCAATTTCTATGTGGATGCTGGGAATTGAAATCAGGTTATTATGCTTCCATTGAAAGACTATCTTCTGAGCCATCTTTCCTTGCCCCACACCCTCAAGTTTTGGATGTCCTTGCCTCATCTTGAAAGTATTAGGAGGAGACAGACTCAACCATTTGTTAATTCTTTCATTTTCAGTTTTAAATTTTTATTTTATTGAGACAAGGTCTCACTACACAACCTGGGCTGGCCTGGAATTTGCTATGTAGAATAGGCTGCCCTGGAACTTAAAAAGATTCTCAGCCTCCTAAGTTCTAGGATTAAAGGAATTTGCTACCATACCCAGCAGCTACTTGTTAATTCTTGTAGAAGCTTTTTTTAGATAGGCTTCAAGATTTACTTCATGTATTCTGAGTTCTAGAATAGAGGTTAAGAGCACTGGCTGCTCTCCCAAAGGTCCTGAGTTCAATTCCCAGCAACCACATGGTGGCTCACAACCATCTGTAATGAGATCTGGTGCCCTCTTCTGGCCTGTAGGCAGACATGCAGGCAGAACAGTGTATACATAAATAAATGAATCTTTAAAAAAAAAAGGGACCAGTTCTAGTTTCTGGTATAGATAAATTCTTACACTAGTCTTATGATATAGTCTTTCTGAGATTATATGTATGTATGTGACAAAAATTGTGAGGATTGTATTAGAACGGATAAAACTTGCTGGCCAAGCATGCTAAGTGGAGTTTGGATCCCTAGCACCTACTTAAAAGTCAGGTGGATGTAGAGGGAGGCCTGCATATAACTCAGAACTTGGGAGGAACAGATGGGATCCCCAGTGCAAATTGGCAGCCCAACTAGACGAGATCAGCTTCAGGTTAAGCCAGAAACCTTGCCTCAGTAAAGCAAAGTGATAGAGGAAGATAGCTGAAATCAACTTCTAGCTTCCAAATTGATCTGAAAACGTACCAGCACAAACATTGTGTTTACACGTGTGAACATGCATGCCTCACACATACACAACAGCAAAGGTGCCAGGTAAAGTATATAGAAATGGTTTGATTGTGCATGGAAATTTTCTGTGTAAACTGTTTTAGCTTAAAAGAAGACGAAAATGAGCTTGGCAGGTCAAATTCTATCTTCTCTATAAATAGGATTAGGAAAATAGCTGTTGTACATATTTTATTTTACTTTTGTCTTGTATCTCCAAAAGGAGCAAGTCTACACAGAGTTCCCTATAGTTACCTTGTTTAAACCAGTAAGACTTAAGAACTCGACTTGTGCTGATTATGCTGTTTTTGTTCATTTCTAATAGCAGATAGGTCTTTTTTGTCTGTCTTCCGTTCAGCTTGCAAACCTACTCATTCCCCTTTCACTATACATATGCCAACTTTTTATAGTTCTCTACCACTAGGTTCATTTCTTTTCAGAATACCTTGAGGTTTTTGTTGTTGTTTTTATACAAAATAAATAGCTGTAGCTTGCATGTTCTGCTTTGAATTAGTTGCAACCATCTCATTAAATAACCGCTAAGACAAATTCGAAGTCCTTAAAGATATTGCATGGCATTTGAATCTTGGTGGGAAGGAGGTAGGAATGGGTTTTAGATGGATGTATGTATGTTTATATTATGTCCTTTTATCTGTTTCTTCCATTCCTATTATAACTCTGTAACCCAACTGAAAGTGGCTATGAGATCATAATCTTATTAAAGCCTTTTTACTTTGGTGTTTCTAAATAGTCTTTCCCTACCTCTAAAGTCAACAAATTCTTTCTGATTGCTAAATTCTAATCATACTATTGCTTGTCAAAATGTTAATGTAGGAGTGTTATTTGAACATGTTTTATAATGACACAAATTTATTTTGCCTTTTTTTTTCTTTCTTTTTTTTTAATTCCTAGGTGCATGGAGAACTGCAACAGAAGAATGGGGAACTGAAGATTGGAATGAAGATGTAGGTATTCCTGGTCTGTTTCTTACCTAATGTATTCTATCCCTAAGTTATGTTTAGGGATAGAAAATGGATATATTTCTACCTTTCAAAATGCACTGCTAAGATTCTGACCTAAAACTTTTACATCCAAAATAGTGTTCTGAGCCAGAACATTTCTCATATGTTATATGAAGGAGACTGGGCATGGACAGGACTCTGTGGAACCACACTATGGAAAGGGCAAGTTCAGGTGTGTAAGTCCAATACCTGATTCTCAGATTGACCCAGGAAGATAGAGTGGTTGGGTAGGGTATCCACAATGGAATTAGGACTGGGAACAAGCTAAGAGGTAGAGTGCTTGCCTATTATGTGTGAGATCTTGCATTCAAATCCCATCACTGCAAAAAAATTGTTTTTAGTTAGACAGATAGTAGGTAGTACATTAAGTAACAGCTGCTAATAGCATAGAACTCTACTTGGAGCTGGTGCATTATTTGGTATTAAGTTCTATAATGAATTGGTAGTGGATACAGAGAAAGTTATGGTACCTAAGCTTCAAGCATATAATCCAGTTGGCTAAGAAGCTTTTATTTACCTGATGCCTAATTTTGCAATTGAAATGACTATCCAGTTGGCTATCTGCCATCGTGATTCACCTTGGAAAACTCATAGATGAGTGGTTTGTAAAGAATTTTCCTCAGTATGGCCTAAGTAAAAAAATTTTACTTTTCCTGGTCACAGTCAAACTTTGCTGTGAATTGTGGTTTTCAATGATTATGGATAAACGTAGTTTAATATTTTAAATCTGCTTTCCTTTATATAGGTAGGTAAAGTAGCTTTGTGAAATTGATTTGATTTTCAGTCTTAGGTTTCTAACATTCCAGTGTTAACAGCATCAGAGGGTAATGATTTTCTTTTTTTGATTTTTCGAGACAAGGTTTCTCTGTGTAGCCATGGCTGTCCTGGAACTCGCTCTGTAAACCAGGCTGGCTTGAACTCACAGAGATCTGCCTGCCTCTATAGCTGAGCTAAACTGCTCTGTGAATATGAACAAGTTCTACTTTCTGAAATTTGGTTTATGTTAGTAAGAATTATATTTGGGAAACTGGGTTTTCTCTTTGTTAGAGAAGAGATTTTAAATAAAGAATTAAAAGAAACTTAAGTCAACTCTTATTTAGGAGGAGGAGTTATCTCCTATAATTGAGGACCTCATAAGATGCCTTAGAAGTGTAATATAGTCAATATTAATGCAAAAATTGAATATAGTTAAAATTCCTGAAAAGACATTACTTGACCAGCATTTGGACCTGAACTTCTTAATAGCCAGGAATTAAAGTTATTTCTTTCTTCATCTTGGTCATGCTTTTCCTTTCATTGAGAGAGAAAAAATGGTGGGAGATAAATGTACTTTGGGTAGAGGTAGGACTTGAGATTTGTAATGAGAAAATATTTCCTTAATATATATGACTAGCACAGAGATATCCCTCCTGTGAGTTGAGTGTGTATATGATATGACTCTATTATGTTTTATTGCATTCCTTCGTTCTCTTATTTGCTTGGATAAAACTGTCAAGCAAACTTGATATCAACACATTCAGGATTCATCAGGTAGATAGTTTGTTTCATAGCGTTTTTCCCTTTTTCTTGGTATTGAATTTACCATACCTGTGGCAAATTTCTGTTTTTAACCTCTCTAACACCAGAAGTAACCGATTCCTCTCTTTCCAGCTTTCTGAGACCAAGATCTTTACTGCCTCTAATGTGTCTTCAGTGCCTCTGCCTGCGGAGAATGTGACAATCACTGCTGGTCAGAGGCAAGTGTGTAATAAAGTACCTTTTTAAAACACATAGGTTCCTTTTGATTGAGGGATTTAAAACAGTTTTTAGTGTACTAAATAGAAGTTCATATGCAGTAGTATCAAATTTTGTTCATCCCTAAAATAGTTAATTTTATCTTTATGTGTGTATGCCACATGTGTGGGTGCTTATAGATGCCAGAAGTGGGTATCAGGTCTACCCTATAGCTGGAGCTATAAGTGGTTTTGAGCTGCAAGATATGGGTGCAGTGAAGTGAAATTGAGTCCTCTGTAAGAGCATCAGCTGCTCTTACTTAACCACTGAGCCATCTTTATAGCCCCTAACCTAAAATAGTTTTTTAATTACAAAGATCAGTCTTATAACCAGCATTGACTATGTAACTTGTTTTGACCTAAGCTAGGGAAATAAGAGCTAAGGAAAATTTTTTTTAAATATGCTTTTGATTTTGCAGCTCTGTTTATAATAATGATTTTAATGCAAGATACTACTGCATTAAGAACAATCCAACCCTCTGTATTCATGGGTTCTGCATCCATGTAGTCAACCAACCATAGTTTGAAAATACTGAGATGGCTGGGCATGGTGGTGCACGCCTTTAATCCTAGTATTTGGGAGGCAGAGGTAGGCAGAGGTCTGAGTTTGAAACCAGCCTGGTCCACAGAGCAAGTTCTAGGACAGTTAGGACTACATAGAGAAACCCTGTCTCCAAAACAGCAACAGCAACAAAAAAGTATAATAGGGATGGAGAGAGAGATGGCTCATTGGTTACAAGCACTTGAGGGCCTGCGTTCAATTCCCAGCACCCACATCTCACTTCACAATCACCTGTAACTCTAGTTCCAGGGGATCTGAAGCCCTCTTCTGGCTTCTGTGTACACCAGGTCTGCATATGGTGCACAGACATACTTGCAGACAAAATGTCAATACACTTGAGTGAAATCAACTAATTAAAAAAGAGAGAAGTATAAGAGGAATAGAATGTTAGGAATGTCATCTGAATTGGGATTCTATTTAGTCTTAACAATAAAAACCCAGAGTTAGATATCGAGGGTGGGAGCTGAAAGATCAGACAAGCAGAGCAACAGCCACTAGAAACTTTTTACCTCTATGAATCCTCAGACCAAATGGAGGTCGAGGTCCTGTCTCCACCTCCCTAGTGCTTATTTGTCAGAACAAAAACAAAATAGCACATGACAGTCATCACCAGAATACTGTATTTTTTTCTGTAACCAAATATATGTATACATGTTATTATTTCTAACAATTGTGCAAGTCTATGTTCAGTGCTCAGCAGTTTTAGTTTGTACTTAGCCAGAGTTGATATAGACCAAAAAGCTGAGATTAACTCCCTTTAAGACTGCCCTACCTCTGAGTCTCAGTAGTCTACCTGCCAATTACAAACTCAGAGGTTCCCATGATCTTCCTCAGGTTTGATAATTCACTGTAATGAGTCAACTCAGTAAAATATTTTACTTATTACTGAGTTATTATAATCTCAGAAATAGCCAAATGCAGAAATACTACACAGGGCAGTGAAAGAGAGAATGTGTGTGTACACTTACTTGTGTGTATGTCTGTGTCTGTATGTCTAGTGGCGCAAACAAGCATTTCATATTCTCTTCAGGCTTCTAGAAGCTCTCTTAATCTATTTTTGAGGGTTTTTTTTGTTTGTTTTTTTGTTTTTTTCAAGACAGGGTTTCTCTGTGTAGCTTTGGTCCCTGTCCTGGGTCTCGATCTGTAGCCCAGACTGGCCTTGAACTCACAGAGATCCACCTGTCTCTGCCTCCTGAGTGCGGGTATTAAAGGTGTTTAGGTAATGTAAGTAGAATTTGCTAAACCATTGGCCATTGGTATTTTGCTTAATGGCTCATTCTTCTCCCTTGGACATGGGTAGAACTGGAAGAAGCTGAATAGTCCATTCTTCAGTTTTGTTTTCTAGTGATCATACCTATCCTTACACTATGTATGCCCTATGCTTAGTCACTACTTTAGAAAGAAGCTTCTTGTAACATAGGATGGAATCTTGAATTTTTGTTTTTCTTCTTTCTTCTTTTTGGTTTTTTTTTTTTTTTTTTTTTGGTTTTTCGAGACAGGGTTTCTCTGTGTAGCTTTGCGCCTTTCCTGGAACTCACTTGGTAGCCCAGACTGGCCTCGAACTCACAGAGATCCGCCTGGCTCTGCCTCCCGAGTGCTGGGATTAAAGGCGTGTGCCACCACCGCCCGGCCTTCTTTTTGGTTTTTTTTGAGCCAGGGTTTCTCTGTGTAGCTTTGGCCATCCTGGAACTTGCTCTATAGACCAAGCTGGCCTCGAACTCAGAGCTCTCTCTGCCTCTAGAGTGCTGGGATTAAAGGTGCACCACTACTGCCCGGTGAAATTTCTTTGTTTTGACAAGATGCTTGGGGTGTATTTGGGACCTGTGAATGCTATATTTATACTGAACCATTAAGCTACTCATCAACCCCATATTTTGACTATATCACAAGTAAAAAGTTTGTAGAAAAACTTCTAAAACCTCCTCTGTTCAAAATACATTTGAGGATGCCAGTATTTTGATATATGGTCTTTTGTTCTTCTATTGAGATAGGGTTTTACTATTTGGGTCAAGCTGTCCTTGAGTTTGAAGTAATCAATCCTCTTGCATTAGCCTTCTGAGTACTAGGGATTACAAGTTACACCACCATGCCCAGCTACGTATATGGTCTTATGTCAGAATTTAGTTTTATGTATTAAAATCATAGCTAAATATTTTTAAATTCCTACCTTATTATTGAGTTGCTGTATTAGAACTTAATATTTAAAGTGGAGTATCAGGTATGGTTGTGCAAAACTTTAATCTCAGTACTTGGGAGGCAAATGCTGGTGGATATCTGAGTTTGAGGCCAGCCAGAGCTACATTGTGAGACCTTATCTAAACAAAACCAAACAACAACAACAATAAAAACCCAACTAGCTATATCATGGCCGATACTTATAATCCCAGCACTTGGGATATTGAGGCAGGAGAGTCATAAATATGAGACAAGCCTTGGCTACATAGTGAGACCCTGTTTCAAAAGGAGGGGAAAAAAAAACCCAAAAAACAAAAAAAAACCCCAAATCCTAAAGATTTGGTATTTCATTAAATTAATGCTATCATCAGATTAAATATTTAACTATTGTTATTGGCAGCATCAGTAGGATTTCCCTGAATGCTCTAGTGGCTCTTATACCTCAGTTATTTTGGTTAGCATAACATATTAGGACTTTATGAGACTGTAGCATCAAAAAATACCCTTTATGTTGATCTAACCATGGTCCAAGTTAGATGCAAAGAATGTTAGAACATTCAGTCATTATTCATAAAGATCCCTTTTTCTCCCAAACTAGAATTGACCTTGCTGTTCTTTTGGGGAAGACACCATCTTCAATGGAGAATGATTCGTCTAATCTGGATCCATCTCAGGCTCCTTCCCTGGCCCAGCCTCTGGTGTTCAGTAATTCGAAGCAGAATGCCATATCACAGCCTGCTTCAGGGAATACATTTTCTCATCATAGTATGGTAAGTAGGAAATAAACCATCATACTAACCTCAGCAAACACATACACATAGTTATTCCTTTGTCAAGTACTTTAATATATAGTCTCATTTTGTAGGCCAGGCAGAGATCTGTCAGGGCATTACAAACATGAGCACCATGCACAGTTGCTTAGCTTATTTTCAGTTCTCAGATCATACAGTACTTCATTTCCTAAAATGGAATAAACATTCTGAGCAGAAGTTTCTAGGTTTGTTTGGCTTTTTGAGGCAGGCTGAGTAGGCAGGCTGCCCTTAGATTCACCGGTAAAACTCAGTCATGCTTTCAGTTTATGGTGCTCCTCTTCTCCACTGGGTGCTGGGACCACAGGTATATCATGATTCCTTGAGATAGGGTGCTTTTATAGACAGAAAGGGGCTGGTCAAAATAGAAATTGGCTGGGTGGTGGTGGTGCACACCTTTAATCCCAGCACTTGGGAGGCAGAGGCAGGTGGATCTCTGTGAGTTCAAGGCCAGCATGGTCTACACATCGAGTTCCAGGACAACCACGGCTACACAGAGAAACAATGTCATAGAACCCCACTCCCCCACCACCCCAAAAAGGAAGTAAAACAAAAAAATACATTGGTTGTTTTGAACTTATTTTCCTTATGAGATGAGTTTACAGAAGAATAGAAAAGTAACTTAACATTTTCTTTTCCTCCAGAAGGGTTGAGGATAAGGAACTTGATTATTGTACTACTCAAAATCACCCTGCTTAGGAAACTTTGATTCTTCTGATTTTTTAGGTTGAAGGACAATGTAGTTTCAGTTTGAAAATTGGAATAAATTTTGATTTTTGCTGTGATCTGTTTGTTTGCATTTTGGATTTGTCCCCAAACAGTGAGCTTCTATAACATTTTCAAAGGTAGCCATCATTTATAGCAGGATAAAGCCCCTTTGTCTCCTATAAAAACAGCTTCACAGATAGAGATGATATTGAGTAGTAAGTGTCTAGCTCTAGGTGAACTTGGCTGAATTGTCTTATGGACTGAGATAATATCATTCATTAAATATTTATAGTGCTGAACACTGTCCTCCTCTTACTCCCTCAACAGAAAGTCAGTGGTGTTAAACCTCTCAACAACTTTGTATCCTTTTTGCAATCCTCACTAAACAGATAAAATTGTAGCCATTTCCAATTTCTAGAAAATTGCCTCATATCTTTACTTACATTATACATTTGTAGACTAGACTTCCAAAAACCTAAGGTCTTTCCAGATCTGTCCCTTAGTATATGGACAGTCTCTACTTGGCCTTTAAATGGAAATGAGATTATTTGCTTGTCCTATCTTGTTAGACCTTAGGAAAATAAGTAAGGTAATAGATATCAGTAGCTGTTGGTTGTTCTTTGTTTTTGAACCAGCTTCTCTTTATGTAGCTCTGACTGGCCTAAAACTCACTGCCTAGCCCAGATGGATTTGAACTTTGAACTTGAAACAGTTCTGCCTCCTGAATGCTAGGATTAGAGGCATGTTCACCATGCCTGCCCTAATTTCTTTTCTTTCATTGTTGCTGTTAAATTTTTACTTATTTTCTGTGGCATGGTCTTTAATGTCTCAGACTGACCTCAGACTCATTATATAGTGGATGATGGCCTCTTGTCTCTACCTCCTGGGGAATGGGATTACAGGCACATACCTGTTTTATATGGTGCTGAGGATAAAATGCAGTGCTTGTATATGCTTGGCAAGCATTCTAGCAACTGAGCTAGTCTCATTATTTTTCATTGAGAATAAATATTAAAGGATCAATTTTCCTTAAAATTTAATCCTAACTAGGCAGTGGTGATGCACGCCTTTAATCCTAGCACTTGGGAGGCAGAGGCAGGTGGATCTCTTGAGTTTGAAACCAGCCTGCTATACAGAGTGAGTTCCCGAACAGTCAAGACTACACAGAGAGACCCTATCTTAAAATATAAAACAAAATCAAAAACAAAAAAATTAGTAGATCTTGTATCATAGGCCTTTATTTTCTGTGTGTGCTGGTATCTGAAGAGGGCAGAAATGGAGTGTTAGAGTACTTGAAACTGGAATTTTTGTTTTTGTTTTTTTAAAGTAAGGTCTACATACACATACTTGGTTTTTAATTCATTTTTCTTATATAGTCTTACCATCATACCATATATATATATATATACATACATCCCAGGCTGGTGCTGAACCTCATTTCAAATCCTACTGCCTCTGCTATGAGAAAGCTGTAATTACAGATGTGACACTTGCCAGGCATTTTTCTGTGTTTTTGATGCTTTGTACTTGAATGTTTGATGGAGGGCTGGAGCCATGATTTAGTAGGCAAAGTGCTTGCTACGCTTTCTCAGGAACCAGAGTTCAGTTCGTAGCACCTACAATGGGCAACTCACAACTTCCTGTAACTCCAGCTCCAAGAGTTCAGATGCTCTTTCTTAGCTTCTGTGGACTCCCACAGAGATGGCATTCACTTATGTACAAACGCTCATAACTAAAATTAAAATAATTATTTTTCAGAAGATTTTGATAATTGATTGTGTGGAGCCATCTCTTTCCCACAGTTTCTTATTTTTAAATACATTTCTGAAGGTTTTTCTACATTAAAAAAAAACCTCATTTATTTATTGTGAGTTTGCATGTGCACACATGCCATTGTATCTGCGAGCACATGTGGAAATAAAAGGACAACTGTGGCATCCATGAGAGTCCTGGCAGACAAACTCAAGCCATCAGGCTCGCCATAGTAAGCACTTTACCAGTGGAGCCATCTCAGCAGCCCAACTTCTGAAATTTTTGCTTGCACAATCTTGAGATACAGTGGGAAAAAAAAATCTTTCCTTGTGTGTTAATTACACTGTTTAGCTTTGACAAAACACCTGACTAAATTAACTTAGTGGAGGACAATTTTATTTTGTCTTGTCATCTCAGAGGGTTCTGTCAGTGGTTGGTTGGCTTTGCTGTGGGGATTAGAGAGAATTAAGAATAAATTGTGTGAGAGCTGGAGAGCCGGCTCAGTGGTTAAGAACATTGACTTCTCTTCCAGAGGACCCAGTTCAGTTCCCAGCACCCACATGGCAGTTCACAGCTGTCTGTAACTCCAGTTCCAAGAGATCTGACGTACATGCAGGCTACACCAATACACATGGAATAAAAATAGAGTAAAAAAAAAAATTATACATACAGAAAACAGTCCAAGTCATATGGACTTGTTGATTGTCTACTGTAAAATTTGAGATGGCCCTGTAATTTCCCTTTTTCTTTGCTAGTTAATAACATTCAAATGAGGTTCCAGTTGGTTAGTTTTGTTTTGATTGAGTTTTTCAATGAAAATTGATTTTGTTTTGAAATGTGTTACTAGCGTATATCAGCTTACATAGTAGACTTTGAAATTTTCATACATATAATTAGTTTTGGTCATATTTGTTCCCTTTTTCTTGACCCCCTCTTACTCACCCTCTTCCTTTTTTATTTGAGACATGATCTGGCTATACTGGAACTCCCTATGTAGACTTGACTGTCCTCAAACTCACTGAGTTCCTCCTGCTGAGATTAAAGTTGTACCCACCATGCCCAGGTTTTTTTTTTTTTCCCCCTTTCTTTGAGACAGGTTCATTCTCTTTAGCCCTGGCTGTGTTGGTATTCACTGTGCTGGTTCTTGATGCCTACTCTGAGTGCTGAGAGATCAAAGATGTGCAAGATGTGCACCCCCCCCACCCCCCCCACCCCCCACCCCGTCCCCACTCCCTTGTCTGGCTCCTTTCCTTTTTTTAACTAGTCCTCTTATACTTTCATGTCTTTTTTACCATCCCCCATTGCAAGAAACTTCTCTGACAGCATACATACAGTTCTTTAGAAAACAATTTGATTATATCCTATATTATTACCAAAATGATTGTTCTCCCTCTTCTGCCTCTGACTTCCCGGGCCACTGGCTTTTTTTTTTTTTTTTGGTTTTTCGAGACAGGGTTTCTCTGTGTAGCTTTGCGCCTTTCCTGGAACTCACTTGGTAGCCCAGGCTGGCCTCGAACTCACAGAGATCCGCCTGGCTCTGCCTCCTGAGTGCTGGGATTAAAGGCGTGTGCCACCACCGCCTGGCTACCACTGTCTTTTGACTAGGTTTATAGTTAGCTTTCTTTTTTTTGAATCCATGTCTCATAGCCCAAGCTGGCCTGAACTCACTATTATAGCTGAGGTTGACCTTGGACATTTTTGTTTGTTTTGTTTTTGAGACAGGGTCTCATTGTATAGACCTGACTGGCCTGAAACTCACAGAGATCCTATTGCCTCTGTTTCCCAAGTGCTGGGATTAAAGCGGCATGTGTCGTCACGCCTGAGGACCTTGAACTTCTGACCTTCTGCTTCTTAGCTTCTAAGTATTAGTATTCCAGGCATGTGCTTGCATTATGCAGTGCTAGGGTCCAGTTCCAGGTTTTTGTTCACTATTCCACCTGACATATATACTTAGGTCACTTTTATATTATCAGGTACTTATTGGAGGATTTATTCAGACAACTCCACGTACTGGTTGATCTGAAAAAGTGGAAGTTTGGAATATTCTCCACTTACCAGGTTTATCTCTGCTGATAGAATGGTGGTAATAGTTTTTAATGGCCCTCATCTATTCATTGTCTATGTAGCTCACATTGACTACAAGCCCATTTTCCTCTTTCCTCCCAAGTGCTTAATTTTACTGTTTTTATTCTATGAGGTGGGGTCTTGCCATGATTTTGAGTACTATGATTTTAGACATGGACCATTATGCTTGTCCTTAGATTTATTTTGTAACTGATATATGAACTACTGAAATTTTACCTAGTGAGGAATATCACGCTCTTTGTTTTTTAGTGCTTAGAATGTACCATGAGAGTAATTTTTCCAAAAAGACAAACTCAGAATTTGAATATAGGTATTGTGACTAAGATGTGTGTTCATAATAATGCAGCATACTTGGTCTGGCAGTGTTGTTTTTTTTTTTTTTTTAGGCAGTGTCTTACTGTTTTGTACAAGGTTGGTCTTAAACTCCTCTTTAGTAGCTTGGACTATAGGTATTTCCCATCCTCTTTTGCCTTGGTAGCATTCTTTATTTGAACCATGGGCTTTTGGTCTGTCTTCGTGTGTAAGCTAAGCAAGGATACTACTGTAAACTTCTCTAATATCTTTGTTGATATGCAGGTGAGCATGTTGGGGAAAGGATTTGGTGATGTCGGGGAAGCCAAAGGTGGCAGTACAACAGGCTCCCAGTTCTTAGAGCAATTCAAAACTGCACAGGCCCTGGCTCAGCTGGCAGCTCAACATTCTCAATCTGGAAGCACCACCACCTCCTCTTGGGATATGGGCTCAACAACACAATCGCCATCACTGGTGCAGTATGGTAAGATGATGAGTGACTTCAGTCTTTTACCCATAAATTTATTGTCCAGAAGGCAGCAGGGGACTGGATAATACATTCTCGGTTTGGAAAGTTACATGGAAATAAAAGTTTGAAGCTATATATCATTGAATTTAGCTTCAGTTCTGTGTTTATTGATCTAGGAATTTGAGAGTATTCTCTTTAGATTTTGTGTATTTGTGTGATGGCCCTGGCTGGTCTAGAATATTCTGTGTAGACCAGGCTGGTTGCCAATTCACAGAGATCTGTCTCTTTCTCTTCTTAGTGCTGGGATTAAAAGCTGACACCAGGGGTTGGAGATTTAGCTCATTGGTAGAGTGCTTGCCAGACCCTGGGTTCGGTCCTCAGCTCTGGGGAGAAAAAAAAAAACCCTCTGTTTTGTTCAGAGGGTCGCCTACCTAACTTGAATCTTACCTCAGCTAAAGGGATCTGATTATATGCAATTTGGGTGGGTGAGTGGGTAGCTACTGGGATGTTTATTTGCCATGGTACATGTCTTAGTTTGCTTCTGTTGCTGTGATAAAGACATGACCAAAAGTAAATTGGGAAAAGTTTACTTGGTTTACATGTCCTGGTCTTAGTCCATTACTGAGGAACCCAAGGCAGGAACTTGGAAGTTGGAACTAAAACAGAGACCATGGAGAAACACTGCCTACTGGCTTGCTCACCATAGCTTGTTTAGCCTCTTTTCTTTTTCGGTTTTTCGAGACTGTGTTTCTCTATGAAGTAGTCCTGGCCTGCCTCTGCCCCCTGAGTGCTGAAATTAAAGGTATGCACCACCACCACCACCCAGCTTAGCCTCCTTTTTTATATAGCCCTCTCACATCAGTCATTAATGAAGAAAATGTTGGCCAGGCGTGATGCATGCCTTTAATCTCAGCATTCAGACACAGAGGTATGTGGATCTTTTTAAGTTCAAGGATAGGCCAGCAAGGTCTACACTGGAAGTTTGAGGACAATAAGTGCTACAAAGAGACCCAGTCTCGAAAAGAGAGAAGAAAAAAAAAAAAAAGAAAATGCTGCAGCTGGAGAGATGGCTCAGCAGTTGAGAACAGTGGCTGTTTTTCCAAATGACCTGGGTTCAATGCTAGCTCCCACATAGTGGCTCACAACAATAGGTTATTGCAGCTCAGGGTCTCACAGACATACATGCAGACAGAACATCTCATAAAATAAGTGAATCCTTTTCGTTTGTTTTTTCAGAAAATGCCCTTCAGACTTGCCAACAATCAGTCTAATGGAGCTATTTTCTAAAAACTCAGGTTCTTCCCACATAACTCTAGCTTGTGTTGAGTGGCAAGAATCTTTTTGATCTGAGCCATTTTGCTAGCTGGATTCTTGAAACTTGTAGGTCTTTTCCTAGTACTAGTATAGGACAGTAATATTTCTTTGGGACATTTATCTCTGGGCTCATGTATGTTGTATTTCTTCTTGCAGATTTGAAGAATGCAAATGATTCAACAGTGCACAGTCCTTTTACAAAGCGCCAGGCATTCACTCCATCTTCAACCATGATGGAGGTATTCCTTCAGGAAAAGCCACCTGCAGTGGCTACCTCGACAGCTGCACCTCCCCCACCCTCTTCTCCTCTTCCAAGCAAATCCACCTCGGTTCCACAGATGTCTCCGGGGTCTTCAGACAACCAATCCTCCAGCCCTCAGCCAGCTCAGCAGAAACTGAAACAGCAAAAGAAGAAAACCTCCTTGACATCTAAGGTACTTGAGCTTTTCAGAGAGATACTATTTTAAGACAGGGAAGTTATGGGATTTAAGGGTATATACTCTAAGGGTGTGTTTGGAAATTTAAAGTTGAAAGGAATAATTTTTTATTCTACAAAAAGATTGTATTAAACAGTTATTCCCTCCCACCCCCTTCTTTGTAGATTCCTGTTCTGGCTGTGGAGATGCCTGGCTCAGCAGATATCTCAGGGCTAAATCTGCAGTTTGGGGCATTGCAGTTTGGGTCAGAGCCTGTCCTTTCTGATTATGAGTCCACCCCCACCACGAGCGCCTCATCAAGCCAGGCTCCTAGTAGCCTGTATACCAGCACGGCCAGGTAGAGGAATCATCACCCAGAAGACCTCTTTTGGTAGCTTAGTTTTGTGCTTATTTCTTCACCTCTGGAGAGGCCATATCTTTGACTGGATAAAAGTAGTCAATCATAGCATTTTGTTGTGCACTTTTAAAGAAATACATTGCTACTAGGATTATCTATGACTTTAAACATTTAGATAAATGCTATTTGGGTACTTCTAGAATTTACAAACTCAGGGTTTTTTTTTATGTGCGCACACACGCACACGCACCTGGAGGCTAGAGGTCCACGTCAGTTCTCTTTCTCAATCATTCCCCACTTTATTTTCTGAATCAGGATCTCTCACTGAACCTGGAGCTCACTAGACCAAATTGTCTGGCCCATAAGCTCGAGGAAATTGCCTGTATCCATTTCTCCAGTGTACTGAGACTAGAGATGTCTCCTTCCCATCTTTTGTGTGGGTCTCCAATATCAGATCAGCCTTCATTGTTGCATGCCTGATGCTGTACTAACTGAGCCATCGCCCTAGCTCTTCAAGCTTTGTTGCTTTTGAATGATATGATAACAGAAGCTCTAATAGAACCTTGACATATGCCACAGTGAAAAGTGCTGTATTTCAGGCCTTTGCTATGGGACTATGTCTGTGAAAAGTAAAAATACGAACTCAGGAAGCATTAATTTAAAATTGTATGTAACCATAAAAGGAAAAAAAAAAGAACCTTTTCTATCTCCTCTGGCAGTAATCAAGGAAAGCCATCTTACAGTTAATCATAGAGGAATTTGAGAGGAACTAACAATCCTTGGAATTTAAAATTTCCTTAATCCTTGGAATTTAAAAACACAAATATCTGGCTTTAGTCTAGATCAGTTCAATTGAGTCATAATTGTCTCTGATTCATGTGAAGATTTTATTTAAAAATTTTCTCTGGAGGATAGTTGTGGTTAAAAAAAGGAGTAGGGGAAATATGTAAGATCAGAGCAGATACTATGATACAGGGAATAGTGAAGATCTGCTATTGGAATAAAAAAAAATCAATTAACAAGAAACTTTCAGGAAAGAAAGATGGGCTGTGCATGGGTGGTACACACATTTAATCCCAGCATTCAGGAGGCAAGTACATCTCTGTAAGTTCAAAACCTATCAGGGATACCTAGTGACATCCTGCCCCCAAGAGGGGTCTGGAGAAATAGTCTAGTGGTTAAGCTCACTTGTTGATCACATAGAGGACCTGGGTTTAATTTTCAACATCCACATGTCAGTTCATAATCAAAACCCCAGTTCCAGGATGCACGTGACATGCATATGAGCAAAACACTGATAAACATAAAATAAAATAATGATTGTTTTTCCCCCTCTGAAAAATTATACCAGTAATCTTTGATAAAGTTTCAGGAGATCCTAGAACTCAAAATTTCCTAAAATGAGATTGATCCAAAAATGGAGTGCCTGAGTTTGGAAATTAATTTACTTATTCTCTGTCTCTTTCTAGTTTCCTCTTAATTGAAATTATTTTGTTCCAATAGAAGATTTTCACCATTTCCTAAGATTTTTCTTTTCATTCCCACAGTGAGTCTTCATCTACGGTTTCATCTAACCAGAGTCAGGAGTCTGGCTATCAGAGTGGCCCAATTCAGTCAACAACTTATACCTCCCAAAATAATGCTCAGGGCCCTCTATATGAACAGAGATCCACACAGACGCGGCGGTATCCCAGCTCCATCTCTTCATCACCCCAAAAGGACCTGACTCAGGCTAAGGTAGTAGCTTAATGATCCCCTGGGCCTTGGTTAGCAAAGTAGTGGGTAAAAGTCCCTTGAATATTGTTTCACTTTTCTGGAAATGGTGCTACAAAATCTTGGAGGTGCTGACTGAGATGCTGACAAAAGCACATTTCTGTGATTGGTAAACTAAACGTTCCTTTCAGCAAGAGTGGAGGAGACTCAAGAGCCAGAACATTTCTCTTTGCAATAAAGATTTGTTGGTTATAGCAAAAACTGTCTCAAATACCTGTCCTTTTCTCATAGAAGATCTGATTGCTAGACTTCAGGGTGCATATATATTAGTAAATCTACCTTACTCTGGTGAAAGCGATAGCATATACCAAAGGTGGTGTGGAGTACCTGTCCAGCAGGATAGGTCTTAAGGATTGTTGGATTTTAAATATTGGGTGGGGGGAGTGGCTGTGTACACATGAGTGCTGGTGCCCTAGGAAGCCAGAGGTATTGGAACCCCTGGAGCTCGAGTTACAGGTGGTTGTAAGCTGTCCATCTTGTGCGCTGGGAACTGAGCTCAGGTACTCAGTTATCTTTCCAGTTTCCCTAATATATATTTGACCAAAATTAAACTAAGTGACTGATAACATCTCTTTTACAAGTATATCTGTTCTTGCTCATTTCTTGCTCCAGAATGGTTTCAGTTCTGTGCAGGCCACGCAGTTGCAGACCACGCAATCTGTTGAAGGTGAGTGTTTTCCAGGCTTTTTAATGATTTTCCTCAGTGCTGATAGGGGTGTTTTGTTTTGTTTTTTTTGTAAGACGGGGCTCTGCTGTGTAGACCATGCCGGCCTCTTAACGCTTCTCCTTAAGTGCTGGGATTAAACATGTGTGCCACTGCACACAGTATTTTTTTTTTTTTGTGTGTGTGTGTGTGTGTGTGTGTGTGTGTTTTGCTGGCATGTGTACATGTGTATTATGTGTGTACCTGGTGCCATAAGATGCCAGAAGAGAATATTGGATGCCCTGGGCCTGATAGTGCAGAAAGTTGTAAGCCGCCATGTGGATGTTAGCAGTTGAACCTGGGTATTCAGGACGAGTAGCCCTTGACCTCTGAGCCATTTCTTGAGTCCGCTATTTTAATTTATGAAGAGTCTTGCTGTAACACAAACTGCTCTTGAATACTCCTGCCTCAGCCTTATAAGTGCTGGGATCATAGCTTTCAATTTCTCTGAATTTTTTAGTTTTGTTTTATGTGTATGGGTGTTTGCCTGTATGACTGTTTGTACACGAGGTGTGTGCCTGGTGCCTGTGAAGGTCAGAAGAGGGTATCAGATTCCCTGGAACTGGTTGCAGATGCTATGTGGGTTTTTGGAAATAGAAGCTTGGATCATCTGCAAGAATTGAGTGCTCTTAACTGCTGAACCATCTCTCTGGCCCCATATCTTTGTTTCTTTTCCTTTTTTGCTGGCCTCAAACTCAGAGATCCACCTGCCTCTGCCTCCCAAGTGCTGGGATTAAAGGTGTGCGCCACCACTACTCGGCTTGGTATTTATTTTATGTGCATTGGTGTTTTGCCTGCATTTATGTCTGTGTGAAGATGCTAGATTCCCCGGTACTGGAGTTACATACATGCCATGTGGGTGCTCGGGATTGAGCCCATATCCTCTGGAAGAGTAGCCTTTGCTTTTAACTGCTGAGCCATCTCTCCAGCCCGCATCATGGGTTTTTGAAACATATTTTCACTCTGTAGCCACAGCTAGCCTCAAAATCATGGTGATTGTTCTGTGTTGGCCTGCCATGAGCTAGATTATAGGCGTAAGCCACCATACATAGCGAGTTCTCTGTTTTATTTTTTTTTTTTAAATCTAGGTTTAATTTTGTTAACTTTTGAGTGTGTTGTGTATACAAGCATGCACATGCCACCGCACTCATGGATTCCAGGGAACAACTTTTAGGAATTTTTTTTCTCAAGCTCCACTGGGATTCCGGGATCAAACTCAGGCCATCAGATGGTTTATGTGCTGCTAGGAGTAGTAGTACCCAGTGCCTGATTTATGATAAGCAAGCACTCTACCACTGAGCTCTCTCTCCAACCCAGAGTTTTTGGTTAGGGGTTTGTTTTTTTTTTTTTCTCCTTCCCTCCTTAAAAATGGTAATTGATTTCCTTCACTGGGCAAATGAAGTTTGTGTTGTTAAATGCCTGAAATTAAAAAGAGTTGTCCTCTCTGAATAACCTCCCCTCCCTCTTTTTTTTTCCTCTGTAGTTGAGTAGTTGAGAACTGTAGTTTTTCTATACTCATAGTCAGTTCCTGTTTTTTAATGAAGGGAAATCTTGTCTTACTTCTAGGTGCTACAGGCTCTGCTGTGAAATCTGACTCACCTTCCACTTCTAGTATACCCTCTCTCAATGAAACAGTACCTGCAGCTTCCTTACTGACGACAGCCAATCAGCATTCATCCTCCTTAAGTGGCTTGAGCCACAGTGAGGAGATTCCAAATACCACCACCACACAACACAGCAGGTGATTTGGAGTGAGAATTAAGGTTGGAGTTGTGAGTTTCAGTAACCGAGCTACCTATTTTGTTTCATCTTAATCACTACTTGTCAGAGACCACATTAGCCCTCCTTTTGTGGGAAGTAAGGACAAATGAGACTTACTTTCTCCTTTTAACATCTGCTCTTGCTATGATTGTTCATAGTCCTGGAAACTGGCCATTGTACATGTCAATATGGTCTCAATCTTTTTTTGGGGGGTGGGGGTGGGTAATGATTCTTAATTGGAGCACTAGGCCAGGTAATCATAGCATTATGTTAATGGAAACCTTTCCCCCATTATAGTGCGTTATCTACACAGCAGAATACCCTTTCTTCATCAACATCTTCTGGGCGTACTTCGACATCGACTCTTTTAGTAAGTATGATGCTTGAGAAAAAGTGTAGTTCGTGGACTTAAATTTCTAAGCCTAAGATTGTCACAAGAGGAAGATAAGTATTTTTTTGTTTTTTGTTTGTTTAATTTTCCCTCTCTTGAGTCAGGGTGTTGCTATGTAGCTCTGTCTGCCCTCAAATTCATGGGTAGTTCCTCTTGCCTCTGCCTCCCTAGTGTTGAGATTACCGGCTTACATTTAACACACCTGGCTGACCGAGTAGGGAATACTAGAAATTTTCTTCATGACTTAACTGAGGTTGTAGAAAAAGGTGTAAAAGAATATTGAAGCTAAAAGAGTCCAAAAGTTTTGCACTTATGGAACATGACTAAAAGTCTCAGCTTTTTCTTTTTCACTGAAGATAGGTAGGGGCTTTGTGTTCTCTCAAGTGCAGAAGAACATACACGTTTTTTAAAAATGGAGGTATACTCACAGCCACTGGTGACACACGCCTTTAATTCCAGCAATCCGGTGGCAGAGGCAGGCAAATCTCTGCGTTCAAGGCCAGCCTGGTCTGCAGAGAGTTTCAGGATAGCCAGGGCTACATGGAGAATCCCCACCCCCCCCCCCCTTTTTTTAAATGTGGCCTTTTTAAGGTGTGGAGGTATTGCTCAGTGATAAGAGTACATCATTAACACGCATAAGGCCCCATGTTAAATTCTTAGAACTATAATGGGAAAAAGAAAAAAAAGTCAGTAACAGAATAATACATATCTTTTCACTGGTAGAACAGTTCTTAGCCTGGGAAATGCTGAATGTAAGTCTTTGAAGCAGGACATCTTTATCAAAGTGGTATTCAGATGAAAACTCATGGTTAAGGATTTACTTTATGGTAGTAATTCTCTTTTGTGTGGAATTAAGCTAAAGCTACTTTGGAAATGGTGTTTAGTTTACCGGAAAGGTATGAGGGCTAAAGCTTTCTTAGGAGTCTCCAAAATTACACAATTCCAGTTTTAAGTAAGAGCCAGTACATTCTTCTAGCGAATGAATGAGTCTTGTAAGTTGAACTAGTGAAACAAAGTGTGGAAAAGAAGGCTGTGATAGGCTTTACTTCTGAGCCGTATCCCTTACCAGCTGATGTTGTTGGTCCCTATGGAGTTCGTGTCCCCACTTTTGCTGTTTTTCTGAACAGGATGATGATGGTCAGTGGGCAGTTGCAGGGAACATGTAGCTAGAGATTTTTCTTTTATTGCCTTGGCAGAGGGAATCCTGGTACCCTGGGTTGGCTTTTTTAATTGCAAATTTGATTATAAGATCATAGATTGCTTATCTTTCCTACCTGTTGCTAATGTTGTTTCCTTCTATCTTCTACTGCTCCCCTTTGAAGCACACAAGTGTGGAGAGTGAAGCGAATCTCCATTCTTCCTCCAGCACTTTCTCTACCACGGCCAGCACTGTCTCTGCACCTCCTCCAGTGGTCAGTGTCTCCTCCAGTCTGAATAGTGGCAGTAGTCTAGGCCTTAGCCTGGGCAGCAACTCTACTGTCACAGCCTCAACTCGAAGCTCAGTTGCTACAACTTCAGGTAGCTTTACATAGGTGGGTGGCATTTCCTCTAGGATGGAGGGGATAATAAATTGTATGACAACAAAAAAATGTTCTCTTTCAGGAAAAGCTCCGCCCAACCTTCCTCCTGGAGTTCCGCCATTGTTGCCTAATCCATATATTATGGCTCCAGGGCTGTTACATGCCTACCCGGTAAGTGGGACTGAAGGATCTTCTCTACAAAGCAAGGATCGTGTGACTATTCTTTGTAGCTCTGGCTTCAGATGGAAGACAGTAATTAAAGCAGAATAAATGAATGGTACCCACATATAGGCAAATAGGTTTTTAGTGTGTGTGTGTACACATGCTGTGTGTGTGCACACCTGCTGTGTGTGTGCTAAGATCAGAGGAAATTGGAATCTGTTCTCCTTTTCACCTTTATGCAGGTTCAAGTTAGGCTTGCATGGTTGAGTGGCAAGCACCTTACTTGCTAAGCTATATCACTAGCCTAAAAAAGGTAAGAGGGGGGCTGGAGAGATGGCTCAGTGGTTAAGAGCACTGGCTGCTCTTCTAGAGGACCCGGGTTCAATTCCCAGCACCCACATACAGACATATATGCAAGCAAAACACAAATGCAGATGAAATAAAAATAAATAAGTTATATTTAAAAAAAAAAAGTAACAGGGTTTGTGTGTTTGTTTTCTTTTATGTATCTGGGGGTTTTGTTTACATGTACATCTATACACCACAGCATGCCTGGTGTCTGTGGAGGCCAGTATTGGATCCCCAGGAGCTCCAGTTACAGACAGCTATAAGTAACCCCCCATAAGAGTAAAGCCTGGGACCGGGCGGTGGTGGCACACACCTTTAGTCCCAGCACTCGGGAGGCAGAGCCAGGTGGATCTCTGTGAGTTCAAGGCCAGGCTGGTCTACAGAGCGAGATCCAGGACAGGCACCAAAACTATACAGAGAAATCCTGTCTTAAAAAAAACTAAAAAGAAAAGAATAAAACCTGGGTCCTTTGGAAGAGCAGTCAGTACTCTTTAACTTCTGAGCTACCTCTCCTTCAAATATAATAGTTTTTATAGAGGAAGGACTAAACTTAGACAAGGCCCTTTGCCAAGTATTTGTTTTATGTGAATATGATTTCTGGATTTTGAGCATCAACAGCCAGAATGTGTAGTATATGTTATTTCATATAATGCTATTGATTCTCTATCTCTGTAGTTCTTTGCTTTCTTTGACCTATTTAGAACTCAAATCTAGAACTACCTGAAAATAAGTGACAATAGTAGTATTTTATTTGGTATGTCTTCTGTCACCTTGAAGTATTCAATAACCAATAAGATGGAAAGTATTTATAAAAATTCTGTTTAAAAACACCTATTTTTGCTGGGTATGTTTACGCATGCCTCTAATCCTAGCACTTGGGAGGCAGAGGCAGGTCTATCTCTGAGTTCGAGGCCAGCCTGGTCTACAGAGCTAATTCTAGGACAGCCAGAGCTACATAGTGAGACTCTATCTCAAAATAAAAAAACAAAACAAAACAAAAAACAAAACAAAACCCACCTATTCTTGGGCCAGGTGTGGTGACATGTGCGTTTAATCCCAGCACTATGGAGACAAAGGCAAGTGGATCTCTGTGAGTTCTCGGCCAGCCAGCACTAAACAATTATCTCAAAACAAAACAAAAAAAGCCACCTACCTATCCCTACCTTAGTGATCAAATTTAGATAATAGATTATATATCCAAATAGCATTCTTAAGCTTTTTTGTCTTTTGAGTTAGTGTCTCACTATGTAGTTCTCCTGAAATTTTTAGAGATCTGTCTCTGTTTCCAGAGTGTTGGATTTAAAGGCATGGGCCTCCAGGCTTGACTGCATTTTTGTTTTCTTTTATCGTTTGTTTTAATAACTCTAATTGGAAATGTCATACATTGATATAATGTAATTTGATCATACCACCCTTCCGTTCTTTTATAATTCTCATTCCTTCTTAAACTCCCCTTTTCCCAACACTTCCCCTTTCCTTCTTAAATCTTTTTTTACATTGTATACATTTTTAAAAAGATTTATTTATTCATGTATTTTTATGTACATGAATGCTCTATTTGCATGTATGCTTGCATGACAGAAGAGGGCATCAGATGTCATTATCGATGGTTGTGAGCTACCATGTTGTTGCTGGGATTTGAACTCATGACCTCTAGAAGGGCAGCCAGTGCTCCTAACTGCTGAGCCATTTCTCCAGTCCCTACATTGTATAATTTTTAAAACATTTTTTTAAGGTATACGAATGTTTTGGTTGTATTTATGTATGTGCACCATGCAGAGGTAGATACCTATGGAGGTCAGAAGAGAGCATGGGGTCCCTTCTAACTAGAGTTACTCATAGTAAGGTGCTGCGATCTGAACTCAGATACTCTGCAAGAGCAGTAAGTGCTCTTACATACTTTAAATATATATAAGTAATATTATTTTATGTGTATCAGTGTTTTGCCTGGGTGTATGTACGTGAACTGTGTGTGTACTTGGTTTTTCTGGAGCCCCAAAAAAGGTTATTGGATTCCCTGGAACTGGAGTTACATATGGGTGTACCCCACCTTGTGGGTGCTGGGACTCAAAGCGGAGTCCTCTGGAAGAGTAGCCAATGCTCTTAACTGTTGATCCATTCCTCTATTCCCCATATTGCATACTTTTTTTTTTTTTTTTTTAAGAGATCCTAGACATATGGGGAAATAACAATAAAATGTGAGTCCTTTTAGGAAAGATAAATTTCAATCCAGGTTTTAAGGTCTGCATGAGACAGTGACTGCTCAATAGAAATTAAAGCCTGCTGTACTTGAATCTACCCATTCTCCCTTACTGGTCCACTAATGTCTGCCTAGTCATTATATATAGTATGTAGTTTAAGGGACACTTCAAGACCTTTCATTGAATCACTTAATCTTTTTGTACTTTATTACTTTCCACTGAAGGGAATAAATAATCTGTCATGTTCTAACACTGAGGATTTATGTTATTTGAATTATGTTGCCTTTTGCTACCATCATGACTAGTTCCTATTAATGTTGTTAAATGTCTGTCTTACAGCCACAAGTATATGGTTATGATGATTTACAGATGCTCCAGACAAGATTTCCATTGGTGAGTATGTGGAATTGAAATTTGGAAAAGAACTGTAAATTTTTTCTTTTTCTTTTCTTTCTTTTTTTTTTTTTTGGTTTTTAAGATTGGGTTTCACTGTGTGGCCTTGCCTGTCCTGGAACTTGCTCTGTAGACCAGGCTGGCCTCACGAGAGATCTGCCTGCCTTTGCCTCCTGAGTGCTGGGATTAAAAGTATGCGCCATCACCGTCCGGCAAAATCATTAAAATTAATGTTAAAATCAGTGTGGCTCTTGTCTGTAATCCCAGCATGTGAGAAGTGGAGGCAGGAAAACTAGGAGTTCAAAACTTGCCTTTCAGCCAGATGGTGGTGGCGCACGCCTTTAATCCCAGCACTCGGGAGGCAGAGTTCAAGTACAGCCTGGACTACAGAGTGAGTTCCAGGACAGGCTCCAAAGCTACACAGAGAAACTCTGTCTCAAAAATAAATAAACAAACAAACAAAAAGTGCCTTTCCTATATAATGAGTTCAAGGCCAGCTTGGGCTATATTAGCTCCTGTCTTTCAAAAAGACAAAACCCAAATAAAATTAATGAACGGATTCTCAGATGTTCAATCACTCATAAACCTAGCTTGTTCTCAGTCTGTCTTTTTCCCCCATATACTTTATCACATATATGTGTATATATATTGGTAATTGAATCAAAACCCATGCTACAAAGCTGCAGCTCAAATGGACTAAAAACTGTTGACATACTTTCTATCCACATCAATTTTCTGTTCTGCTTTTTTTTTTTTTCTTAATTGTTTGAGGCCCTTATGAGTAAAACGAGGACTTTATGCATGCTGGGTAGGTACTGTACTGCTGAACTGTATTCCTACTTTGTCATTTGAATATTGGGGGTGTATCTCACCATGTTTTTCAGACTAGCCCCAAACTGCTGGACCTCGTAGTCTCCTGCCTCAATTTTCTAAGTATCTAGGACTACTGTCATGTATCACAACCCCTGACTGGTTTGTTTGTTGTTGTTGTTTTTGTTTTTTTGAGTCAGGGTCTTTCTATGTAGTTCTAGCTGTGTATTCTGAGTACTAGAACCAGTCACTCACCACCACACCCAAACTCCCTGGCTTTTTTCCAGTGGTTCGGTTTCTCTGTTTCACCTTTTATCTTTCTTCTTTTTCCCAGAATCCCCAGAATGGTGTACTTTAAGCCTTTACTGTCTTGTAAACAGGAAGTTTACAAGAGTAATTGGAATTAATGGGAGCTCTAGCCATCATATTCAGACGGTTACGATATTTTTAATGTCTTAAGTCTTTTGTTAATGCCAGTGATCAACCTAGAGTCTCTTGCATTTAGGCAAATAGTGTATTTCAGAGCCTTTAATTTCACTAAATTGCTTAGGCTGGTATTGAAGACTTGATTTGTGCCTCGTATTAGTTAGATTACAGGCCTGTATCAACAGGCCCAGCTTTTGTTGTTGTTTTGAGACAGAATCTCACTGTGTAGGCTGTGTAGTCCAGTCTGGCCTTGGTGATTGTCCTGCTTCAGCCTCCTAAATCTTCAAATGCTGGAATTACAGGGAGCACCACCACATTCAGTTTTTGTTCTTATTTGGCGACACTAGGCTGGGTGTGGTAGCACTTGCCTTCAATCCCAGCATTCAGTCTACATAGCCAGGACTATGTAGCCTTGCTGGCATAGAACTTGATATGTAGACCAGGCTGGCCTCAAACTCTAGAGAGCCACCTGCCTCTGCCTCCCACGCACCACCTTTTAAGAGTGTATATGCATACAGGTGTATTTAGTGCATCTCGCTTTCTCTGTTCCCACCCACCCACATACCCTCTGTGCTAGTGTTACAGGTGTGTCCATAATCATACCCATGGCTTTTTACAAGAATGCTGGAGGTCAAAGTAGCAAGCACTGTTAACTACGGAGCCAATTTCTTCGGCCCCACAGTCAGCTTAGCACTTCGGCAGAAAGAAGAACCTGTTTTCTCAAAATTAACTAGGAGGATCTGTACAAGATTAAACCTGTCGGTCCTGCTAGACCTTGATGTGCACTCCAAAAGTCTATCTGTGACTCTACTCATGGCCAGGCAGTGGGGACAGTGTATGCGAGATTAATTGGTGTTCATGTGAGTGCTAACTTGTTTAATCGGTAACTGGGTAAACTGCAGTATTCAAATATTCTCTTGCTTCCTCTCATCTTGTGATTTTCATGCTGGGGAATGAGTGGAATTTAATCTCTGCTCTTTTATTTTGGTTCTAGGATTACTACAGTATCCCGTTTCCCACACCCACCACTCCACTTACGGGGAGGGATGGTAGCCTGGCCAGCAACCCTTATTCTGGTAGGATTGGGATAGAGCTGAATACAGGGAGATGTGTTGGGATTGGAGGTAGAAATGTGATTAGTCGCAGGAAGGTTCCATAATTACTATTTTTAGCAGAACTGTCACTTTTTGTGTTTTTGGCTAGTCTCTACCTTTTTCCATGAAGTGTGATTGAAAATGCCCTTCTGTGCTCCCTTGTGCCGCTTTACCCTGTGTACAGTGGCAGTCTCATTGCCTTGCTAGTCCTTAGGTTTTTGTTTATGCATAACTGATCATTGTCTTCTCATCTTCCCTTAATTCTTGCTGTCCTCCAAGCCCTTGGAGAAGCAAGATGTAAGAAAAGGGTGGGATGGAGATTAAAGAAAACAAGTTGACAGAGGAACATGGGGAGGTTTCATTTTGGGAGCCTTTGCACATTATAGAGTATACAGCTAGCCCTTCTTTTCATAGGTGACCTCACCAAGTTTGGTCGCGGGGATGCCTCCTCCCCAGCCCCAGCCACAACCTTGGCCCAACCCCAACAGAACCAGACGCAGACTCACCACACCACGCAGCAGACATTCCTGAACCCGGCGCTGCCTCCTGGCTACAGTTACACCAGCCTGCCATACTACACAGGGGTCCCGGGCCTCCCCAGCACCTTCCAGTATGGGCCTGCTGTGTTCCCTGTGAGTAACTACTGGCTGGACTCCTTGTGAAGGATCCCAATTCTGGGTACCATCCTAACTGCTTTCAAGGCTAAATGACTACTTAGTAATAAATGAGGAACAACTTGTACCTTTGGCCCATTTCTGGCCTGAGAAGAAGGGATATGGGATTTTAATTGGAACAAGGATTACCTGAATGGTATATTAGTTACTTTTTTGTTGTTATTTTAAAATACCATGACCAAAAGCAACTTACAGAAGAAAAAGTTAGTTTTTGGCTTACGTTTTGAAGGGGAAGAGTCCATAATGGTGAGGTGCCCAGAGTAGGAAGTAGAACAGGAAGATGGGATAGGGCTACAAACCCTCAAATAAATCCTGTCCCACTGATTTTTCCTCCAGTAGACTTCACCTCCTAATGGTTCTAGAACCTCCTCAAGCAGTGAGAGAACTAAGTACTCAGATATCAAATACATGAGCATTTGCTGGCTATTTCTCATTCAGCCACAATCAGTAAGGATCCCATTTCACTTTTCAATCTGTGGCCAGCCTACATTAGGGTGGGTATCTGCCTAAATGTCCAGTCTTTGGAGTAGGACAAGTGAGACAGATGTTGTCTGTTGCCATTTCATTCCATTTCTGTCCTTTTTGTTCTTCTTCAGGTGGCTCCTACCTCTTCCAAGCAGCATGGTGTGAATGTCAGTGTGAATGCCTCGGCCACCCCTTTCCAACAGCCAAGTGGATATGGGTCTCATGGATACAACACTGGTAAGTTCCCTTCGGCCCCTTGCTCAGTGGTCTGTGTGGGATATTACTAGATGGGAGAAAGACTTGGTATTTGGAAGTAGGTCAGTGAGGGTAAGCTAACTTTCCACATATGATTGTCATTGTTTGATTGGCTTAGGGGTCCAAGAACAGTACCAACAAAGAGCTTTTACTAGAGCATGTATCCACTATTCACAGTGGGAATGCTCCAAGGGCATGTGTTGGCTAATCTGTGTTTGGGTGAGAAACAGGACAGGGGCCCCAAGATTTCAGTGAAATGTCATTGAGGGAAGATGGTAGTGTACATGGCACTGAGAGTGAAATCAGAATACTTGCGAGATTTTGATGCTTTCCTAGCTAACAGCCTGTACCATAGGTTTGGCATGAGTTCGTTTGTAGCAGCAATTTTGTTATACGGCTTCCCTTTCTTAATTCCCTAGCTAGAAGGCCTACAATGTGGAGGAAAATGAGTAGAGTGAAACATAAACCCTCGGGGTTCTTCTTCATTTGTATAGCTAGTCTTCTTGCAAAGGCCCGCTGCACATCTGATGGCAGGGAAGGAAGTAGGGATTTTAGGGACACATGTAGTCTAGCCCTTGCTTCTCTAACTGACTCTGATGCTTTACTTTTGGAGGATGGAGATGAAAATTTTCCTTTTGCAGGTTTTTTATTTTTTCTTTTTTTACTTTATAGGTTTTTTTGTTGTTGTTTTTTAAATTTGGTTTGTTTTTGTTTTTTGAAACAGGGTCTCTCTATGTAGCCCTATCTGTCCTGGAACTCAAAATGTAGACCAGATTGACCTGGAATCCACAGAGATTTATCTGCCTCCGCCTTCAGAGTGCTGGGACTAAAGGCGTGCACCACCACATCTGTCTTGTTTTCTTGTTTTGTTTTTGAGACGAGATCTCTATGTAGCCCAGGCTTGCCTCTAATTTGTTTCAGTCTTTGCCACTGTCCTGAGTACTGGAGTAATAGACATATACCGTACCTGGCTCCAGAAGAGGACTGACAACAGTTCCCTGTCATTTTTTTTTTTTTATGACTTTTAGGTGAATCTGGGGAGGTGATTGCTGCAGTTGCTAATGGGTTGGACTTGAGAGTTATATTTAAAAGCTTGCATCCTAGTTACAGTTTTAGGGGATTTAGAGGAACTAACAAGTGTTCTTCACTCTTCTATGGGCTCTGGGTGGGTAAATAACTAAGCTTTTCTGTAATTGGAGAACTGAGCACAGAAGACAACAAATAGGTTTAGGTATTAATAGACAGGTGGAGGTTTGAACTGTGATCTTTAAGACTAGGTCATGATACATGTTTTAAATATCTTGAGGAACCGCTGAGATTTAATACCCATATTCCTTACGGCTACTCCTCTCATTGAACAAGGCCTAGCCTAAACTTTGGTGGGTAGAGAGGTGTAAGCTTTTTGACTTTGATGGCTCCATCCCCCAAATTTACCATTAGGTTTAAGTACTAAGAGGTCCAGTTACAAATATTTTAAAGGGTATGTGATTGGCGAGAGTTGGAATCTGATTCTGAAACTCTTGGCTTCTTTTCTGCCTTAAGATTTCAGAAATCTGCTATAGCAGCTTTTTGAGAACCCCTAGTTCCCAACCCCCAACAGAGGGCTCTTGTCATTTTGTTCCTCATCAACCTCTAAATTCATTTATTTTTATGTATTTGATTCCTTTTAGGAAGAAAATATCCACCCCCTTACAAGCATTTCTGGACGGCTGAGAGCTAATTTGGCCCAAGCCTGGGGGCTGTGTTTTGTGTGTGTGTATAAATTTGCACTGAAGTCTTGTTTCAGAAACCAGACCACTGAGGAGAGCCTGCTGAACTGAGGCCATGGCCTACGTGGCTTGGGGAAATGAGTTGGTGGATACCTTCTGGGCTTTTGAACTTGCCCCTCCCCATTTCCCTCTCCCCCATGTGTCTGACCCTGTCTTACCCATTTCGAGTTCGAGCGGTGCAGCACCTCCGAAGCATCAATGCACACACCTGCTGTTGCTTTTGATTTCTGGAAGGCATGTAGATCCAACTTGTAACAAAAATATTTGTAGTCTTCAATAAACTGTGGTATTTCTTTAGCTAACTCTGCGTTCTTTCCGTGCATGTCTTTCTGGACACCAGGAGCCAATGCTGTATTGTGGATAAAGGGTGGAGGGTGGCCTTTTCAGTCAATTCCCAGTATAGCCAAAGAGCTGTTAGTGTTTCAGTATAGTCACTTTTAAACTGGGGGAGGGAAAACAGCCTGTTTCCAGCCTATTGATTGGTTGGTAAAGCTATTATAAATAAAAACAAAACTGATTTCCCATGCTTTTATGTCTTTACTTTTTCATGTAGATTATCCCCTTGCCTCTGACATGGGCTGAGGGGAAAGGACAAGAAGTTAGTGTCAAGTCATGGTGAAAGGCAAAAAGAGATGGTGTTCAAAGCTGTTGTTAGGGAAGTATCGTCCAAGGCTTAATTTCTACATCTGGTTCTCAAAGGCTGACTGGCTGATTGATATCTGATCAGGTCATTAGTGATCACTCAGTTGAGGACTTGGGCTTTGTGGAAACTGTGCTAGCCTGGAGCACTGTTCATGGGCCTTTGACTTTTCAGAGATTGAGAATTATTAGTCATTTTTTACTTGTGGATGTAGCCAAAGATATGTGAGAGAGATTTGGTCAGACATCCTGGTGGAAAATTTGCACTCACTAACAAGTACACCCATCAGCCATTGGTTTATAGCATAAATTTGAACAATTAGATCACTACCTTTGGTTAATTGGAAACCAGATCTTCAGCTTTCCTTGTGTAGTTCCCACCCCCTCTGGTCCTATAGAATGTAACCTATTCTTGAAGTTGCTGCCATGCTAAGTAAGAGGAGTGGGTTCTTGGTTCTTCTGCCTTCCACCTACATTGTTTTGTAATGACTTTTTATCACAGTTGGGAAGATGGGGTAGGCAGGACGTGGGGTGGGAAGGAAAGCAAACCTTTTAGTCTGAGGATCTCTGGAATAACTAGTGAAAACAGGGAAATCAAAGCCTTTTTTTTTTTTTTTTTAGGTTTTCTAATACTTACATAGAGGTTTATTATAACTACTATACAGGATTCTCTCTTTTTTTTCCCCTTGCATTTCTAGTTCTTTCTATCTTCTGTACAATTTAAAACCTGAACTAAACTGTTTTTATGTAAAAATAAAACAAGGTAGGAGCTTGCTAGAACTAAGTTTCTCTTTACCACTCAGCTTGGATCCAGTTAGTAATTTCTCCTACCCTGTGTAAGCACCCTAGCTTCTCTTTGCAGAGGGTAACCAAGTCAGCTGTATGCACTGATCTGTTAAAGATAACTCATTGTCTCTTTGGTTTTGTCTTGAAAATATTCTGTATCCTGGCTCATCTCCCTTCCCCCTCAAACCTCACTAGCTTTAGTCCTTTTCATAACTGAACTTAAAGTTATGCCTGCTACCCACTGTTTTGTCAGATAGGCATCTGCATTCTGAAGAGAAGAAAAATCTCTGCTACCTCTGGAAGAGTTTGATGTATTGTTCCCTTTGTTTACTCTGTGCCTTCCAGGTATGCAGTTGCAGTTAAGGCTTTGGAGATGGGGAAGTATTTTTTTCCCTTGCTTTATTTCTGTGGTTCTGCTTTTTCTTCCCCTTATTTGTTCCTTTTGAAGGGCACTATCTGGACTTAGGATGTGGTAGAGTTTAACAGTTAAATTTTTTTTTTCCCTTGGTACTAGAGATCAAACCCTGATCTTTGTGCTGGTTAGAAAAGCACTTAATCACTGACTAACTCTTTAACCCTTAAAACTGATTCTATTGGAGGATTCTAAAGTGATTATAAACTTAACTCCTAAAGGCTGCCTTTGTTTTAGGCATTGGCTAGGAGAATTTGAGTTCTGGAATTTGTGTGGAAACTGCTGTTGAATTGTGAGTGAATGGAAGATTCCTTATGATTTTATCATTAATATATCGCTTCTTTAAAAAAAAAAAAGGCAAAACAAAGCTCAATCAGTGCTCTTCAAATAAAAGAATACCTCTGGAGGCACAGGAATTTTTTGGGGGTTTCCTTTTTATCTTTACAGGAACTAATAATGTCTTTTCTTTTTTAATTGTGAATTAAATTCCTAGTTAACTTATTTTTCACATTTTTGTTTCAAATGTCTCTAGTGAGATGCTAGATTATCCCATGGCTTTTCCTGTCTTCTTGATTCATTGACCAATACCCTCAGGAAGGAAGAGTGTAGTAGTATGTTTATTTCAGCTTGAGAACAAATTAAAATGGATTATACTACTACAGGCTCCTTTAAACTGTGGTGGTAGGGAAATTTTCAACAGGAAACATAAATTAGGTATGGATTAAAGCTGTTGTTTTGTGGACAAACTGAAGTAGTGAAAATGACATTGCTTGTATGTTTCATATAGGCTGAAAGACTACCCCTCACGACATTTCCCCATTCCCTACACCACTAAAATTATAGAACCAGAAATTCTTCTTAGGCCAGCCCTTTAAGTCACAAGGATATAAGCCTTATATAATTCCTATGATCAGAGAAGTGAGGCTAAGTGAACTGAGGCTCTGAGAATAAGCACTCTGGGGACTGCACCGGACTGTTCCTAATATTTAACAGTGTGGTGTTAAGGATTTTGAGTCTCAAAGTATCTTATAAAACAGAAAGAGCCAGTCTTAAAAGTCTTAAAAAGCAGAACTGAGTGGAGTTTGGTTAGACAGATTTGCTACGGACATTATAATATCCTTTTGTTTTGAAATCATATGCTACTGAGGTTTTGCTCATATCCCCTTGCGCCCCTCAGAAGGAAGTTCACACATGTATTCCACACATAATATCTAGAAAGGGCAGAAGAACTTGTAGGCATCATTTGTGTCATGAATTCTGACATCTCAGAACTGATGTGAAGGTGGAACAAACATACCAGAATTCCTTTGCAGTGCCATAGCTAGAAAGGCTGCAGACACCACGCGGTCCTAGGACAGAGGCGAGGCTGACAACAGAGCTAATCCTCTGTGTTTCCTCCTCCCCTAGGTGTATCAGTCACCTCCAGCAACACGGGCGTGCCAGATATCTCGGGTTCTGTGTACTCCAAAACCCAGGTAGGTGCCTGGTCTGCATGAAAGTAGAAAGAGATGGACATGGAGGTGGAGTTGCAGTTCAAACAACCCTCAGGAGCAGTGTCAGAAACCCATCCTACCTTTTCTAAATGAATTGTCTCTAGGCTTCAGTTTCTCTAGGACTTTAAATTTAGCCCTCTGAGGAGGAAAAAAAAAAAAAGATGTCATAGGAAGGTCAAGTGTGGTAAATTGTAATGTGATGTTATTTACTGTGCAATGGTCTTGGCCCCTTGACCTACCCACTTACGATCATTTTCATAACTCAAAAAAAAAATATGGAAATGAAGGGAAACTAGTTAATTTCATTCTTTTTTTTTCTTTTTTTTTTTTTTTTTTGGTTTTTCGAGACAGGGTTTCTCTGTGTAGCTTTGCGCCTCTCCTGGAACTCACTTGGTAGCCTAGGCTGGCCTCGAACTCACAGAGATCCGCCTGGCTCTGCCTCCCGAGTGCTGGGATTAAAGGCGTGCGCCACCACCGCCCGGCTAATTTCATTCTTTTTAAGTCCATAAACAAGAGTAGGAATAAAGTGAGGTATTTGTTGTTGAGTTATCTATAGGTATCTATAGGTATGTCTTGTCATTTTTTATGTCCCAGCACCTTCCATACTCAAGATATCTCAGTGTTTAGTCATTTCTTCAGAAATATCTAAGGAGTTTTAATTTATGCTAAACCACAGAGGCAGGAATGCCCAGACTAGTGAGCAAATTTCCCTGTATTCACATGAAATGTACAATTTTATTTTTATTTATTTTGAGGAAGGGTTTAATTCGGTAGTCCTGGCTGACCTGGAACTCACTGTGTAGACCAGGCTAGTCTTGAACTCCAGAGATCCACCTGCTTCCCAAGTGTTTGGGATTAATGGTGTGCACCATCATGCCTGATCAATGAAAGATTTCATGGGGTGCTTTGATAGTCGTCTTTCTGCTTGATCCTTATGACAAAAGGTCAGCAATATCTTTTTTTTTTTGGTTTTTGTTTTTTGAGACAGGGTTTCTCTAAGGTAGCCTTAGTTGTTCTTGACTGTCCTGGAACTCCCTTTGTAGACGAGGCTGGCCTTGAACTCACGGAGATCACCTGCCTCTGCCTCTGCCTCCTGAGTGCTGGGATTAAAGGCCACCACCACCTAACTTATCTCTTATTTATGAGGAAACTGAGGCCAAGTGGTTCATTTGCCTAGGATCATGGAGCTATGAAATGGCAGAGCTAGGACTAAGACTTTTGAATGTTTGACTTGAGGTGTGCTATTGTTTCTGACCTGGCTGCTTTCTGAGGATGGGGGTATTTGGGCTCAGAAAGTCCTAGGATTCTTCTGATGATCCCTTTTGCTCTTTCTCCTCCTGTTCTCCCGGAATAGCAGTCCTTTGAGAAACAAGGGTTTCATTCCGGTACTCCTGCTGCCTCCTTCAACTTGCCTTCAGCCCTAGGAAGTGGAGGACCCATCAATCCAGCCACGGCTGCTGCCTACCCACCTGCCCCCTTTATGCATATTCTGACCCCCCATCAGCAGCCACATTCTCAGATCCTTCATCATCACCTGCAGCAGGATGGCCAGGTAATAGCCCTTCCCCCCTCTCTCCTTTCCCTTCCTCTTCCTTCCTATCCCTTCAAACTGCCTCCCTTTTCCTTTTCTTAACCTTCCTTACCACCACCTTCACCCAGTCCTCACCAGTGCCAGCCAGGGGCACACAGCACATACAGACACAAGCGCACACAACATGAGCAGTTGGCAGAGGAAACATGAGAGAATGGGCCAGATTGAAACCCTTTTGCCCAGTTCCTTTGGTACCTTTCTCCTCCACCTCCCGTGGCACAGTTCTCCTCATCCTGTCAGACCTGGGTCACACCTTCCCTCTTAACCTCTCCCAGCCTTCTCCCTTCCCTGACATTATAGCTTTCCCTTCTAATGGTGGAGTTCTATTGTCAAAAGTTTGTCCCTTTATTTTCCATATATCCTGGTTCTGCCTCAGCTACCATATTTGCAGATGATTCTCTGTTGCCAGCGCCAGCAGGAGGAGCAGGTAATGAAACTGAATGATAATGTGCTTGAACCAACTTCTTTATAGTCCCCATTTCACCTCCACAGCCTGAGGTGACTTGAAAAGCCTACCCAATCACAAATCGGGATACACAAACAGAAACACTATGCTAAGCTCTCTGGCCTCCCCGTCCTCTCTCTTCCTTCCCCTTCAACACCCTCTTTATCTTTCTACCCTTCCCCAACTCTGGAAACACTTGGTTACCAAAATGGAAAAGACTCTTGGGGCAGCATCTGGAGCCTGATGCCTCAGGTCTTTCCTGCTTTGTTTGAATTGGTGTCACATTAATGTATGGTGGTGGGTGGATCTGAAGGGTGGGAAAAGAGACCACTTAAGAGCTCCAACGTAGGTGGCTGGGCAACTTCCTTGCTCTCAAAGATAGCTTTCCATATTGAGTCATTCACAGAGATGAGTGAGAATTGAATCATCTTGTAATCAATCACTTCAAAAAGGCCAGACTCTCAAAGTTGCCTTTTTTAGACAGAGCAGTGGGTAGTGGGGAGACAACTGAACAGGAATAGAACCAACTCACCGTCTCATCTCCAAAGTTTTCTTGTCCACTTTTCATTTTTCCTCTGTTTTCAAGGTTTAAAAAAAAAAATGTTGCCTTGTAAAAGAGGCTATGTAGACCGAATTTTCTATGCTTGAAAAGTAAACTTCATAGTAGGTTCTAAGGAAATGAGAGAGTATAACTATTTTACACATTTCCACTTGAAGATGTTACAGATTGGTCCCACTAACTAGACACCTTTTTCCTCCCCCATAACCTTCCCATTCCCCTGCAGACGGGCAGCGGGCAACGTAGCCAGACCAGCTCCATCCCGCAGAAGCCCCAGACCAACAAGTCTGCCTACAACAGCTACAGCTGGGGGGCCAACTGAGGCCCTGACCCTCTTCTCCCGGTCCCATCTTCTGAGAGGGCTTCTCAGCCTGGAAACTATGGAAACAGCATCAAAGAGAAAAGAATGTGGGGCCATTCCGCTGCTCCACACCCCCAGCGGCCCACCCCACACCTCAGCTTCATGTCTGTCCCATTCCTATACCACCCCACTCTGTTGTATGTATTATAGGATTTGTATTTTCTCCCTCCCCTTCCTCCTTCCTCTTTGCATTCAAGATTATGAAACTTTGCTGTGGGCCCTGCCTTTCCTTCACTTCTTCCTGTTCACCCTGGTGGTGTATAGGTGAGGTGGGGAGGTGAAACCCCCCCCCCCAAATATATATCAGCCCAACAGCCCTAAGTCTCCTCCTTTATTATTAGGAAAACCAAACAACACACACAAAAAAATGGCGTCATAAATATGAACAGCATTGTCATATGAATTAGTTGAAGTGTTTTTTTTTTTGTACTGTGTCCTCAAACTTAATGGATTAATGTGTCTTGTATATATATACATATATATATAAAAAAAAGGAGAAAAAAAACCAAACCTCTACCTTCAGCCTCTGCCCATTCTTGCTCCGTCTAGGATATCCTCACTCTCGTCGATGACCAGCTTGGTGAATAAGTATTACCGTACCAACTGGGCCTCTTCTAGCAGGCTCGAAGGCTGTGGAATAAAGTGAAATCTTTGCCCTTTAAGAACTCTCACCTTAATGTGCTAATATTTTGCCCTTAAGGGGATTCCCTTTCATACCCTGTGACTGGAAAGAACCACTACAAGTCTTCATTTCTTCTAGAAACTGCCTCATCTATAGCAAGTTTTAGGAGGTGAAGGGGGAAGGAGTAAGAACATTTAAAAGAAAGGGACTGTGGGAACCTAAGCCTGATTTTAAAGGATTTTGCAGTCTGAAGCCAACATTAGCTATTGGCTGGCAGAACCAAAGCTTAGGGTCCTTTTCACTTTATAGAAGTAGACTACAGTAGTTCTTGTCTGAGTTTTGATTTTTGAGACAGTCTTACTGACTGGCCTATAACTTGGTATGGAGACCAGGCTGATCTCAAATTCAGAGGCCTGCCTGCTCTGCCTCTTGGGTGCTGAAGTTAAAGATTCTCAACAACACCACCCTGCCTTGCCTATTTTATGTCGCTTAGAAATGCCCAATTTCGGCCGGGCAGTGGTGGGGCACGCCTTTAATCCCAGCACTCAGGAGGCAGAGGCAGTCGGATCTTTGTGAGTTCAAGGCCAGCCTGGTCTATAGATCGAGATCCAGGAAAGCCGCAAAACTACACAGAAACCCTGTCTCGAAAAACCAAAAAAAGAAAGAAATGCCCAATTGTTGGGGAAGGGTAGATGATGTAGAGCAAGACATGGGGTGGGGGCATGGTATGCTAAATGGTTTTGGTCTTCATTACATGGGAAGGGGAGTGAGCCCGAGACTCACCATATTGCCAAGGATTCAAGAGATTCTGCTTCAGACTTCCAAAACTGCAAGTATCCTTCTGGCTTGGGTGGGGAGGATGTGTGTTTGAGGATCTTGCTATGTAGTTCAGGCTGACCTCATACAGAGATCCTCCTTGTCTCTTCCTCTGGGGTGCTGGGATTAAAGGCGTGCACCACCAAATCTCATAATTACATGTTCTTTGTTCCTTTCCAGGATGCTTCAGTAGTTTCTCTTCCCTGCCTAGTATAAATCTTACCTTGTTGGTTGCAGTCTGTTTTAAAAGTTTAAAAGAGCAACCAGGCATGGTGGCAACTGTCCTTAATCCCGGCATTTGGGAGGCAGAGGCGGGCAGATCTCTGAGTTAGAGGCCAGCCTTGTCTACACAAAGTTCCAGGGCAGCCAGGGCTACACAGAGAAACCGTGTGTCGAATAAACAAACACATGTTTAAAAGAATTCATTATGGCCAGAACTAACTCCCTACTAGGTGAAGCGATTCCTAGCATCCCCATGTCTTTATTCAGCCGTAGGGAAATAGCTCTGGAAGGAGCTTGGTAAAACACTTTGCCTAACCTATACTGTTGGACGTCACTCACATCAGTCCAGAAACAAACACAAAGTGGGAGTGTTTTCTGAGCCTGGGGCGAGGCAGGGCTCGGGACAGGCCACTCCCTTTGACGGCTTACTTGGAACCATCCAGAGAGTAACGGAAACACCACTTGGGCCCTGGCGGATGGGCAGGAAGGAGAACCATCTAGAAGGGAATGTGATCTTGGACGGTGGGAATTCCGCATGCCCACCCTCACTCAACTCTGAAAGGTAGTGTAATAAGCTTCGCGTCTGAGGAGCACCGTCAATCCCGCCTCTTCCTCCTCCGGGTTACAGCCTTTTTACGACAATGCCGCGTCGCTGACTTGGTTTCCGGCAGCGAATGCTGAGCCCTGGCTAATTCTGACAGGGTAGCGCAAGCTGGCGGTCCGGTGACGCTCATGTCCTGCAGAAGTTTAAAGTTTGTAGTGCCCCGACGGGAATGAACTTCTTTGACCTTTTCCGGGGCTTTTTCGGCTTTCGTGGACCTCGGAGGTGAGCGTAGTTCTGGGCTGGACATGAGGAAGGGGTGTTCTTTGGGGACGCTTGACCCCTTCACCGTGTTTTTGGAAAGCTTCCTTCCCCGCCCCCTTCAACTGCTGAGAGATAGAAATCTCAACCTTGAGTACTCACCCCGCCACAGTAACCAAAGCGGTCGTGCAGAGGAGAGAAACAGTACCTTTCTCCAGAGTGGGGTGATGCAACAGCGACCTGGGCGTAGAAGACAATGGGGGTCTGGGGGAAGAGGACATGAGCAAGTGAGCAGGACCTTGGGCAAACAGGAGTGGGCAGTGAGACACCGGGGAAAACGACAGATGGGGACGTTTGGGAGATGTCGGGAGGTTGGGATAGGCTCTATTTAGAAACTATAAAACCCTAATAGACCTTTCAGTGCTGTTTTGACTTGGAAGCCAGCTCTCCAGTGTTTTCTTCAGCTGCCCAGACCCCAGCCCTTGTCCCATTTTGCTGGCTTGGGTTGATTTTATTGCTTAGACAGTGCTTAAATCTTCGTGGCTTCTCCGCCTCCACTCTCAGCCACAGAGATCCCTTTTTTGGAGGGATGACTCGAGATGATGACGATGATGATGACGAAGAAGAGGAAGACAGAGGCACGTGGAGTCGAGGGAGCTATAGGTTTGATGGTTCTCAGCCTCCGGAGGAATTCGGTTTCAGCTTCAGCCCCGGAGGAGGCATGCGATTCCACGACAACTTTGGCTTTGATGATCTAGTACGAGATTTCAATAGCATCTTCAGCGAGATGGGGGCCTGGACCTTGCCTTCCCACTCCCCTGGTGTGTAGATTTCCCTGAGGGAGAACTTATGGGTTACTGGGTGAAATATGGACCTTGCAGAGTAGTTGGGGATGGATAGTTTGCAAAAGCTGATTTCAAAAAAATTTCATGTGTCTTAAGTCCTTTCCTATCCCAGTATCACCTGCCAACTTTCTACAGAGCTTCCAGGTCCTGAGTCAGAAACACCTGGTGAGAGACTGCGGGAAGGGCAGACGCTGCGGGACTCAATGCTTAAGTACCCAGATAGTCACCAACCCAAGATCTTTGAGGGGGTCTTGGAGAGTCATGCTAGACCTGAATCCCCCAAACCAGCTCCAGATTGGGGGTCTCAGGGACCTTTTCATAGGGTGAGTACTCTGTCTGCACCTGAGGTTCAGGGACTAGAGCTTACTGGGCTCTCTTGGAATTCTAGCGCCTCTAATTAGTGCATTTACCTGGATTTTCTTCTTTGTTGGGCTTTTTGTTTTGAGACTTGGAACTCAGATTTAGAGATCTGCCTGCCTCTGGGTTAAAATGTGTGCCAGCACACCTACCCTAAGGTTTATTTATTTTATTGTATGTGTATGGATGTTTTGCCAGCTTGTGTGTCTCTGCACCACATATGCCTGGTGCTCACAGAAGTCAGAACAGGGCATTGAATACCCTGGAACTCGAGTTATGATGGTTGTGAGCCATCATGCTGTTACTGGGAACTATAAACTACAGTTTTCTGCAAGACTGTCCCCTACCCTCTCTTTATTTTATTTTATTATGTATTTTGAGACAGGGTCTCTGCATCCTTAGGTGTCCAGGAACTTGCTATGTGGACCATGCTGGCCTCAAACTCAGGGATCTGCCTGACTTTGACTCTGAGTTTGTTACTTTGGCTTTTTGTTGCTGTTGTTTGTTGTTGTTAAGATTTATTTATTTATTTGTATGTGTGTGCCTGTGTGAGTTTTTGTGTACCATGTGGGTGCAGGTGCCCGTAGTGATGAGGTGGTGTTGAATCCCCTGGAGCTCTGAGCTGCCTGATATCCTGGAAGAGCAGCAGGTGTCCTTAGCCTGTGGGTCATCTTTCAAGCCCTGTTGCTCCTGGTTTCTTTTTGCAGTAAAGGAGAATAGAATACAAAGGGGGAATGGAAAAAATTTTTAATCACTAGTTTCAGTTCTCAGTTAAGAAAGGGTCTTGAGGCTGGGCATGGTGTTGCACACCTTTAATCCCAGCACTCCTGAGGCAGAGGCAAGCTGAGTTCTGTGAGTTCAAGGCCAGCCTGGTCTACACAGAAAATCCCTGCCTCAAAAACACACACAGACACACGCAGACATACACACACACACACTAAAATAAAATTAAAAGAAAGAAAGGATCTTGAGTCAGGTATGTTGGTGCACACCTTTGATCCCAGCTAGGGAGGTAGAGGCAGGCAGATCTCTGTCAGTTCAGGGCTAGCCTGGTCTATAGAGTGAGTTCCAGGACAAGAAACCCTATCATGAAAAACCAAAACGACAACAACAAAAAAGATCTTGAAGATGCAGGAAAGTATTTCAGAAAGTCTGTTTGGTAGAAGTTCATATACAACTACGGAAGAAGGTATGTGCACATAAGCTGCCCAAATTGAAGTATTTCTGGGGGTTGGGAACTTGGGAGGAGTCTGGGGTCTCTGCCCCTTCAAGCTTCAGATGGAAGGTATCTTTTCACCAACTCTGTGTGGCTTCTTCTACAGTTGGATGACATATGGCCTGTGACTCCCCATTCTAGAGCCAGAGAGGACAATGGTGAGTTTAGAGGGAGGACACATTTACCATGGCGTTGTCTTGGAAGTTTCTTCCTCACACACTTGTCCTGTTTTCTTTTTTCCACTCTCTCCTGGCTTTTGTCTCTCTGCCATTCCAGATCTTGACTCCCAGGTTTCCCAGGAAGGTCTTGGTCCACTTCTTCAACCTCAACCCAAATCCTATTTCAAGAGCATCTCTGTGACCAAGATCACCAAGCCAGATGGGGTGAGCTGAGAGAGAAGAATTAAAAAACTGGCCAGAGAATGCTCTGGAAAGAGGGAACTGTATAAGAAAACACTAAACTCAACATAGTGGTATTAGAAATATGTTGGAACCTCTCCTTGCAGGTAGTGGAGGAGCACCGCACTGTGGTGGACAGTGAGGGACGGAGAGAGACCACAGTGACCCATCAAGAAGCACACAGCAGTTCCAGAAGTGGTGAGTTAAGAGTGACTCTTAACTCCTGGGGGAAAGGGTATGCCTACCTATTGGTACTCTTCCTCTGTCTTGTTTAGTATGCCATATGTACGACTTTGTTCCTTAGATCCAGTCTCTGAAGGTTCATCAGCTCTGGAGGATCCCTTTTCCCTCCTGGATTTGCTCCTAGGACGTTGGTTTCGGTCCCGGTAGCTTTGTTTCAGAAGCCTTCAGGTCCTTTCCACTCCCTTCCCATTGCCCATTGCCAATAAGCTTAGCTTTTTGTGTCATCCTGAGGTTCTTGAGTGTGTGAAACAATTCATTGAGCTTATGCCAGTCTGTCATTCATCCAAACTGACCAATAAAGCCTTTATTTATGCTAAAGGTCTGAGTCTTGGTTTTGTCAAGGTTCTTTTGCTTTTCAGACCCATCCAGGTTTCCAAAATTGTCTTGACTTACAACTTTGTATTGTATGTGTACACCAGGAGTGGTATGTACATGTGGGTGTCAGTTCTTTCCACAGTGTGAGTTCCAACTCAAAATTTCAGGCTTGATAACAGGTATTTTTACCCACTGAGGAGTCTCTCCAGCCCTTCATTATTATTATTTTTTAAATAATTATTTTCCATTTCCAAAACAAGATTTAATAAATGAGAGTTAGGCACAAGAAGAAAAAGGTTTTATTACTAAGGAAATAACTAGAGATAATTCCAGAAATATTTCTAGAAAAGAATATCTCAGATCGCCAAAAGATATTTGAATGAAAGTAAGATAACTGCTTCCCTAATTAGAAACCACTAACTGAATAATTCATGAGATAGTGCACTCCGTGGGCAAATAGACCTTTTGTAAGACGGTGTCTTGCTATGTTGTTTGTGGTTGGCCTGGAGTTCGCTGTGTAGACCAGTTTGGCTTTGAACTCAGAGATCTTCTGCCTCTGAGTTCTGGGATCAAAGATGTGTGCTTTTTTCTTTTTTTTTTTTTTGGATTTTTCGAGACAGGGTTTCTCTGTGTAGCTTTGCGCCTTTCCTGGATCTCACTTGGTAGTCCAGGCTGGCCTCGAACTCATAGAGATCCTCCTGGCTCTGCCTCTCGAGTGCTGGGATTAAAGGCGTGCGCCACCACCGCCCGGCGATGTGTGCCTTTTTAATTAATTTTTAATTTGCTATTTATTTTTATTTTCTGAGTAATTGTTTGTTGGTTTTAATTAATGTTAGAAAAATATAATTAGCAAAAAATAGATTTTTTTTAATTAAATCTTTTTTGCTAAGCTGAAGTTTTTCTTTTTAAGTATTTTTTTGAAACAAGGGTTGACTGTAGACTAGCCCAGCTAGAACTTGTTATAACGTCATTCCAGGACAGCCAGGGCTACATAGAGAAACCCTGTCTCAAAAAAAACATAACAAAACAAAAAGTCTAACAATCAAGCACAAGAGATAGTAGTTAAAAAAAAAAATCTACTGAGGGTTGGGAGAGATGTGGTGCCCACCTATAATCCCAGCACTTGGTAGGCAGATCTCTGAAGCCAGCCTGCTCTCTGAGTTCCAGAACTGCCATGACTATACAGAGAAACCCTGGCACAAACAATTAAATCTGTTATTTTGTTCTCTTATATTTTTTGGTTGGTGAAGCTTTTTGTTTTTCTTTTTGTTTGTTTGTTTTTCAAGACAGGGTTTCTCTGTGTAACAGTCCTGGCTGTCCTGGATCTCACTTTGTAAACCAGGCTGGTCTCGAACTCACTGAGATCCACCTGCCTCTGCCTCCCAAGTGCTGGGATTAAAGGCGTGCGCCACCACCACCCAGCTTTTTGTTTTTCTCACTATAGCCAAAGTGGTGGTGGTGGCGGCGGCGGCGGGCGGGGCACGCCTTTAATCCCAGCACTCAGGAGGCAGAGCCAGGCAGATCTCTATGAGTTCAAGGCCAGCCTGGGCTACAGAGTGAGTTCCAGGACAGTCAGGGCTACATAGTGAGACTCTGTGTCAGAAAAAAAAAAAAGCAGAAACAAGCCAACTATAAGATTTTGAAGGGCTAGTGACATGGCTCAGCAGGTAAGGCTGCTTGCTACCACGCCTGGCAACCTGCGTTCAATCCCCATGACCTACAGAGTTTAAGGAGCAAACTGACTCCTGCAAGTTGTCCTGTAACCTCTGTGTGGGTACTGTGACACATGCCCCTCCCCCCAAAACACTGAAAGAATAAAAAGATTTTGAAGACAAAGATGTGGAAATCTTCTCCCCAAAGTAGATGTTTTTAAGACTTACTACAGGGGATTGGAGAGATGGCTCAGCAGTTAAGAGCATTTATTGCTTTTGCAGAGAACCTGGATTTGGATTTCTGCACCCACATAGTGGTTCTTAGCTATGTGCAATTCCAGTTCCAGGCGATCTAAGGCCCTCCTCTGACTTGTGCAGGCACCAATCACAAATGTGGTGCACAGAGATACATGCCAACAAAAGACTCATATGAGCTCAGCAGTGATGGCGCACACCTTTAATCCCAGAGGCAGAGGCAGGTAGATCTCTGATTTTCAAGCCAGCCTCATCTTCAGAGCAAGTTTCAGGACATCCAGGGCTACAGAGAGAGAAACCCTGTCTCAAAGAAACAAAACCAGAAATACTCCTGTACATTAATATATTTTTTAAAAAATTTAAATCCTCAGTGGAAATCATTGAATTTTTTAAAAGTTATCTTAAGTGTATGAGTGTTTTGTCTGTGTGTACGTCTCTACACTTTCATGGTGCAGTGCCCTCAGAAACCAGAAAGAAGAAAGCATCAGGTCCCCTGGAACTGTAGTGTAGGAGTGATTGTCTGTGCCTTATTACCCTGAAGCATCTCCCCTAGTGAGGCAGCAGGTAGCTACTAGGTACCCGCCCCCCTGGGGCATGGTCCAGACAGGAACCCCTTAAGACCTGGGATGACATACGTGCTCTTTCTTCGATTTACTACCTTGTGGTCTTGGATGCTGGTGCAGATCAAGGCAGAGCTTAAAAAAGGGGAATGGATGGGTATAGGATATTAAGGTAGATTATTGTATATACTAGTGAACTAATTTAGTAAAATGTTAGCCTTAGATAATTTGCACTGTTATGGATTCTTGTATATTGATACAAATATAAATTATTTTTATATTCCTATTTAAGATAATTTGTATATTGATACAAATACAGAACTATATTTGTTGTAATGTATATATATATATTTCCACTATTATTTGAAATATTTTATATATTGATACAAATGTAAAATTATATTTGTCATACTGTATGTATGTTCTACTTCTGTTTAGGATTTTTTTTTTTTTTTTTTAGTTTTTCGAGACAGGGTTTCTCTGTGTAGCTTTGCGCCTTTCCTGGAACTCACTTGGTAGCCCAGGCTGGCCTTGAACTCACAGAGATTCGCCTGGCTCTGCCTCCCGAGTGCTGGGATTAAAGGCGTGCGCCACCACCGCCCGGCTTGTTTAGGATATTTTATATATTGATACATATTTAGGATTGATGTCATATTGCATATTACACTATACATTTCTACCTCTGTTTAAGATATTTTTTGTATTATCACAATTTTGAGGTCATTGTCCTTTTACTGTATATTTGCTTACAGACTGTTTACCTTATTTTTATGAAGCCTTAGTCATTAGGTTATTTAGGTAGATAAGACTTACAGATTTATAGTCACCCATGCTTGTCATTTCTATAGTTATATTAGTTACATTGTCCAGATTTACAGATGCATAGGTCAGATGGACAGGTAATCTTCAAACACTTCATAGACCTAGAGAATATGGCATTTAAATAACTTAGAGTTCTGTTGACATGAGACATGATTGCTCCTGGCAGCACTAATTTGATCCCGAGAGAATGCTGGGCTTCTAAGACATTTCCATTTGAAAGTTTGTCGTCTTCTTGGCACAAAATGGCCTGCTGGGCAAAGAATTGCCCTTGCCTCGACTGCTGACAGTACTAATGCTGTCCTTTCTGGACAAGTGGGACACAAGGAAAAGTGACTTCTGAACTCTGCCAAGACAGGGTAAGATGGTCTCTCAGAATTCCTGCTTCTGAAAATGGTCTGTCAGATACTCTAGGCCTGTAGTCAAAATGGATGTCCCAGTGGTGCTGAGAAACTTTAGGTGACTGTCCACGCTGCCAGCTGTCTCTGTCTACTCTAGCAAGACTCCCAAAAGTTGCTTGTGTCCATCTCCCATTTTCTCAGGTATTATTATATTACTTCTTAGGTCTTTGATGGGATTGAAGACTAACAGTTAAAGTTACAATCTTCTTGTATCTTAGCTAGGACATATTAAGTATCAGATTCAGGTTCTTCAGGATAGGACACCTTTTGGAATGATCTCTGTACGTGCCATTTACCTATGCTCTAGACTTCTCTGGATTTTAGTATGTGTCTCCTGTTTGATGTTACTCTTGTTGGTTGTAGTTCCATTTGTTTATATCATTATCTTTTATTTCTCCTTGATAATTATTTCTATTGTATATAGTTTTGTGTTAGGTTAGAACTTTCTTCCTTAGACAAAAGGGGAAGATGTAAGGGTGGTTGTCTGTGTCTTACCCTGAAGCACCACCCCTAGTAAGGCTGCTAGCAGGTAACTGCTAGATACCTGCCCCCCTGGGGCGTGGCTCAGACGGGGACCCCTTAAGACCTAGGATGACATACATGCTCTCTCTTCACTTCGCTACTTGGTGGTCTTGGATGCTGGTACAGATCAGGGCAGACAGTAGTGCTAGGCTTAAAGGCATACAACACTGTAGCTGTGTTGTGGAATAATCTTTTTGTACACTGTGAAGATATGTCTTTACCAAGGTGCCTTCTGGTTGGTTTAATAAAGAGCTGAATGGGCAATAGCTAGGCAGTAAGAGGTTAGGCTGGACTTCTGGGCAGAGAGAGAGAGAAAGAGGAGATGAATCTAGGCATGAGAGAGACACCAGAGGACATGGAGAGGAAATAGGAGATGCAAGATGGAGGAAAGTTGGTGTCGTTCCCCCCCGTCATCCCAAAAGAAATCTGTCTATACATGGCACCCAACATCTGGCCACATATATCCACATAAGGCCTGTCTCTGCCTCCCGAGTGCTGAGATTAAAGGTATGCACCACCACCGCCCAACTTAATTTTGAATTTTGAAAATGCGGATGAACACAGAACAGCAACTGCTGAGAGACGTTGGATTTTGAAAGGACCTACTAAATTAAACCAGCCTGTATATTTAGAGATGTCTTGGCCTCAGAATGGAAGTTGGAAAATGTGTTGTGTTGGGGAAGAGGTTGTGCTTGACCAGGGGAGACCTCCTGAGGATCTTGGCTACAGACATGAGGGAGGAAGCCAGGAAAGACTACAGGATAGGTGATTTGTATGCTGATCCCTCTGCATGG